ATCAGGGGATCTCGGGGTTGGCGGCCCCAAGAGGTGTAGTGTCCTTGTGGCTCTCATCAGCCCGCTCCACAAACGCATGGGTGAAAAAGCTTATCAAAACTCATTAGGAAAATTAGTAAAGTTCTAGCCAAACGTACAACTAAAATGACAACACTCGGTTAAAAGTTTGTGGGGGGAAGAGAACACTGTGTTGCTGAAACTCAACCCTTGACCTAGAGATTTACCCGCAGCACAGACGAGTAACATCTCCTGTGGGTGGCGTCTCGCAGGAAAATTCTACCCATGTACATCCTCTGTCAACCCTCAGTGTCGTCGCTACCGGACTAAACCATGACAGCAACCATCGATCGGCTAGTTAAGCCCAAACGTCCAACAAAAATAAACAAAACACGTCCATCATAAATCGTATTGACTGGGAAAAAGTCCAAATGTCCACATCCCGGGACCCCATTCGCCTGAGTGTTGGGACCAAACCGATAAAGACATGCCTGACGCAGGATTCTCCATTCTGTCGTGCAAACAGTACCCTAAAGATGACAATCGTGCGATGAAAAAGATTGTACCTATTCGTGTGGTCACAAAACTCCAGAACCCACAGGCTGCTCCCCCTCTGATTTCCGGAGGGCGAGGCCGTGTCGAGCGGGATGCCTAATACGGTTGTGAGGTTAAGCAGTTATGTGCAGGATGAGACGATTCCTTGGGTGAGCACAGAATCAGAGCGTTATGTATCGGCTCTGCACTTATGGAAGCCTCCTTGGATGGCGGGGAATGCCCATGATCTGCCCCTGACTTCCTTTAAGGGCTGACCGTTCCACACAGGTCTGCCCCAAAGGGGGCAACACCTGTAGAGAAAGGGACAAAGAGGACACCACACAAATAAGGTAACATCTCGACCCACACAAAACAATGGCCAGTCATCCTAGAAATAAGCCTGACGTCTTCCCTTAAAGTCGGAGTACATCTGAGTGTCAGGGAATGGCAAAAGCCAGTAAAACGGTTGTACACAAAAAACTCAGGTCCAGGTAAAAGTCAAAAGTTCAAACAGACGATTAACAGGGACCTTCCTGCCAGAATTCACAGCCGGTGAACGAAGAAGAAGATCGACTCACTGATCATGCTCAAGAAAATCCAGACCGGCTTTCTCAGACAAGAGTGGATTTGTCAGTAAAAGTATTTTGAATGGTTTGTCTTCCCATGTAGGTTCTGAGGTCTCATTTTGGATGGTTTGTCTTCCCATGTAGGTTTTGAGGTCTCATTTTGGATGGTTTGTCTTCCCATATAGGTTCTGAGGTCTAATTTTGGATGGTTTGTCTTCCCATGTAAGTTCTGAGGTCTCATTTTGGATGGTTTGTCTTCCAATGTAGGTTCTTAGGTCTCATTTTGGATGGTTTGCCTTCCAATGTAAGTTCTGAGGTCCCATTTTAGATGGTTTGTCTTCCCATAAAAGTTCTGAGGTCCCATTTTGGATAGTTTGTCTTCTCGTGTAGGATCTGAGGTCTCAAATTTGAGTAAATAAATAGACCCTTCCCCTAACAATCATGTTGTAAAAGGCGATTGATTAAAGGTTTTATGAAATTAGATGTGTACAAATATTGACAGACTTGCTGTAAACCACAATACAACTTGCTGACCACAATAAAACTTGCCAATCACAGTACAACTTGCCAACCACTCTTTTCAGGGCAAACTAAACAATAAAAAAAATATTTTTTAAAAAACTCATCGTTGTGCTAGGTTTTGCTGGTGTTCGAGGCTTTCAGCATGCAGATTATCTGGCTCAAGCTGAGGTTCCCACAACTAGTCCAGCATTAGACAGGTTTGATGTCATCAATCCCCTGCACATCACAAAAATGATTCAGCACTAAGCATGACTTTGTATGTCTGTGGTGGATATGAGGATGCAAACCTGAAGTCGCCAGATAAAAATATTCTACTAAGAGCATAGACATTTGGTTAATCAACAAAGAAGAGGTGTTCAGCCATTTCACAATAGTGGAGCTTTTTGGGAGGAGATCAGAGTACAAATCTGTCCAGAGTGCGTGATGATGATCTCAACTAATAATACAGTCTATCTACATACAAACATCAGTTCAATGACAGAAAATAACTAATACATCTTTATAAAAACACACTTTTTAATAAATGAAACATACTTTAACATCAGAAAAACATTATTTTTCAAACAGGTTAAAAAAAACAAAGATACAAATGTTTTTAGTCAGTTACACAGACAAAAATAACTGTATCACTTTAATACAGAATTGCATGTTTCAATCTGCTACAAGAAACAGCTGTTTTCAATTATAACAGAAAAATACATATACAAATCCTGAAAGACATAAAAACACAATTTGAATATTTCAAATCAGTGAGTGGCCAAGACAATAGTTCATTCATTCATTCAGTAGCATGTCCCTCGCGGAACCTCGCTGCCATAACAACCCTCCGGAAAACCTTCCTATCATGAGCAAGATGTCCTGCGTCTGATACACCCATCTGGAGATCATCTGCCACATCCTGCACCCATCTTCTCCTTGGCCTTCCTCTTCCTCTCTTCCCAGGCATATACCCCTCCATTATTGTTCTCTCTAGACCTCCATGACGTTTCAAGTGACCAAAATATTTCAATTTTAGACAATAGTTACACAATGAAATACAATCTTCATGTTCAACCTCATGTTCCAGCTCTAAATAATTAGTTTTTCTGCAAGTCTCTAAACACAGTGCTCATGCTTAGTCCATAGTATTCAGGTCTTTCAGATATGCTACAACCTGAGACCCCAAAATATCATCAACATCAACTAAGTGTTCTTCAGTACAACTTTAATCTCTCTCCATCCAACTCTATATAATTAAAAGATATTCCACAAAAAAAAAATTAGAACCAGTCAGCTTGAAATTATCATAAACACAAACGACAAGTGAATGTTGCGGCTAAAGAGCCTTCATCGACATGCTGCATGAATATATACAACAAATACAAAGACGAGTATACAAAATCACTTAACTGAAGTATCTCCAAGAGAAGTCACATATCTGCTAGTGAGTTGAATCTCTAACAGGTGTGATTTTAGGAAATAAATACAGCCAGAAAAAGCTGTGAATAGCAAAGGCCTGTTGCAAATATTTGTTAAGATAAAACAATAATAGATGTTAAGTCTTCCCAACTCTATCTATGCTTATTTATAAAATGGTTGCTGTAATTCTTTATAATAACAAAGACTGTTATTTATAACAATTATAGGATTTACAATATTGCTTTTTAAAATGACAATTCTATTCAACATCAAAATGATGACAATAATATTTATAGACTGATAATTTCTCACAGAAATAATTATTTTTCCAAATGACAATTCTTCACACTAATAATAATTGTTCCCATGACAATTCTTTACAGGAATAATAATTTTTACAAGGATTCTTCACAGAAATAATTTTTCATGAAGCCAATTTCTCAGTGCAGCAATTTTTAGCACAAGCGTGATGACATTTGAAACTGAATAAATTTAGATAAGATGACTGTTATAACAAAGACTGGAGCTATGACAGCCTGCTGGCAAAGTTGCCATTCATTTGAATTCCCTTAGAGTTGTAGACTGTTTAAAAATTTAACTCTGCTAGCAGATCGGCCCACTTAAAATGATATCAGGAAATGTTTAGAGAGGCTGAGGCAATAGGTGTGATGCTGACCACATCACCCATCAGGTGCCCACTAATGGAGGTTAAGTGCATTTTCCGAATGCTTTCTAACCATTCAGAGCAAAAAGATAAATAGTATAGGTAGCCTGTGTGGAGCTGAAATTTACAATCATTTGTGACAAGTAAAAGGATCAGTGGGATAAAAGAGAAAAGGTAACGTTGATGTAGTCTATTATACAGAAAAAAGGGCCATGTTTGATTACATGTCATAATTCTTTCTTCCCTATACAGTGCACTATATGCAATCTGCAACTCTACCTTTGCTTCACACACTTCATTCTGTGTTACATCTGCAAGCATCCATCACATGCTTTGTTGTGTTAAAACTGTACATATGCCTCACAACCCTCAGTTTGTATTACAAGTGTATACCTTAATGTCACAACTGTATGTATGCTTTCCACATAACATTTTGTGTTACAACTGTACACATGCTTCATACAACTTTGTGTTACAACTGCACATATACTTCATACAACTCTGTGTTACAACTGTACATATGCTTCAGACACCTATTTGTGTTACAACTGTACGTATGCTTCACACACCTCCATTCGTGTTACAACTGTACATATGCTTCACACACCTCAGTTTGTGATACAACTATACGTATACTTCCCACACCTCAGTTTGTGTTACAACTGCACAAATACTTCATTCATACACCTCAGTTTGTGTTACAACTGTATGTATACTTCATACACCTCAGTCTGTGTTACAACTGCATATATACATCATTCATACACCTCAGTTTGTGTTACAACTGTATGTATACTTCATACACCTCAGTTTGTGTTACAACTGTATGTATACTTCATACACCTCAGTCTGTGTTACAACTGCATATATACATCATTCATACACCTCAGTTTGTGTTACAACTGTATGTATACTTCATAAACCTCAGTTTGTGTTACAACTGTATGTATACTTCATACACCTCAATCTGTGTTACAACTGCATATATACATCCTTCATACACCTCAGTTTGCGTTACAACTGTACGTAGGCTTCACACACCTCAGTTAGTATTACAACTGTATGTATACTTCATACACTACACTTTGTGCGTGTATGCTTCACACACCTCACTGTATGTTGCATGTACATACTTTTCACACATCTCATTTTGTGTTAATTTACCGTTTATTTCATCTGAGCCCATTAAAGAAATCTGGTCAGATATTAAAACTTCAAGAACATTATATGTTGCCAATGTGAAAGTAAAACACTCATGCTTTTTAATCACTGGGGTTATTGCCCCTTGGCTTCTCCTGGAAAATTTGTGACATAAAGCTCTAATGGTGAGGCAACTTTTCATTCTGTATCTGGAAGTAGCAGGCCTGGAGAATACAGGAGCATAGAACATGATCAGTATGAAACTATTAGTAAAAGAGTCACATCAAACAGATTTTAAAAGATTCATCATGGAAAGGGTTTTAAAGGTAAAGGTGAGAGGACTGACTTCACTGCACTGGGTTTTATCCCATATGGCTCAGTCTCTCTGCAGAAAAGACAGCTGCACGACCTCCGTAGCTCCAGTGATGATCTCTGTAAAAATTGCACACGTGAACTGAATGGCACCACTGTGAAATGAACCCAGGACCTTCAGAGCGCAAAGCAAATGGCTCAACCACTTCACCACAGAGACTCCTCCAAAACAATGGTTATAACAAAATCAATCAGTCAGCCTGGTGCTGGTTCCACAAAGAAGGTTGGCTGGAACGGATCTTCAATATTCTTGTTTGGAACGGATCTCCAATATTCTTTTATCTGGAACGGATCTACAATATTCTTGTCTCTCTGTCTCTGGTTGTAGACACTATCACACCACTACTCAAACATCTCTTTTATCTTCTTCTTCCATTTGTACTGGTTCCAACACCTCTTTATTAAACTGATATATCTTTTAATGTTACCAAAATATTTGTCTCTATTTTATTTTATCAGCTGTTCGTGTTCATTTTTTTGTGATTTTCTCTGATTCGATTCTGGTGACTGTATAAGATGGCCAACCATGACTAGTTGCATTGTGGCACTTGACCATGATGGCTCATGCTTATCAGCAAGGCACATAACAGAGATAATGAAGATGATGATCATATGTAAATGAAATGAGTTTACAACTAGAGACTTGGGTATAGTTTGTGGACTGAGAGATTTTTAGCTGCAAATTTCTTCATCACTGGCTGTAAATTCTAGTGGAAAGTTCTGTTTGTTTAACCACTTCTGGAACTAAAGACAGATGCACTTCAATTTAAAAGGAAACAACCACAAATTAGTGGCCTGTCACTATAAGCTTGTTAGTCTTGTTTTCATTTCCCCCAAAATATGACAGCAAAACCTATGCAGCAAAGCTGTAAATAAAAAAGTGATGTTTAGAATGTGAACAGAGTATGCGAAGTGTGAAGTTTATAGTGTGAGATGTAATCAGAGGTTAAATTAGTAATGAATGTGATATCAGGAAAGCCTAAATGAAGTTCTGAGAGAAAGTGATGGGAAGTTAATCATTAAAAATGAAATAGCTGAAGTTGAAGATGGAGAGCCAGTAATTATTTATAGACCTAGAGAAGTTAATCCACTGAAATGTGGCTAATTATTTCATTTAACACCCAATCTGAGACAAAAGTTTTTACTATTTCAAAGCCCCCATCCCTGCTGTAGTCGGGGGCCCTAATATAACCTAACGGTTGAACAGGGTTTTTGGGACTTGTGACACTTTGTGTCACCTGGTGTTGGTCACTCATTGTACGGTCCTGGTTGGGTTGAACATCAAACATTGTGGCTAAGAAGCAACATCCTTAAGCTTCTCAGTCACAGGTGAGTGAACTTATGTCTGGATACCAGCTTGACTATGCAGTCACCCATGTTTTTATCACAAAAAACCATGAGGCAGACCAAGGAGACAGTGCAGAGATAATACCCAGGCAGACCTCCAAACACTTTGCATCATTGGCGACCGAGTGGCTCCCCGGTAGACAACTTTGTCACCGGTCAGGACAGTATTTGGGTCTTTCTCCTTTGATTGCGTCAACATTGCAGGAGTCCTTTTCAGGGCTCCTTGTGGCGTGCAATGCTAAGCCATTTTATAAGGTGCACATAAGCTAATCACAATTATAACCTAAAGCTCCCCCTTGTGAGATGCAGCTAAGTGCGACGATTGTTTTTTTTTTTCCTCGCCAAAGCATCCACTAGGCGCAACCAGGTGGAAAGACAGGACCAATCACAGGGATGAATGGAGGTGGGTGATATCTACAGCAATAAACTTCAAGGGCTGGGAATGCTCAAGACAAGTCTGTCACTTGTCTTTTCATGATGACTACAGCACATTGGAGAATGGAGGATGATCAGAGTTAATAAAAACAAGGATGGGATTATTTTGCAGTAGTCAACAACAAGCAACAAACAACATACTTTGAGCGTTGTGAACATTAAGCCAAGCTCCCCATGCTCCATGTGTGGCTCCATCAGATCATCAATCATATGTATTTCTGCACAAAGATGGTGGATTTTTGCTCGCACAACAACAAACTGGAAAATGGGAAACAGGTCGTCCATACACCACATGTGGTCATCCTTTAAGTTTAAGGAAACCGTCTGCAAAGAAGAAAAAATATTCCAAGATTCATTGTGAACTGGGATAGCAGACGCCAACTTTCTGAAACTAAATATGGAGGAATTACACGGAACAGAATAGAATATTTTTAGAATCACTGCAAACCATAACAACAGACGTCAACTTTTCTAATGAAAAAAAAAATACTTCTAATAACATAAAAACTGTTTGTAATGACACCATATAAATGTATTAGAATTATACATAAACAAACTAGGTATTCTAAGGCTCAATATAAATCATGACATACAAATACACATACTCCTTCTTACCTTGGTAATTTCATTGAAAGTCTGTTCTATTATCTTTAGTTTCTCTATAGGAGAGAAGGCGGTGCTAAAAAGAAACAACAAAAAGATCACATAAGCTGAGATACTGAAAAGAGAAATTAAAAAAAATTACTGCAAATTAAGTTTCTTTTCCTCACCATACTACACTGAGGTAGTAGGGAACATTATTATATTAATTTTTTCTAGCCATCAAGTAATTATACATGAAACAACCCGACACAAAATCTAGATATAACAGCTCACTGTACAAGCAATTTCAGATTTAACAAATAACAATGAAAAAACATAAGTAACAGGAGCATTTCCACATCTCAAGGCATATTAAGCAGACGGCCGGCTCCGCTTTACCGACCAAGTGGAACCCTCTGGGTGTGTGGACAGTCTCATGCCCAATTTCTTTAGTTTTCAGGTTATTTCCTGGACTCCATTGTAGGGATGATCTATCAGGAAGAGAGGCAAGCAAACAGGGTGGACAGAGTAGGAGTCAATAAGGTTAAAATGGACAAGAAAACACAGAAGTAAGAGGAGTAAGAAAGAAGGTTTGAAAGAGTAAAGATAAGAAAAAAAAAAAAAACACACAGGAAGGGAAGTCATGAATGGGAGAGAGAATGGGGAAGAGGCAAGGATAAGAAGAAAAGAAAGGAAAGAACATGCAGCAGGAGAATAAAGGGGAAGGACAGATGAGGATGCGCAAGACAGAAAGAAAGGACAGTTCTTCTGGCGATCAGATAGTGAGTGGAAGAAGAAAGAAGTTAAGAAAGAGTGAAGATGAGAACAACACAAAAAGCACACAGGAAGGGAAGACATGAATGGGAGAGAGAATGTGGAGAGGTAAAAAAGAGAAAAGGAGAGATGAGGTAAGAAGAGAAGAGGAGAGGTAAGGAAGAGAAGAGGAGAGGTAACGAAGAGAAGAGGAGAGGTAACGAAGAGAGAGGGTAAGGAAGAGAAGCAGAGAGGTAAGGAAGAGAAGAAGATAAAGGAAAGAATGTGCAGGAGGGGAAGGAGGAATGAGGATGGGCACGATAGATAGAAAGGACAGTTCTCCAGGATTTCAGATGGTGGCACAAGAGTGCTTACAAAAGAGACTGGGGCTTTACCACGTGATGTTGCATTATGTATCATCTTTGACGTTTAGTAGGGTTTCAATTCCCGCAGTGTGCGGTCTGGAAAAAGACTGTTCTTGTAGCTTTCTGACAGTGGTGTAGTAGTTGCTCCATGGGAGAGATTGCAGCCTCCTCCCACAATATTCCCCTAGTTTGTAGCGGACACACTGTGGCCAACCTCCAACATAGAGAAGGCATTATTTAAAAAAAAAAAGTAATATTCCTCAAAATGGCAGTAAATACTCAAATCCGCCGCAACGAACAATCATTCTGAAAATTAAAAAATAGAGAGGGTGGAAAAAGATGCTAAATATATATATATATATACATATATCTTTATTTTTAGCATCTTTCCCCCCCCCCCCCCTCCTTTTTTTTCAAATATATATATATATATATATGCTGATAAAGCCTCAAAGGAAGCATCTACACAAACCTCAACTGTTGCAAGGTATCCACAGCTTGAGCATAGCAAACATCCTTGATTGTAGACAGCTTCTGTTGGGAACAAACATAACTCATAATCAAATATCCAAGTCAATTGTTTTGTTACAGATTTAATAGTGCCGCACATTCTTCTAAGGGCGAGGTGAATAAACTTACAGAGAATAAGTAAAAGAATGAATCAGTCAATCAAGAATTAATAATATCGGGTTCGGCTTTTGACTGCTTCCGACAGCTCACTCTGATAGCTGCTCTGGAGCTACTAAATTCTATGGTTTTTTCTTTCTATTCAAAAAATAATTTCAGTGAATAAAAAAATTGAGGTGGGGTGGGGTGGGTGGGTGGAATCAGCCATCATTTGAGAGACTGAGTCACGTAAAACTTAGTGCAATGAGCTCAACCCTCTCGCCTACAAAAACCTCTAAATAATCAAACAAAATATTAATTTGATATTCACTGTTTCTTATTCAAAACTGTTGAGAACCGTCTTAACGGATATCTTTGGACCCATGAACAACAAAATGGAGAATGGAGAGTGTGAAGCAATAATGAGATTTATAATCTGTTTAAATCAGTCGGCTCAGTGGCTAAGTCGATGCGAACGCTTCGTAATGCCGGGGTGCCAGGTTCGATTCCAGCTGCGGGCAATGCGCCTTGCGTTGGTTTCGGCAGTGGTATCATGGGGCCGACCGTCCAGAAAGCTATGGCAAACTACTGGATGTAAATGTGCCTAGAGAAACCACACAACAGCCAGGGGCTGTTGGGGTTGGTTCTGCATCGTCCTGTAAAGGATACGCAATTAACCTTTAAATCACTACAAATTACTAGTATCAAGAGGATTAATAGGCTTCAATGGTTGGGGAATGGACAATAACAGAGACAAAAACTGCATATATAAAAGTAGTTGAATGGGAGTGGACCATGTGACAGACAAAGAAGACAGAAAGATCTGAGAAACACTTGGGAGTCGCCAACTGGAAAGAGAACGGCCAATCAGAGAGATGACGGAGGCAGGAAATATCTGATGCAATCAACAAGAAGGACCTAGAATGCTGAAGAAGAATAAGTATAAGAAATTCACTTCACAAACATCCCATATTTCAAACTCCCAGGCTCAGCAATCATAAACTCACCTGTGACTTGTCCTGATCAAGCATGTCTTCTATGAGCCAGAAGCGTCTGCAATTAAATAACTTTTCATGTCAGTAAAATTAAAATATAACACATTTTTGCAGAAGATGTAGACTTGCCATGTAACAAAACAGAATTTTGCAATATGGAAAATGCACCTATGCAAAGCTGTCACTACACTGAAAGAAAAAAACAGTCAAGGTGCTTATAAAATATTTTCTGGCAGAGATGTGGTTTTAAGGATGAATGATGAGACTATTGTGGACTGATAAAAAAAAAGAAATGGAGAGACCTGAATGAATGAATTAGTCAATAATTGAAATGAGTGCACTCAGGACATTCCCAAATGTGCTCCATCTTCTTCTTCAGTAGCCAATGAAGAGTCAATATGCTAGCAGTACTAGTGTAGGGGAAACTCTTCATGAAGTCTCTGTACATTCTGTAAAAACTAAACTAGCTGTCGTAGGAGGCAGCACTAAAAGAATTCTCTACAGGGGATGAACATTACACATAACTGGCTGTGTAAAAATTACTAACAAAGTCTCCAAAGAAGAAAACAACTCAGAATAATTGGTTGTGTTAAAAACCTCTTTGTAAATAGCCACAACAAAAGATAATTAAAAGTGTTTTAATAATAACTGTCATAAAAACAAATGTCACTACAGTCGGTGTTTACCACTTCTGTGGTGTAGGGGGTCTCTGAATCTGAGGAGTTAGGGCCCCATGGCTAGTGCAGGCACCAGGATTTTTCTTTCTGCTCGACCAGAAATCCCTCCCCCCCCCCCTTTTTGTGTTTAAAAAAAATGACCTTACAAATGATTCAAACCTGGGGAGCTCACAGTTCTTAATTATTTGACCAGCGGCCCCTCAGTCTAAACAGTGAAGGACCCTTTTTCACACCTTCAGCCGTAATGGGCACAGATCTGTATTTTACTGACCATTCGGCATTGGGTGGGCAAAATGATCAACATCACGCTAGCTGCCTTTACTTCCCAGGACTGTAAGTGGTACCCATTTTAAGGCTGAGTCGACCTGGGAGCCAAGGTCATTTTTGAAAACAGTTGGCTCCATCAGGACCTGAACCCATGACCTTTCGCTCCGCAGGCGAGCATCTAGCTACATGGTGGCTAATCTAAATAGTAGCTCATGCTTAATGAAGCCTCAATGCTTAACAGTTATTCCAAGTGTTTAGCTATAATGATGAATATAAGATGCAGAAGGAATCAAACATTAATTTAAAGGAGAACGATTCATGTCAGTCATCAGAGTTAAACTCAAGGACACAAACACCTGTAACCTCTCACTGTTCTATGCCTACAAACACCTGTAACCACTCACTGTTCAATGCCTACAAACACCTGTAACCACTCACTGTTCATTGCCTACAAACACCTGTAACCACTCACTGTTCAATGCCTACAAACACCTGTAACCACTCACTGTTCAATGCCTACAAACACCTGTAACCACTCACTGTTCATTGCCTACAAACACCTGTAACCACTCACTGTTCAATGCCTACAAACACATGTAACCACTCACTGTTCAATGCCTACAAACACCTGTAACCACTCACTGTTCTATGCCTACAAACACCTGTAACCACTCACTGTTCTATGCCTACAAACACCTGTAACCACTCACTGTTCAATGCCTACAAACACCTGTAACCACTCACTGTTCATTGCCTACAAACACCTGTAACCACTCACTGTTCAATGCCTACAAACACCTGTAACTACTCACTGTTTAATGCCTACAAACACCTGTAACTACTTACTGTTCAATGCCTACAAACACATGTAACCACTCACTGTTCAATGCCTACAAACACCTGTAACCACTCATTGTTCAATGCCCACAAACACCTGTAACCACTCACTGTTCAATGGCTACAAACACCTGTAACCACTCACTGTTCTATGCCTACAAACACCTGTAACCACTCACTGTTCAATGCCCAGGTAAGCCATCAGGCCCATGTCACTCTGTCTGTTCAGCTTGGTCACCCGCTCCCAGTATCTGTCGTCATTCTTCTCGTTGTACAGGGCATATAGATCAATGAGTGGAGGATAGATCTTAGGCAGCAGTATTGGGTACAGCAGTCCCGCAGCTGTGAAGATACAACTGAAACAAGAAAGGTTAAAGGTGAGAGGACTGACTTCACTGCACTGGGTTTTATCCCATATGGCTCGGTCACTCATAGTAGAAGAGCTAGCCTCACCTGCCAAAAGTGCCACATAAAGCATGAACTCCATAGCTCCAGTGATGATCTTCAAGGATATCTGTAAAAACTGCGTTTGTGAACCGAATGACACAGCCGTGAAACAAACCTATGACCTTCTAAACACCTCTATTGTACAGCACCTTCTATGTAAGATCAAACCATGAAGACGACAACAGGCAATCTCACTGTGTGAGGTTAATGGCTGAACCATTTAGCCAGTCACTTCGCTTGTGTATTCTATTTATATGGTGCAGCACTTTCAACTTATTTGGAAGTGATGGATTTGTGGTTTTTTCTGGACAAATGATGACAACACACTGGACAGATAAAAAAAAAAAGTAATAAAGATGTCTTTAAAGAAACTGACTCGCAAAAAGAACTGACTGCCCACACCAGAGGAGACAATCTACGTTGTTTGGTCATGACAAGAAAATGATAAAACTAGAGTACATCATGATGGTGGGGAAGTTGGAGGGGAAAAGAGGTCAGGTGTAGACCTTGAGAGAAGATGCTGGACAGTCTGATATCATGGCATGGAGGATTATCTGTGTCAGAGTTGACTGAAAGCACATGAGACAGAAGGCTGTGAATAGACATGACTACCAACACCACATGGGTATTATGAGAGATGGTGCACCTAGAGACCCATCAGTGCTAAATAATTTCAAAAAAGATGACAAATCAAACAGTGTGTCAAGACTATTACAAGATAGTGCAGCGCAGACAGCCCTAGCCACCTCTAGCAGTGGCTAGATAGAATATGCGAGACCATGAATACCAGCTTTTATGTAGCACAGAAGGTTTACATCAGATGCCTCTTCAAAAATGATGCAGAAAGGCAGAAGAGGGTCTAGCGAAAAAAATTCCCACCTTTTGCATCCTACTTTTAGGGCCACATGGCTAAGGCTGTTGCCATGGACTGTGCACGATAGAATTTTAGTTCTGCCCCCGACAGAAAAATTCTTAACCTTGCTGAGATTCAAACCTGGGTCTCCAGCATGAGCGCCTGTGTTAACTGTCTGGCCAGCCGCTCTACTGAAAGAACAAGTGTACTAAATGCACGGCCAGCTGGAAACCGTAAACAAGGAGTCACCACAATAGTCAGCCTGAAATGGGTAAAAGGAAATTCACCGGAGGTTCTTAACAATTGAGCCACTCTAAGCTGAGGATACAAGTATACTGTGCAGTGGCCACTAGAAACCCTTAAGCTTCCTGATCACCACGGATACTCAGCCTTTATGGCTAAAAGGAAATTCATGGAAAGTAAAGGCAGTAGACATTAAGCTGACCCCACGGAAAGGGTCTTTAGCTTCCTGATCCCAGGGAAAGGGTCTTAAGCTTGCTGATCTTACTAGTGTTCACCAGCTGTAAATTCCAGCAGAAGGTTATGCTTGCTTATTCCCTTCTGGACTTCAGCCTTGTTCCAGAACTTGAGCAGTTTTGCATGCACATCTGTTTCACAGATCTGGCTTATCTGCATGCAGGCTGTTGGTTTCCCACCTCTCAGGGAGATGTACTCTGACTTGGAAGGAAACATGCAACTCTTAAGACATGCATGTTAGGGTGGCAGTGGGTCTGACTTTCTGCTTCCCCCCTCCCCGACAATGGGGCCCTGGGACCCATACAGGAAAGTCCTCTACTTACCAGCCATCACTATGGTAAAAGTATAAAATAAACTAAAAATTCACTTGCATTTTATTGCCAAACAGGCCTTAATTTTCTCAGTGAATACTATTTTAGAGAAATATGGCACGTACAAACATACAATTTACCATATTTTTCCATGTATTAGGACTATCTGTTTTCCCATATTTGTTTAAATTTATTACTGGAGGTCATATTATTCTCGCAGAATCTTTTTAAAATATTTATTTAGCTGCAAAAAAAGGTTTTCTTATACATGGAAGCGTCTTATATATGGAAGCCTCTTATACATGGAAGCGTCTTATACATGGAAGCGTCTTATACACTGAAAAATACAGTATTTACTCAGATCTTTCTCAGCTTAGTGTGCAAGCGGTTGCTTCTGTCTGTGTGTCTGTCTGTGTGTCTGATGTATCTGGTTCATCTCGACGTGTGTCTGTCTGGTGTGTCTGTCTGTCTTGGCTTCTGTGGATGTCGTCGTCTGTGTGCATCTGTATGTATGTGTGTCACGTTGTGTGTGTCTCATGTATCTGTGTGTGCCTTTCGTATGTATGTGAACACATGTGTATTGGGTGCCTATGTGTTTTCCACCTTATGAGTGAGTGAATGGGTTTATGTGTATGCGGGTGCGCACATATTTTACCAACCATGATTTTGTTTTTGACTTGATATTCATAATATGCATATTATTACATGAATATAACATGCTTTATTGATGAAATACACCTGCTGTGTGAAAGATGGAAGTTTCGAAGAGCCGAATGTAAGACAGGCCTGCGTGCCTAATTTGTAACCCTTTGAAAATAAACTTTGTTCGTTCGTTCATTCGTTCGTTCATGCTCTGAAGTCATGTGTTGCTTCCCAGACTGCACTGCTTGGTTTAGGAATACAGTTTTTTACAGGCATCCCTAGGGATCACCACTGGAGCTATAAAGTTTGTGCTTTGTGTGCTGCTCTCGGCAGATGGCTGGCCCCTCTTGGGAGACAGGCCGAGCCATATGGGACATAACCAGGTGCACTGAAGTTAACCCTTGTGTCTTTACACTTTTTCTCACCATGAAATCTGTAAAACATAAAGCTGCAATAGATTTTGATAGAAACACAAGAAAGAAAAAAAAGGGGGGGGGGAGGAATTTTAATTTACTAACAAGTATAATCTTCTTCTTCTTCTTCTTCTTTGCTCACCAGCTGTAAGCTCCAGTGGAAAGTCCTGGTTGTTCATCCATGTATGCATGCATGTTTGTGTGTGTAAGTGAGTGGGTGAGCGCGTGTATGTGGGTGTATGTAGCCACGCGGACATTTTGCATGCACTTTACAACTCATGCTTTGTGTCTTTCTTTTATAATATTCATAATATGCATAGCATCATATGATCATAACATGCACAAGTAAAAAAAAACTGCTGTGCGAAAGATGGGTGACTGGAAAGGGCCGAATTTAAGACGGGCCTGCGTGTCCAATTTGTGACCCTTTAAAACAAAGTTTGTTCAGTGGAAAGTCCTGGTTGTTCATCCATTTGGATTTTGGCTTTGTGTCAGGGCCTGAGTTTTGCATGTACATTCATTTTACTGGCTTATTTGTGTGCAGCTGGATTTGATCCTTGCCGCTCAGGAAGATGCACTCCAACTTCAAAGGAAGCACCCTATTAGTCAACTCCTTCGACATGCTTGTTGAGGAGATAGTGGGTCTATTCTTGTTTTCCCCACAATGGGGCCCCAGAACCCACAGGGGGAAAGTATAATCTTACCCGGATGAATCATCAGCCTCTAAACCATCCAGAAACTTCTTGGCCTCCTCTGTCGTCTGAGGAAAACTACTTGATTTAGAGGGTGGATAAATATACACGGGGCCTCCATTCGCTGGTAATGCTGGGAACAGGATTCTAAAGAAAACAGATAGAAAGCAAAGTAAATAATGAATGTGATTTAATAGAGATGTTTTATATCTGAAACTTCTTTTTCTTTGTTAGTTCGCTTGAAATAGATTATCTATATCTGCAATGTTGTCTCTAGTATGAACTTCACTGTCTTTTGTAATTCAATCTAAAACTGAACTGTTTGTTTACACTGCGGACTAGTCTGAGGGGTCACTGCTGTGAAGGGGTCAAGCCCATCCCATTCCTTGCTATGGGAACTTACACTAAAAATTTAAAAAAATGACGAAATTCAGAATGTGCTGTACTGAATCATAACATTACATTCTAATATAAAACCTTTCTACTCATTTATCATTTCTTCTTCCTCGCATTCACCAGCTGTAAACTCTAGCAGAAAATTCTGGTTGTTTATCCAAATCTAGATGTTAGTCTTATTCAAGAGCTTGAGTCTTGTGTGAACGCCTATTTTATAGATCTGTTTTACCTGTGTGGTTCCTTGCTAATCAGGCAGATGCACACCAAGTTCGGAGGAAACATCTAATTAGTCGGCTCTTACACAGTTTGTTTTAACGCACCCACCCACCAACCCAATTGAGTCTCGGAACCCATTCAGAATTTATTTTACCATTTCAAACCTCTAACAATTTGATCACAGTCTTGCACACCTTGCTGGTTTCTGAGCTTGAAGAGGGAAAGGATAGCTCTGCAACACAGTCTCCACAGTGATAATATTTCAGGAATAATCTACACAAATCTCTGATAAATGCAAATCCTGTTCAGGATTCAAACTTGTTCTTACCCACACAGGACTGCAGGCGACACCTGGCTGGTCTAGCCATTACGAGTGCCCTAATTATAACTTACTTGGAGGTTGAACGGGGTATCTGGAATCAGATTCGTTGATTTGCCGTCCAGATGCTTCTTCTTTTCTCTACTCCTGGAATGTCTTGCGGTGTCAGGGCAGGAAGAGATCTCTGGAACAGTTTCTTCTGTATATAAAGAACTCTTCAGTGTCTCTGATATTTCTGCGATTCATCTTCTTCTTGGTGGACCTCTGGATCTGTTATCCTTGTATCTGTATAACACTGCTCTCTGTGGTGCCCTGTCTGATGCCAATCTTGTTAAATGGCCAAACCATTTGATTTGTTGTCTACCTATAAAGTTCAGTATTGGTTCTGTGCCGACTCTCCTCCTGACATCACCGTTCCAAAAGTCGATATTTCTTCATTAAACCTAGCAAATACATAAACATTTCATTTCTGTTGTGACTAATTTCCTTTTGTCTTCTAAAGACAGTGTCCATGTTTAACATTAATAGCATAACATTGGTAAGACTAGAATTTAAAAAAAAAAAAAAAAATTCTGGGTGGTATTGTAAACCTTTGGGTAGCCACCCGGAAGAGTCAAACTGATTGATCAATCGACAGGACTTAAAAAACTTTAACACCAACATTTAGCTTGACTGCTAAACTCAACCTTTCGAAGTGTTTAGCAATCCACATACACATACACAAACTGTGTGTTGTCAACATAAGGAAGGTTGTATGCACTACTTTCTTTGTGAATATTATGTAGTAAGGCCCCAGTCTGTTCCATGGCACAACTTTTCCTCCACTGTCCGAATGCCAGGACAACGTTTTTTCAATCGAAGAGTCAGTCAAAGAAACAAAAACCTGGCACATCAACAAAATTTCTCCTTTTTCTTCACGTTCATTGGCTATAAACTCAAGTGGAAAATTCTGGTTGTTCATCCACTTCTGGGCTGCAGTCTTGTTCCAGAACTTGAATTTTTTGCATGCATTTCAATTTTATGGATCTTGTTTATTTGTATGCAGACTGTTGGTACTTTGCCTCTCAGGCAGATACACACCATACAAAGGAAACCTCTAACTAGTCGACTCTTGCAAGGTGTTTGCTATGGAGGCAGTGGGTCTAAAAATTGAGAAACAAATTCACTAATCTCTAAACCACAGAAAAATCCACTAACCGGCCGATTCATCCAACTAAACAACCGATAGAAAAAATATCTCTCAAACCTGACAACCTGGTACAGCCTGCTGACATAAGACCTCATCTCCAGAACTGCATGATGCAGCAGTCTGGGGTGAGCTCCGACACCGATATAGGAGGCTCGGAACACATCCACCAGGTTCTCCATCAGTCGCCCTAGTGGGTGGTATATGGTATCACATGCCTGAGGAAACCAGATGTCATTTCATGTGTCAGTTAGTTAGTTAATTAGATAATCGACCGATTATCCACACTGTACATCAGACAAGTCAATAAGTGTTTGGATCCCATCTTCAGTATCTCTTTTAACAATGTGGCGACTGATAACACCAGTTTTGTGTTGGTTTAATATTCTTCTTTGGCTGCTTCGCCACTTGGGAATCCTCTGCTCTAATCGGGATGCCCAGATGATCTTCGGTGAGAAGCTAAGATTAGTATACAGACGAGAGCTTTAGAAAGTATGTTAGTAGACTTTGGCTTCTTGTGTAGTATTTATGTCTGGCAAAATCTCTGTTGATATGAAGTTTCTGTAGTGTTATTTTATGTGATGTCACCATGAACATTCAGAATACATGCAGCCCACTCAGAACATACTCTTTCAGGGTTCTCAGTGGCAAAGTGGTTACACTGTTTGCCAGGTGCTATAAGACTGGGTTCAGTTTTGGGCTTTGTCCTCCTTAAGTGGGTTCCAGGGTAGCATTATGGAGTTGGGGTGGTGGTGGGGGGGGGGGGATAATAGACCACACTATCCTAACATACAAGGTGAATAATTAGGAGTTTTGAAAGCTATGGTAGTGTAGCAGCTAGATGCTCGTCTCTGGCCAGAAGGTCATGGGTTTGAATCCGCATATTTCAAAATTGATCTTGGTTCCTAGAGAGAACTGAATGAGATCACTCTGATCTACTCCACCACATCCATATAATCACTGTCATTATATATGGAGGTTTGCATGCATACATACATCATCATATAAGCATATACATGCACATGCATAATATTCAAATTAAAAACAGTCACACATCATGCACTTCTTATGAATGAATAAATTAATTGATTGCAGAGAGGAGTTGGTGACTAAATTAACAGAAAAAAAAAAGAAGAAATCAACTTTACCTTGGCTAAGTATGCAGATATCTCTTCAATCATCTCTGTATTGATTGAGTCTAATCTGTGTGATGGGATACTCTCTAAGCCCTCAAGAGTTTTCTGCTGAACTTTAAGTTTACTTGGAGAACTGTTCAAGGTCAAATTTTTTTTAATTATTATTATTAAAGAAAAAAATACATAGATAATGATAATGATGATGACATGTAAATGAAATGAGTTTACAACTAGAGGTTTGGGTAGTTTGTGGAATGGCAGAAATTTAGCTGTAAATTTCCTTTTTTACTGGCTGTAAACTTTGGTGGAAAGTTCTGGTTGTTCAACCACTTCTGGACCTTGGTTTTGTTCTTGAATAGAAATTTTGCATGCATATCCATTTACAGATCTGGCTTACAGAGTTTACATATTTGCCTTCTTTGTATGCAGACTATCTCTCAGGCAGATGCCCTCTGACCTCAAAGGAAATGTCAGTTCTATCTACTGTGGGCAGACTCCAAGTAGATCACCTGTCTTTTGGATTACAATGGAAAGGTATAGATAGGTCTTAATCAGTCTCAGCCCTGATCGTGCTGCATCATCTGCTCCTATGCAATTCAGTGCCCAGTGCAGTTGATCAGATACATTCCCTTATGTAAGTCAACTGTTACTATGTTCAGTATTTATATGCAATCCAGTGCCCAGTGCAGTTGATCAGATACATTTCCTTATGTAAGTCAAGTTACTATGTTCAGTACTTACTTTAAAACATGTGGTAGACAAAGCAGACAAATTCGCAAGGATTCTGGGGGGGGGGGGGGGGGGGGGGCCAAGCCGAAGACAGAGCAAATAGTGAAAGTAGCATGACTTTTAAAACTGGTGTCTTCATGGGAACAAGAGACGAGTCTTGATCAACTGCACTGAGGGAACTTCATAAGGGAGTTACAAATGGTAATTGAGAGCAACAACAACAACAAAAAAGAAGACGCAGAAAAAAATTTGATAAGGATGCACAGAAGAAGATGAAGAAGAAGAGGCAGAACAGAAGAAGAAAATGAAGAGGAGACGGAAATGGGGGAGAGGGTGGTGAAGAAAAAGAAAGCAGCAGAAGAAGAAGGGATGAGAAAGTAGAAGTGGGGGAGGAGAACAATGAAAAAAAAAATAAAAACGAATGAATAAGAAAAGACGATGAAGAACAAGAATTAGAAGGTGAAAGAAGAAAAGAGAAGAAGGAGAAACATGAGAACTCTAGATAGCAAGGCTCAAACAAGCAAATATTAAACAACACCTACATTCCAGAGCCCTCCTTGACAGCTTGCCTCCCCGAAGTCAACATCACGGCCACAGTATCCCAGGCCTTGTCTGTATCCTCCTGGCTGATGCCTTTCCCAAGACCACTTTGACCAATTGATGCAGCCGTGTGGGAGAATATATCTGTCCATTTGTTGTCAGCACTTACGCCCAGCTTGCCAAAGTGTCTACACAGAAAAAAATGGATGCACATGTATATATTCAAACTGTTTAGTTATCATCATCATCATCATCATCATCATTATCTTCCACTTTTGCCATTAACTCTTTCATTACCAAATAATTCACCATATATTTCTTGGTCATTCCAAAGCTAATATAATGTTTCTGTACCTTCTGACAGAAGTTACATTAACTCTTTTCCCTTGAAAAGATAAACAAAACGGACACTTCCCGTTGGATCCAACTCCCTGTAAATTTCCCTTTTCCCATGAGTCTATAAAGATCTGCTTAAGAGATGCAAAGTTAATGCTACTGGCTGAGTCTGTGCCTGTGCTAACATTTTGGAGGTCAGGATATGAATATTCTTTTAACTCTTGTATTTGAATCATTAGTTTTACTACTTCTGTCTTATTGTGTCTCTGTTCACATCTATCATCGATTTAAACCACAAACATTAAAACATAAAAGAGAAACTAAGACCTCAGAAATGAAGTGTCTAGGATAAATCCCGCCCGTGTGTCACCGGGGCCCTCACGGGAAGCAAAGAATAGTGACACTGCACCCTACCAGGCATGTCGTAAGAGGCAACTAAGGGTAGGGTTGGGCTTGAGGTTGGCTACCTCATCCTGTAAAAACCATAGCCACAAAAACCAACCAACCATGGATAAGTCAAAAAGAGAAGCAAATAAAATCCAGCCAACCAAGATGAGGGAAGGCTCTTCAAATAGAAGTATGACACGGTGTGGAGAAAGCCGCAAGGAGTCCGGATCGTTGACGTACCTCCTCTCAGCTAGGAAAACCTCCAGAATTGGCACCTGGAATGTTAGAACTCTCTATGATATAGGGAGAACAATGGAAGTAGCAAAGGAAATGAAACATTATAGAATTAGTATTTTAGGGTTATGTGAAACTAGATGGACTGGGGCAGGGAAAAGTATTCTTAATTCAGGAGAAACTATTTTGTTCTCAGGACACACAGAGGAAAATTTGCCGCACAGTGAGGGAGTGGCCCTGATGCTATCAAAAGAAGCAGACAGGGCACTAATAGAATGGGAAGCTGTGAGTCCCAGAATAATAAGAGCATCTTTTAGAACAGTTAAACAGAAGGTGAACATCTTGGTAATACAGTGTTATGCACCAACAAATGATAAAGATGCATTTGTTAAGGGAGAATTTTACATGCAGCTTCAAAATATTATAAATAATGAAAGAACGGGCAACTTAAAAATTTTGATGGGCGACTTCAATGCTAAGATAGGATCAGACAACACAGATTATGAAGAAATTATGGGGAGACATGGTCTAGGAGTAATGAATGAAAATGGAGAATTGTTCACAAATTTTTGTGCAGGTAACCAGTATGTTATTGGTGGAAGTATTTTTTCCCATAAAAGTATACACAAGGCAACATGGGAATCACCAGACCATAAGACAACTAATCAAATTGACCACATATGTATTAACAAAAAGTTTAGATCATCCCTTTACGATGTTAGGGCTTTCAGAGGTGCCGATGTATTTACTGACCATTTCCTGGTGGTAAGTAAAATCAAGTTGAAACTAAAAAGATATATAACATCTTATAATCATAGAAACCAATATAATGTAGGCTTTCTCAGAGATAAAGAAATTAAGGAACAGTTCTCAGTTACGGTCTCTAATAAGTACCAGGTGTTGCAGCAGTTAGCTGAAGATGTCAACACAGAAGTCTGCTGGGATCAGATCAAATGAATCTGGAATGAATCTTGCGTAGAAGTTCTTGGCAAGAAAGAAAGAAAACATAAAGCATGGATAACACCAGAAACCATTAAACTGATTGAAGATAGGAAAAGTAAAAAGGCAGAATTAAACAATAGCAAAACTAGAGCTGCTAAAGCTAGAGCTCAGGAGAAATACACAGAAGCCAACAAGGAAGTTAGGAGGCATATAAGGGCAGATAAAGTGAAATATCTAAATGATCTAGCACAAGAAGCAGAGACAGCAGCAGCAAAAGGAAACCTCAGAGAACTTTAGAGTAACACAAGAAAATTAGTAGGTAAATATAGTCACCCAACTGGATTAATCGAAAATAGACAAGGAAAGGTACTTACTAACACTAAAGATCAAATAGACAGATGGGTTGAATATTTTGAAATGCTTCTAAATAGACCAGGCCCAGAGGTTTCCCCAGATATCCAGCCTTTAGAAATGGAACTGGATATCAACTGTGAGATACCATCCAAAGAGGAAATTAGGAAAGCTATAAATCTTCTCAAAGAAGGAAAGGTGACAGGCCCAGACGGTATCCCAGCTGAAGCCATCAGGGCCAACATAAACACATCAACAGAATTGCTACATAGATTATTCAGTAAAGTCTGGGAGACCGAAGAAATACCAGCAGACTGGAGAGAAGGATATCTTGTGAAACTGCCCAAAAAAAGTGATCTACAGGAGTGTGAAAACTATAGAGGAATTATGTTGCTGTCAGTTCCTGGAAAAATATTAAGTAGAATTATTTTGGAAAGATTAAAAGATGCTATTGATAAAATGCTAAGAGATGAGCAGGCAGGTTTTCGGTCAAACAGATCCTGTACTGATCAGATAGCCACATTAGGTATTATAATAGAGCAAAGCATTGAACTGAACTCACCACTTTACATTGGATTTATAGACTATGAAAAAGCATTTGACAGCATAGATAGGGAATCTCTCCGGAAATTGATGGGGCACTATGAAATCCAACAGAAAATTATCAACTTAGTAAAGGCAACATATAAAGACATGAAATGTCGAGTTCTTCATGAGGGAAAGCTAACAGTTGCATTTGAAATAAAAACAGGTGTGCGACAGGGATGTCTTTTGTCGCCTCTCTTATTTTTACTGGCTATAGACTGGACTATGAAAACAGTAACTGCTAACACCAAGAATGGAATTCAGTGGACCCCTACAAAACAGCTTGATGATCTGGACTTCGCTGATGATATTGCTCTTCTGTCCCATTCACGGAATCAGATGCAAGATAAATTAAATATACTTAATGCAAGATCAAAGCAGCTTGGTCTGAAAATCCATAAAGGAAAGACAAAGATAATGAGAATAAATCAGGCAAATAGTAATGTGGTTTCTCTTAATGGCACCCTACTCCAAGACGTGGAGTTGTACACCTATTTAGGCAGTAATGTAGATAAAGATGGAGGAACTGATAGAGATATTAAAATAAGAATACAAAAGGCAAGAGGGGCTTTCATAGCACTAGGGAATTTGTGGAGGTCAAAAGAAATTAAAAGAAATACTAAACTAAAAATTTTTAATTCTAATGTCAAATCAGTACTATTGTATGGGGCAGAAACATGGAGAACAACGAAGGCAATTACTAATAAATTACAGACATTCATTAACTGGTGCCTGCGCAGAATAGAGGGAATAAAATGGTAAGATAGAATAACTAATGTAGAACTTTGAGAGAGAACTAAACAGGCTCCAGTGGATCAGGAAGTGAGGAAAAGATGCTGGCGTTGGATAGGGCACACACTGAGAAAACAGGAGAACAGCATTACTAGAATGTCTTTGCATTGGAATCCACAGGGGCATAGGAATAAAGGAAGGCCAAAAAACACATGGAGAAGAGAGCTGGAGAACGAGGTTAGAAAGATTGGGAGGACATGGGGAGAGCTCTATGCAATGGCGAAGGATAGAACAACTTGGCGTGAGTTGGTTGAGGGCCTATGCTCCATTGGGGGATAGAAAGGCAGAAGAAGAAGAAGGATAAATCCTAAATCCAACAAGAAGAGCTAGGAACAGAAATAACGATATCAAGAAACACATTTGGATGGACCTAGTGCTAAACTAAATCAGGAGGCAACAGACCAAATGGTTTGGTCATGTGTCAAGATACCAGAAGATAGTGCATCACTGAGTGCCCTGTGGCTTCAATTAATCAATAAATCAGGTGCCATCTCCACAGTGAAGATCGGCTGCAATGGATCGCCAACACACCCTGTCTTTTGTCCTGGTTGTACACTCTCTCAGACTGCTGCCTGTCCATCTCTTGATACTGTCCTCCCACTTGTATCATCGCCCACCTCTTGTTCCCTCAAGAATGGTCTTCAAAAGCATGTTATGTAATTTAATGTGGCCAAAGTATCCCAGTTGTCTCCTCTTCATTCCTTTCAGCAAATCTCTTCTCATTTCTAATCCCCTCAGAAAGTCTGCATGTTTTTATTTCCACTGTCACTCAGACACAATGGAAGCAGACCTAGAGGTTGCCGATGGAAGTGATGGACAGATGCAGTATCAGAGACCCTGAATACCAGCATCTATGTAGCACCCACCAAGGCAATGGATGTCTCCTTAAAACCTGATGCTACCCCATATGGGTTCCGAGGCAACACTGTAGGGGGAAAAAACAAGAACAGACCCACTGCCTCGCCAAAAAGCATGTGGCAGGAGTTGACTAATTACGGGTTTCCTTCTAAGTCAGAGTGCATGTGCATGAAAGGCAAGCAACTAACAGTCTGCATAAAGATGGGCTAGATCTGTAAAATGGATGTGCACACAAAGCTCAGATTCTGGAACAAGACTAGAGTCCTGCACTGAACAAACAATCAGAAATTGTCACCTCAGTTTACAGCTGGGGAACATAAAGAGGAAGAAGAAAAGCTGATGCTAAAAGGCAGAAAAGGACTAGAGAACAGAAGAAGAAGAAGAAAGATCAAAGTTTCATATACATATATGCCTGTACTAGAGCTAAACTTTCACACACATATTAAAGCTTAACAAACATCAGCACTTTACAAAGAACAGGTGCTCACAATAAAAACAAAATAGAGCTTTCATCAACATCATCATCATCATCATACTGGACCATTAAATATGAATATTTAGTCTAGCACCTTTGGCGTTCTCCTTAATGTTTGTTTTAGTGTTTCTCTTGGACCATCCTCATTTCCTCAGTCACTGGGAAAGCTAACACAGTGACAAAATGCCTGATGAAGTTGGATATGTCGGCCGAAAGGTGCAAATAATGCAGCTGTGTTGTAAACAGGCACAAGACACTTACGGCACTCGGACCAACGATGAAGAACAATTTCCTCAGTCCATTTGTTTCCCCTGTTTATATCAGCCTCTATCCGGACATTTCTCTGATTTCTTCCCCTTTCTTAAATTCATTCCATTTAATGTTCATTATTTTTCTCAGGCATTTGTTTTCAAATACATTTAATTTCCATTCCCTGTCTTTAGTGGTCCTCCCACTTTCACTGGCACACGTTAAAACTGAAATAACATTGGAACTGAAAATAAAATAACTTGAATCTAAAACAACATAATTTACAATTCCATATTTTGTTCAGGCTTTAGAGCATAAAAAACATTCAATTCTCACTGTCATAAATGTCTAAGCTTCACAAGCATAAACATTTCATTGTCATGAACATGTGCCAACTATACAACATAATGATCAATCAAAAATCGATTATTAAACTGGTAAAAGCTGTGAAAAATCAAAATGAACAATGCCGCATTGTGCAAACAAAAAGAGTGTGTGGCAAATGTCAAAAGTTTGTTGGAATCATGTGACTATCTTTAACTTCTCTTCATGAGATGCAGTCTAGCTAGAAAAGACAATGTGATTTGTGTATTTTAGAGGAAAGGATTTCTTTTTGTGCTTCACATGTTTAGTAACTCTAGTAATGCAGCTGATGCGACAAAATGTTATATGCCAGAAAGTAAACTGCAAACTATTGTTTGTGTCTGCCTTATTTAAATTCACAAAATATGTATATAAACTCAACAACTCACGCTGACTTGACTCCGGCAGGGTTCAATCTCTGGTCTAGGTCTGGTGGAGAAGGTGACTTAATGAAGGTTCCATTGATCTTCAGTCCTTCATTTAGTGTTCCACTGAAGGTGCCCTCCAGCTTGTCACCAGAGGATAAAGTCAGGATACCCTGCACATTAAACAACATATGGAAGAAGTCTGTAAAGACATTTCAAGTAAGTAACTCTAAACTAAAAGAATATCCTTATTTTTGTTCTTCTTCTTTTGCTATATAAATGCTACATAATTTTATATACAATTATTTAAAATATTTCATTAAAATAAAGTATACTACCCATAAAATAAAATGTGGAAGAAGTAAATAAGAGACAGCTCAATAAAATTTACAATGATGTTCACATACCAGTCAATCCAACATCTCAGACACCCAAACGTCTCCCTTCCAGCAAAACAGCAAATGATTATTAGCATCAACATCCTTACTTTATGCTTTCAGTGCCAAACACGAAAAATGAATAGGGCACCAGAACAGAAAATAACTAACTGTGAAATCTGCCATCTCCATAAAGTCACTTAGACAAAAAGGGACAGGGTTACGAATACCAACACTGGAGATAAAGTTGGAATAAGACTGTGTCTGAATTATGTTGACAGACATCTAGTGAGAATGCAGTCATGTCAAACTGCGAATGAGACTTTTTACAGCAGAACATTTGGGAGGAAGGCGATAGGAACACCAAGAAAGAGAAGAATAAACAGTGTAGCTGAAACCTGCAAAAAGATGAACAAATCCACCACTTAAGCCACCCAAGAAGCGCAAGACAAAAAAAGAAAACCACTCAAGGCTGGATCGACCTGTGAGTCAAGGTCATTTTTGAAAAAAAAAAGTCTCCGTCAGGACGTGAACCCACGACTTTCTAATCCGCAGGCTGGCGTCTAGCCGCCAACGCCATGGTGACTCCATACCAGACTATGCAATAATACAATAATTATTTAAAACACTTTCAATAAGATAAATAATATCACCTTTCCAGATAAGTGTGTAATATCCATGAAATCCCCTTCGTATATTGTGTTGTCATCCGATATCATGATGCCAAAGCCCTAGCAGAACAATTATGAGAAAATTGAAAACAATGCAACATAATACTATAAACACATTCTGAAACAAAACATACACAATCCTACTGCAGTATCTAACCATTATTCCTGTGGTCATTAATGTAATATTAATTGCCAGACTTTTATACTAATCTAGCCAAAGGTTTTTTTTTTTAAATTCCTTTCCTTATTTACTGTAAGTTGTACATTCTCATTCTAGCTGACAAATCCTCTGTTCCTATTCTTACTATAACGGTACACTCTGACCCTCACATGCAGGAGTTTTAGGATCAGCACAGGTCAATATTAAAGTTTGTATCAACCCCCCCCCCCCCCCCCACCCCCCCCCACACTTTTGTTTTATTTTGGCTGAGTTTTTTTTAATCATTAAAACAGGCAGAAACAGAAGGAAAGCGAGGGGTAGACAGGCAGATTGACAGATAAATCAACATAATAATGACATGTTGTTTGTTTGTGTTCAACTGTGAAGCACAAAATTGTATATTTTTATCAAATTTACAGCCTTTTCTTAATGGCAGCTCAAGTAAAGATTACTTCAACTTATGTTAATAAATTATTCACCATTAATCTAATTATGACATTTTATCTTGAAAACAGAAATTCTCTCAATCACAAATGTCAGCTTGGGTTCAAACCTGCATCTAACTTGATTTCTTTTCTTCAAAACTGACCTTGACTCCAAAGTCAACCCAGCCTAAAATTGATACCAGGTAATGTCCTAGGAAAGAAAAAGATGGTTGGCTTGATGACGATTAAATCACCAACTAAGTGTTGACTTATCTAGAAACGCCAGGGGGTAAATAAACAAAAGGGTGCTACAGCAGTGCAGTGACTAATCAACTTACCTGCCAGCTCAGTGGTCTTATGTTCAAATCCCCAAAAACATACATTTTAAAATTCATTAACTCTTTTAGTCCCAGGCAGTTGTCATTTAAACTTGTTTTATTCTAACAGGCTAGACTTGAAAGTATTAAATGTTTAGGTCTGAAGGAGTTACACAAGATACATTATGAGGTAGAAGATGTTAAACTTACAAATGAGATACAGCTTGTTAAGGTAGCATTGAATTGTTACAGAAGAAAGCAAGAACAGTATGCTGTCTTTGGAGTGATAATGAAATGCATGGCAAGTTGCTCGGTACCCAATGAGTTCCAGGGTGATCTAAGTAAAAATATAAGTGACAGGACATCTTCTGGATAGTAAAAGTGACCATTCTGGACATGCCTCCAGAGAAGGACAGCAGACAGAAAAAGAGACTTTGACAACTTAAGGAAACATGGAGAAGGACAGAAAAAAGGGAAATGACAGAGTGTTAACTGACATGGGATACCACTGGCAGAAAGGCAGAAGAATGGCAGCAGCAAAAATAAAAATAAAAGTATTATCTGATAGCTCTCTGACTTTGGGATATGAAGATTAGGCTGACCATATTATTCATATTATACAGTGAATGCTGATTGCTCTGTTTTAAAAAAAACGCAACTAGCAACATAAGACTAATATAATCCAAGGCACGGAAACAGATCATTTACTTTAATAAACAAATACAATGAATGAAATATAAAGAAGACATCATAAAACAGTGCATGGCAACTGAACTCACAAAGAAAAGACAATCAAATGATACGTACTGTAAGTTTGTTTTGTTGAAAAGTGCCTTCAAAATACATGCCGTCCAATGTGACCATCACACCTGAGCCATGTCTTTGATCCTGTGTCCACATCCCCAAATATTTCTCACCTGAGAACATTAAAAAGTAAATATCCAATGACTGACACTGACTTAGGGATATGAAGATTAAGTTTTCACATAAACCAGTTTGATAAAATGACTGCCCTCAGAGAGACATACAAAAACAGTAAAATCTTGTTAGCACAAACTCACTTAAGGAGAACACTTGGTTAAAATGGGGGCTGCATGGTCTCAAAGCATGACATCCGCCTCGAGTGCTGGAGGTCCAGGGTTCAAGCCCAGATAAAGGTTGGGATTTTTTCATGTGGACTTCTAGTAATTTCCCCTGGTCTCTTGGTAGTAAGATCAGACACCTATGTGTATTGTTTTGCATGTAAAAAAATCCTCTGGCAGTTGAAAATCGAAAAAGAGTAGCCTAACGGTGCTGCCCGGGGCAAAATTTGGAGTTTAAAATCTACCCAAAGTATTTCAGGATCCTCATCAGTGCTATGGATGGAGTTTAGGCACTGTGCTGAGATTCTTCAGACTTGAGTCATAAATAGATCGGAGCACTTATGGGTTACTATCCTTGTGCCATGATGTTAATCCGTCGTCTTAAACCTAAACCTAAAACTTGGTAAACATGAACAACATTTTGGTCTCAGTAGGGATGTATTATTATAAGTCTCCAGCTAGTACTCATATTTATGATCGCAAACTCTTCACATTTTTGGTCTCCTGGAATTTTTGTTGATGAGGTATTACTGTAAATGAATCAAGTGACAACTATTAATTGGTCATTTTGACTAGATTACAAGAACTGCAATTCAAAATGGATCTATCTATTTTATCTGCATGTCATTGTTGACACATCTCCCACACTGTGAGCCACGAATAGTCATACTTTTACTTAGGTTAGGGCGCCGTAGAAAGATTTTAATTGAAAAAAGGTGCCGCGACCAAGAAAGGTTTGGGAAGCACTGACATAAGGGATTCACAAGTGATGATTTACACTGCTGCCGGTCTTCTGCTTTTCTGCCTATATGACTCTATGTCAGTTTACCCTCTCTGTGGTTTCAACTTCTACTGACCATCTCCATGCTTCCTTAGGTTGTCTATGCTTTCTTTTCCCATCTTCCTTTCACCGGAGCGTTGTCCTTGCCAAAGTGTCAGGAGGTATTCTGCAAACATGTCCAAGCCATCTCCATCGTCTTTTTTCGATAATGTTTGCCAGTGATGAACATTCTGTTTTCCTCCTCAGTTCTTTCTTTGTGATCTCATTTTGCCAAAATCATAAGGGATGAAGCAAAGAACAAGCTCATGCAGGAAGCCGAAGAAGAAAAGCAATCAATACAAAACTGAAATAAGAAATATATCACCCCCAACCCCTCTTCTTAATTTTGTAGAGAACAAATTGATAAACATGACTGACCACTCCTATATTTGAAGCTGATGTTGCTTCCAATACGTGGTGTTATTATGTGACAGTGATAATCACATAATCATATGTGAATGACATTAGCTTTGTCTGTTTCAGAAATGTCTTCCTGGTTTCTGAACAACAACAAAACAAGAAAAATAAATCACTTTTGCCTTTTTCAATCAGGCTACTGTCCTTCCTGGGTGGACTTTGAAACATTCAGGGATAAAGATATTTGAGAATTAACAAATATATATATCTCAGTGAATGTGAAAATAGCACAAACAGGCCCCAAATACCACACCCAGGAAGAAAAACATGGCTGCCATACCTTTCAGTGTGTCATCTTCTACACCGTATCCTTCTTTCAGATTGTTGACCCACTCCCCGATGTAAACAGACATCCAGGTGGACTTGTGGCGTCCTGACTGGTATTTACCATGACCAAACCTTTGACCATCCAGGAAGTAACCCTCGTACAGATCTCCGTTTGCGTAGCTGGAAACACGGCATTAGGCATACATAACAGAGACAGGGTTATAAGGAGATTAGACAGACACAGAGTAGTAAAGAGATTCAACACTGGTACAGAGAGGATGAACATAACAGACACAGTGTCATAAAGGCATTCAACACTGGTACAGAGATGATGAACATAACAGACACAGTGTCATAAAGGCATTCAACACTGGTACAGAGATGATGAACATAACAGACACAGCATCATAAAGGCATTCAACACTGGTACAGAGATGATGAACATAACAAACACAGTGTCATAAAGGCATTCAACACTGGTACAGAGATGATGAACATAACAAACACAGTGTCATAAAGACATTCAACACTGGCACAGAGATGATGAACATAACAGACACAGTGTCATAAAGGCATTCAACACTGGCACAGAGATGTTGAACATAACAGACACAGTGTCATAAAGGCATTAAACACTGGTACAGAGATGATGAACTTAAAAGACAGTGTCATAAAGGCATTCAACACTGGTACAGAGATGTTGAACATAACAGACACAGTGTCATAAAGGCATTTAAACACTGGTACAGAGAGATGATGTCATAAAGGCATAACAGACAGACACAGTGTCATAAAGGCATTCAACACTGGTAAACCCACGGTGGGCCTAAAACAAGGTAATAAGAGATTTAATAAAACATAACAGTAATACCAATGATAATCTGCCTACCTGACAGATGGCAAATCCATTGAGTCTGCCATCTTTCCAGTTTTCCCTTCTGTACTTCAGTGCCTTTAATCCTTGACAATAGTGAAAGTACCAGGTCTGTGGAAGCATCACAAGTAGCAATAGATAATATTATTTAATTATATCTCTAAGGAACTGGAATGTGATTTATCTAGGCTTGCAGCAGAATTTGGCTAAAGTTCAAAAGGTTACAAAGGTACAGTCCAGAGGATTGGCTTCACTGCCATGGAAAGGATATGTTAAAGTAAAAGGTGGAAGGTTAAATTCAAGGGTATTGGCTTTACTGCAATGGAAGGATATCGCTCAGTAAAATGTGGAAGGTTAAAGTCAAGGGGATTAGCTTCACTGCAAAGGAAGGATATGGCTAAAGTTAAAGGTGGAAGGTTAGAGTCAAGAGGATTGGCTTCACTGCAAAGGAAGGATATGGCTAAAGTAAAAGGTGGAAGGTTAAAGTCAAGAGGACTGGCTTCACTGCAATGAAAGGATTTGGCTAAAGTAAAAGGTGGAAGGTTAAAGTCAAGAGGACTGGCTTAACTACAATGGAAGGATTTTGCTAATTTTAAAGGTAGAAAGTTAAAGTCAAGAGGATTAACTTTACACAATAGGAGGATATGGCTTAAGTTAAAGGTAAAACCTTAAAGTCAAGGGGATTGGCTTTATTGCAATGGAAGGATATGGCTATAAAAAAGGATGAAAAAAAAACAAAACAAAAAAGTGTTAAATGCAAGGATGACTGTAGTTGAACTGGTACAGAGAATTAAATGACCTCACATCAAATATGATTAGAAAGCTTATAAAGGAAAGGAAAGATTCAGGGAGTATGCAACTATTTTTTGAAGATCCTTACTCAACTAATTAGTCCCTGATTATGGAGGTCATGACAGGGACCAAAGCAGTACATTGCTTGAGACACCAGACATTCACCCCTGCATGCTTTTTCCAGTGACTCAATGAGTATGCTCATGAAAACAGAGAATGACTGGATCCAAAAGACACTGGTGTTTTGTCTCTGAAGCGGTCAGGGCTGAGACAGATAAGTTTTCCTTTTTTTTGTGCCACGGCAGACAGGGTGGGCAAGGAAATTAACAAGCTGATAGTCTTGCTGGTGAGGGTTAACTGTGAAGGGCTAGAATGAGCCATGGATCAGCCTGACAGAACACTGAATGTTAAGTACGAAACATTTTACAAGAAACAAGTTATCTGTGAATCTGCGACCATGACCATACTAAGAAGAACAGCAAGTTAAAAGGGTGTTGGCCAGACAAGAGCACTTATACAGGGAGCCACAGAAGAATTAAAACCCAGCACCAGAACTTCGAAACAGTGTCGTTTTGCTGCTATATGCTTGCTGGATTTTACTGAGGAGGGGATCCGAGCACTAATTGGACTGAATTGGTTCGACGTGTAGCGAGATGTCAACTAACCCGGAAACCCCACCTCTTTCTCCCCCCCCCCCCACCCCCCCCACCCACAACACTTTTGATGGATTGGACCTGCTGGAATAAGATCAGAACGACAAGAACTACAGAACCAAGACCCTGACAGTTTTATAATGCATAAACCTGCTGTCCTGTGTGGTGTGGGATTTGTTTTTTTTGACCAGTATCTTTATCAACAAAAAAACATGTTGATAGTTCAAGTACTAATTTTCTGTTTGTAAAAAAAAAAAAAAGATACACTCCACAATAAGCAGAGTAAACATGTGCACAAATCCCAAGTAACTACATACTTTGACATGGACCACAATCACCGGTGAAACAGAACTCAACAAGTCACATAAATTGACAATATTCCACATTTTGAATAACAGTAGTGAATAAACCTGGTAGTTGGGTGATCAATGGTGACTTACACAGATTCAGAATATAATTTGTTGCTTCTCAGTCCTTTATTCCTTCCGCTGTTTTCATCTTTATGGTCCCCCCCCCCGCATGGAAAAAAGATGAATTCACTGCTTTACTAGTTCTTTTTCTTGTTCTTCTTTCTTCACGTTCACTGGCTGTAAACTCCCAGTGGAAGGTTTCTGGTTGTTTGTCCCACCTCTTGATTTTAGACTTGCTCCAGTAATCATAGTGTTTTGTGTGCAAATCCCATTTTACAGATCTGACTTACATCTGTATGCACATTGCTGGTTCCCTTGCTGATGCTCTCCGGCAGATGCACTCTTCGTGAAGAAAGCCCCCAGTTAGTTGGATCGTACGACATGATTGTGTTGGGAAAAGCAGTGGGGCTAGTCTTGTTTTCTTTCAACAATGGTGCATTCCAACTTTTTCAGCTGCTGGCTGTTTTTTTTTTATTATAGACTGAAAACTTGATGGTCAAAGAGCAAGATAAATACCTACAGAACAGAAGAGACCAACAATGATTATTCTTTCTAACCTTGGTATGAAGCATTTGATGATAATCCTTCATCATGTGACATGGCAAGTCAAATACTTTCTTTCATGGCTGAATTCGACAACGAAAAGATTTGCTCTATTTACATGAAAATTTAATAAAGGGAAAGCTTACCCGTGGCATCATTCCCTTCCTGGAACTGTCTCTCAAATGTTGTGTCCGTCTGGCCATTTCAAAGTACCCATTGAAACATTCATTAAAAAAAGAAAAGCATATAGGAAGCATGCCAAATGACACCGGACACGTCAGAAGACTTGTTTAATCAAACATAGAACTGGTACTATTAGCCATCGGACGTTGGGGGGTTCATACTGAGTGGAGGATCTGAGCACCTATTGGACACAATGTCCGGAGTGCAATGAATGATAAACCCAACTAACTAACTAACTAACTAACTGACTAACTAACTAACTAACTACTAACTAACTAACTAACTAACTAACTAACTAACTAACTAACTAACTAACTGAACTAATGCCAAATGACAATGGAGTCACAAAACAACTAATCAAATGCATTTAGTACCAGTACACATTTCTGACTCTTCTTCTTCTTCTATCACCGATAGTTTGTTTACATGAACTCATTTTTCCTTAGAAATCAGGAGTGCATTTTTTCTGAGAAGGTGAGAAACAACCCTTGCCTACAAATAAACAAGATCTATCAAACGGATGAACAAAGCCAAGTGTCCAAAAATGGGACAAACAACCAGGTACTTTCCTTTCCATCACAGTTTACAGCCCAGTGAACTCAAAGCAAATAAAAACAACACACCAAGCAAATAACAAAACAGACAACATGAGCTAATTATTTTTAAACTGTTAGTTTAAACTCTTTCGGCCTCTAGGGTCATTAGTAAAACTTCTTTTAACTGAAAGCACTGACTACTACTTTGTAGTTCAAATATGCATCAGGATGTTCTGACTTTTTTTAAATTTTTTTTTTATAATGGCAATGGCACCCCGGCCTAATATGATTACAAGGGAAAGTCCTGGGAATAAAGGTGTCTGGAATTATGTTGACCATATTCACCCATTGAATGCTAGCTGTAATTCTTGTCTATATAAAAATATGATTTTTCAGCATAAAAAGGTAAAGTCGAGAGATGTGAACCAGCGTCACTGAACACTGTAATAAACCATAAGTGCTCTGCCATCAGTACAGAGAGCTGATAAGAAATTGTCCGCCTGTGTCGCCGTTCGTGCATAACTCCGTAGCTACAGCAACGTTCCTCCATTTACCCCAGAGTGTCAACTCTGGTACCCATTTCCTAGAAGCTGTGTGAACCCTGCGAACTGCCCAGTTTCGAACACCGGCCGTGGACTGCAGCGAGTCGCAACTGGATTTGAAAGTGAGTCTCCTATCAACGGTGCGGACGCGGCCCCCTTAAGTTCAGCATTTTTTCCCAAGCACCACTGCCGTGGAAAGGGTACTCTTTTTTCTTTCAAAACTTTAAACTAGAACTTTTTGGTCTTTTTCAAGTTGCAACCCCATACTATAAAGACAAATTCACTCGCATTCGCCAATACACACCATTTCAAAATATCTTTTTAATAGGCTTTTAATGCAACACATTAAAAAAATAAATTTGCCTGTAATCAGCAAACAAATCTTTAGTTAGTTAGTCCACATGTGTGGTGTTGGTCCTCATGTCTGTCCCTCATGTTGCAGGATGCAATGGCATGATTTTGGTTTTCTCTTCTTAAATTGTCATAGTTATTAATAACTACCCGGCGACACCTCAGAAACCTCTTTGTTGGAGACTCCCCCATTTTGTAGTTCCTTGGCCACTGATGGTTGGGAACCCCATATGTTTAAATTATTCACAGGCTAGTACTAAAAGAAGTTGAAGTCCCACATGTGTGGTGTTGGTCCATCATGTCTGTCCCCGGACTTCTGTCATGTGTAGTCCACATGTGTGGTGTTGGTCATCATGTCTGTCCCCAGACTTCTGTCATGTGTAGTCCCAGGTGTGTGGTGTTTGGTCATCATGTCCTGTCCCCAGACTTCTGTCATGTGTAGTCCAGGTGTGATGTGGTGTTTGGTCATGAATGTCCCTGTCTCCAGACTTCTGTCATGTGTAGTCCACATGTGTGGTGTTGGTCATCATGTCTGTTCCCAGACTTCTGTCATGTGTAGTCCACATGTGTGTGTTGGTCCTGTCATGTCTGTCCCCAGACTTCTGTCATGTGTAGTCCACATGTGTGGTGTTGGTCCTCATGTCTGTCCCCAGACTTCTGTCATGTGTAGTCCACATGTGTGGTGTTGGTCATCATGTCTGTCCCCAGACTTCTGTCATGTGTAGTCCACATGTGTTGTTGTTGGTCCTCAATGTCTGTCCCCAGACTTCTGTCATGTGTAGTCCACATGTGTGGTGTTGGTCCTCATGTCTGTCCCCAGACTTCTGTCATGTGTAGTCCACATGTGTGGTGTTGGTCCTCATGTCTGTCCCCAGGTCTGTCATGTTGTAGTCCATGTTGGTCCTCATGTCCCCAGACTTCTGTCATGTGTAGTCCACATGTGTGGGTGTTGGTCATCATGTCTGTCCCCAGACTTTCTGTCATGTGTAGTCCACATGTGTGGTGTTGGTCCTCATGTCTGTCCCCAGACGTTCTGTCATGTGTAGTCCACATGTGTGGTGTTGGTCCCTCATGTCTGTCCCCAGACTTATGTCGTGTGTAGTCCAGGTGTGTGGTGTTGGTCCCATGTGTCTGTCCCCAGACTTCTGTCATGTGTAGTCCACATGTGTGGTGTTGGTCATCATGTCTGTCCCCAGACTTCTGTCATGTGTAGTCCCACATGTGTGGTGTGTTGGTCCTCATGTCTGTCCCCAGACTTCTGTCATGTGTAGTCCACATGTGTGGTGTTGGTCATCATGTCCTGTCCCCAGACTTCTGTCATGTGTAGTCCACATGTGTGGTGTTTTGTCATCATGCCTGTCTCCAGACTTCTGTCATGTGTAGTCCACATGTGTGGTGTTGGTCATCATGTCTGTCCCCAGACTTCTGTCATGTGTAGTCCACATGTGTGGTGTTGGTCCTCATGTCTGTCCCCAGACTTCTGTCATGTGTAGTCCATAATGTGTGGTGTTGGTCCTCAATGTCCGTCCCCAGACTTCTGTCATGTGTAGTCCACAATGTGTGGTGTTGGTCCTCAGTCTGTCCCCAGACTTCTGTCAGGGTGTAGTCCAGGTGTGTGGTGTTGGTCATCGATGTCTGTCCCCAGACTTATGTCATGTGTAGTCTCAAATGTGTTGTGTGTTGGTCATCATATCTGTCCCCAGACTTCTGTCATGTGTAGTCCAGGTGTGTGGTGTTGGTCCTCATGCCTGTCCCCAGACTTCTGACATGTGTAGTCCACTAAGTAATGATCTCTCCACTCACATTGCACATGTGCATTTCCAAAATGAAATCCTCCTCATTTAGTCAATGTGGTAACTAAGTAATAAACTCTTCACTCACATTCCATGAACCTTTCCAGAAAGCCAGGTGCCAGTGTAGAGGGCATCCTTGTAAACAGGATGTTTGGTGAAAGGTGTGGCTTGCATGACGAATGAGTGGAGGTGTGAACCTCTCCCCCCTGCCATGTACACATGGCAGTGACTTTCTGTCTGTCATCACTTTACTGATTGCTGAGTTCAAAGCCACCAGCCATTCAGTCTGCAAAAGAACAGATACCATTGGTAAAAATACAACTTAATGAAATATTAGAAGTAGCAAGAAGGTCAGCAATACTTAGTTTTAATTAAAAAAAAAAAATAAAAACTGTAGTATATATTTCCCTTAAGTTCTTCTTCTTCTTCTTCTTCTTCTTCTGCTTCTTCTTCTTCTTCTTCTTCTTAGTGTTCGCTGGTTGTAAACTCTGGTGCAGAGTTCTGGATATTCATTCACTTCTGGATTTTGATCTTGTTCCAGAACTGAAGTTTTGCGTGCACATCCATTTTATACATCTGGCTTATTTGTGTGATGACCGTGGGTTCCTTGCCTCTCAAACAGATGCACTCTGACTTCGAAAGAAACTCCAGAATTAGTCGCCTGGTATGACATGCTTGTTAGGCATCCTCAGCCCCAATCCCCCCCCCCCCCCCCCACCAAATGGCATTCTGGAACCAACAATGGGATTTCCCTATTTCTTTCTTAGCCACTATCGTCATTAACCCATGCAGTTCTAACTTATGAAGAATCTGTAGAGCATAGCTAGTAAGATTATCTTATCCACAATCTTTCTGCCTCGGTACTTTCAAGCACTTCTGACACAGATGATCTTCCATGCCATGATGTCAAACTGTCCAACATCTTTCTCTCTCTCTCTCTCTCTCTTCATCTTCAACCCCACCAAGACCGTATAGCAAGCTACCAACACCTGGTGACACAAAGAGCCACCATTTAAATAAGGATCACCTGGGCACAAGTCCCATAAACCCTGTTTCAACTGTTTGGTTATATTCAGGACCCCTGACTACAGCTAGGGTGGAGCCTTAAAATAACGAAAAATTGCGTTCCACATTAGGAAGGGTGCAAGAGTCCTATTTTGTCTGAAGGGGTTTAGTTTAAAAGCAATAAATATTTATGCTTGAAATAGTATAGCAGAGACACAATTGGACATAAGATTAAAATAAAAACAATTTTGTATCACCTTCTCAACTGCTGTAGAGGCCAATAATTCCAGCCTTTCCTCAGGAGCAATAACAGTGATGGCATTTCTGAAATGTACAACAGTCAGTCAACTTCTCAAAATTTTAAGGATAATCACAGTGTAGTTTATAATATTACTGGCATGACGTTGAACCCATGACCTATCACATGCCAACTGGTCAGTATAAATATGGATAAAGCATCATATGTCAGGTGCATCAATGGCGAGAAAATTGTCCTTTTCTTTCCCTTTTTTTCTGTTACAAAATTTTTTTTTAAACAAAATGGCAAATCAGTGCTTGCTTCAATTAATATATCTGTTTATTGTTCGAGTTATATACCCACCCACACTAGACCAGAGGTTACTTCACGACCTTTTAGGAAAATGCAAAAAAAATTGTCCCTGTTTCATATGTATGCAAAAGTATAGGGTACATACAATTTTATTTTTATTTCTGGGAATTCTGATTGTGGACATTTGGTATATAAAGTTAGTCAGCGAGTATAAACAAAGGTCACTTTGAGAAAGCATTAAAAGTTAGTTGAAAATACTTTACAGAATATCTGCAAATCAACCCAACATTTGAATCAAGAGGTGAGGAAAAGACACTGGCATTGGATAGGACACACGCTGAGAAAACTTAATGACTAAATAACTAAAATATATTTGCCCTGGAACCAAACGAGAATCCCTGAAAAAAAGGCAGCCCAAAACAACACATGGAGATGGAACTAGAAAGTGAAGTTAGCAAGATGAGGAGGACAAGGGGTTAGCATCATGCAATAGCAAAGAAGGACAGGATGATTTGGTGAGCTGATGGAGGGGTTATGCTACATTGGGTATGGGGGGGGGGGGGGGGGGGGGGGGGGGGGGGGGGGGGGGGGGGGGGGGGGTGGGGGGGGTTGTAAAAAGCTGAATAAGATTAATAAAATTTGCCACTTCTGTGCATTATTATAGATGTTTTAATAGACTAATAGCTCATTTCCAAAGGTAGCGGCACTAGGGACTGTTGTAGTTATTGTCTGCACCTTTCATATCCAGATATAGTGTTATATTCTTTGAACGTATGAACAAACTTTATTTTCAAAGTGCCACAAAATGGGCATACCAGCCTGTTTTGCACTAAGCACACTACGAATACTATACCGTCCCCTTGTCGGATGTAATTTTTTTGTTATTTTAAAGCCCCACCCTGGTTTTTGCCGGGGGGCCCTAAACATACCCGGGCCATAAACATGGCCTAACGGCTGAACGGGGTTTCTGGGACCTCTCCACGGGTGATCCTCATCTGCATGGTGGCACTTTGTGTCACTGGGTGTTTATTGCTTGTGTGATGTCCTGGTGGGGTACAACTTACTTATCTACCTTGCACTCAGCATTCAAACTGGCGAGAAGGGAGGGTATTAGAGATGTGACTTGTAATAGAGAGAGAACGGTAGCGAGTGAAAGACAGAGGGGAAAAGGGAGAGAGGGATTTATATATGAACCATTTCGGCTGTCATTAGGTGTTCATCGCTTGTGGTGTGGTCCAGATAGGGTTAAAACGTCACTCAGTCCCATTAATAAGCAAAACATGCAGTGAATGATTTGTTTATTTTTGCGGTTACACGACCTCTGGGTGACCCTTTACTGTGACACTGCCTAAGGGCAGGGTATGGAAAAATGTTAACTTTTAAAAGGTAGCACAGATATATATATATATATTCTGTAAATATAACTCTTTTGTGTATCGTTGATAATGTAACTGGAATAGGTAAATGGATTTTGAATCACAATAAAATCAAAAAAAAAAAATTTTGGGGCGGGTACATTTCATGTACCTATTAAACTAAAATTACTAACACCAAAACAAAATGCATTTTAAAAATAAAACATGTTATGTTCATATAACAGTATAAATAATATGAATATCTAAGTAAAAATAAAGAAAAAAAGCATGGATGGATTATTGTGCTGTGTGGAGGCATAGAAATCACAACTCATGGTGATGGCTGAGGCCAATTAAGGCCAGATGCAAAGTACCTCCTCTCCACAGCACAAAGCTTGGGCAGTATTTGAGAGACCATGTATTGTCCATGCATCATGATCTCCTCTCTTGGCCTGCTTTGTTTACTCCAAAGGAAAAGTAACACCAATAAGTTTGGAACAAAGTATGCTGCAGAAACTTGCCAGACCAGATAACCACAGAAAATGACTATTTGTATATGTCAAGTCCTGGGAAGTAAAGGTATTTGGCGCAATGTTGACCACATCACCCACAGAGTGCTGATTGATCTATAAGATATAGGTCTAGCCCTATATGCTCAATAGGCCAGAAGGCGTGGAAAAGGCTTCTTTACATTACTTTTACTTATTTAAGTAATTAAGCACCTTTTTTTTTTTACACCACGGTACATTGATACTACAGTGCTAGACCCAAGTCTTTATAGGCGCTCAGTGGGTGTTATCGCCAACATCCCACTGTCCATATCATAGAGTAATATAAACATTTTCCATCTGTGACTGTACATCTTATAACTTCCATTCACTTCTCAACTGGCTGAAGAACAGACAGACAGACTGGCTGGGTTGGTGGATGCATGACAAGTTAGATGTTATCAAGGCCCCCTGGAAGTGAGTGAACAGTGCATTGGGATAGAAAGATCATCATGGTTGGAAGAAAACAGAGCGGTAGGGAGTGACTAAGGAATCTGGTTGACACTAAATATTCAACAAAATAGCAAGATGGACACACAACTTGACTTCTACTGGTACCATCGGAACTGGAACTCTGTGCTGGCTGCTGAAGATGGGGACAGAGTACCAATAAAAATGTACCAAGTGCTATGATGTCTGTTCTCAACATAAATCTGCAATTCGCTCGAAATTTACTGTAAAATAAGCATACGTTTGTTCATCCTCAGTTGCTCCTGATTCTACCCACACAGTTTCAAGGGGAAGTAATGATGGGCTTGTTGTCTGAAAAGAAATGTTATTCCTTCAGGTTACTTTTTGAATAAATAAACATTTGCATATTGCATGTTGGTTTTTGTGTGCATACATGTGTGCGTACATGCAAAAGAATATTTAAGAAAAAAAAACAACTATATTTCAAAAGTATCATGGAGTAAACTGAGTTTTTAGTAGGGATTCAGAGTGATTATGCACAGATATAAAGTCACTAAATGTTTATGTAAAATCAGGCCAGTTCAAGTTAAATATTAGCATAAGAAATGCAGTGTCATGCGCAAAAGAAATGCTGATGCAAGACTAGTGTCTGTGCAAGAGAAATGTCCATGTGAGGGAAGTGCTGATGCAAGACTAGTGTCTGTGCAAGAGAAATGTCCATGTGAGGGAAGTGCTGATGCAAGAACTAGTGTCTGTGCAAGAGAAAATGCCCATGTGAGGGAAGTGCTTATGCAAAGACTAGTGTCTGTGCAAGAGAAATGTTCCATGTGAGGGAAGTGCTGATGCAAGACTAGTGTCCCTGTGCAAGAGAAATGTCCATGTGAGGGAAGTGCTGATGCAAGACTAGTGTCTGTGCAAGAGAAATGTCCATGTGAGGGAAGTGCTGATGCAAGACTAGTGTCTGTGCAAGAGAAATGTCCATGTGAGGGAAGTGCTGATGCAAGACTAGTGTCTGTGCAAGAGAAATGTCCATGTAAGGGAAGTGCTGATGCAAGACTAGTGTCTGTGCAAGAGAAATGTCCATGTGAGGGAAGTGCTGATGGCAAGACTAGTGTCTGTGCAAGAGAAATGTCCATGTGAGGGAAGTGCTGATGCAAGACTAGTGTCTGTGCAAGAGAAATGTCCATGTGAGGGAAGTGCTGATGCAAGACTAGTGTCTGTGCAAGAGAAATGTCCATGTGAGGGAAGTGCTGATGCAAGACTAGTGTCTGTGCAAGAGAATGTCCATGTAAGGGAAGTGCTGATGCAAGACTAGTGTCCTGTGCAAGAGAAATGTCCATGTGAGGGAAGTGCTGATGCAAGACTAGTGTCCTGTGCAGTCCATGTGAGGGAAGTGCTGATGCAAGACTAGTGTCTGTGCAAGAGAAATGTCCATGTGAGGAAGTGCTGATGCAAGACTAGTGTCTGTGCAAGAGAAATGTCCATGTGAGGGAAGTGCTGATGCAAGACTAGTGTCATGCGCAAGAGAAATGTCCATGTGAGGGAAGTGCTGATGCAAGACTAGTGTCATGCGCAAGAGAAATGTCCATGTGAGGGAAGTGCTGATGCAAGACTAGTGTCTGTGCAAGAGAAATGTCCATGTGAGGGAAGTGCTGATGCAAGACTAGTGTCATGCGCAAGAGAAATGTCCATGTGAGGGAAGTGCTGATGCAAGACTAGTGTCATGCGCAAGAGAAATGTCCATGTGAGGGAAGTGCTGATGCAAGAGAAGTGTCCACACTGAGATTTATGGAATTCCCAACACAGGTGGTACATCTAATGGAATCTCTTTACCACTCTTTATACCATGAACAACAAGTAGCAGGCAGAATAGCAGGGGAAACAGACTGGTTTGAGGTGCAGAGAGGAGTAAGACAGGGCTACATTCACTCTCCATCCCCTTCTAATATATATGCTGACAATATTACACGAAATACCAGCAGTGAAGAGGTCTGTGACAGCTTCTGTCCACTCCAAATTGGAGGTAGACCTGTCACAGAACTCAGATATGTAGACGACACAGTTCTCCATGGTCAAGAGTTAAAATCAGGACAGTGTTAGACTTCTTTTTTTTTTTTTAAATGACCCTGGCTTCCAGGTCGCCCAGCCCTACCTCTTTGAGTCCCAGAGGGTTCAGCATCACAGGCCCAAAGGATAGTCAAAAGAAAAGTAAAATCGGCACATCTTGCGTTCATTGGGCTTCTAGGCAGTAACCTATGAATGTATGATGCGTTCCTTGGGACTCAAAGAGTTAAATGGGTACCAGGTTAAAGTCCTAGAAACTAAAGGCAGCTGGCATGATGCTGACCATATGACTCACCAAGTACAGGTTGGTCTATAAAATATAGGTCTAGCACTATGTGCCCAATACACCTAAAGGTGTGAACAAGAGTTTTTTAATGATGCTAATACTTTCTGAAAAGTTTTATCTTCACACCTCTATCAAAATCAAAGCAAAGCAGTCTGCTGCTAAATCACCTACAAATGAATGGAATCCTGCATGCCAAAATTATGAAACTTCATTCACAACTCTTAGGCCACACCAATATTTAAAAATACATCAAATAATACAAAAGTAGTAGTTACCTGCATGAGAAAGGCATCGTTAAACAAGACAAAAAGCCGACTTGTGAATCTTCCACCAGATGGCATTTGTATGGGATGAGTTTTACTTTCCCTTAGCACACGGCGGTCGGGTCTTCGAAATGAATCCTGTCAAATATTTTTGCAAAGTTTAGTTAACCTGCTTGAGAGCAAACGTCCTCAGCACATCTAGATGTTGTATGTTACAGCTAGTGTTATAACAACAATGTAAATGTATTAGAGAAATCAGACGTAGAAAGTAGCTGCTTTTTTCTGGCATGCTGTGAGAAGGAATAGACTTGAAAAATTTGATAACAATCGCAAGATTGATGGGCAACAACAACAAAAATGCAATGGGGAAGGCAAAGAAAGAGATAAATACCCGGATGGCTTGGCCCTATATGGATGGGGGAAAGAAAAGAACACTGACCTGTTCATTGATAGTGGTAATCGTGTAAGATGGCAAAACATGACAGCCTTTGCTTAGCAGCAAAACACATGATGGTGATGATTATGCCAACAAAGTTGAACAAGATAATATACTTGTGTTGTATTAAAATAAAACTAATTTGTGTTCCCTTTTTCTTTCAATATACTATAACATACAGAACACATATCTTTTTCTTCTTCTGCCCTTCTAACCCCCAATGGAGCATAGGCCCTCAACCAACTCGTGTCAACTCCTCCTATCCTTTACTATGACATGCAGCCTCCCTATCTTTTTAATTTCGCTCTCTCTTCCCCAAGTGTTTTTTTTGGGGTATTTCTTTATTTCTATGCCCCTGTGAATTCCAGTGCAAAGGCATTCTAGTTATAATGTTCCCAGTTTTCTCAACGTATGACCTATCCAACGCCAGTGTCTTTTCTTCACCTCTTTGTTCACTGGAATTTGTTTAGTTCTCTCCCAAAGCTCTACATTAGTGAATCTATCATACCATTTAATTCCCTCTATTTATTCTGTGCAGGCAACAGTTAATTAATATTTGTAGTTTATTATTAATTGCATTAGTTTTTTTTTTCCCTTTTTCCGCTCCATACAACAGTACTGATTTTACATTAGTATTAAAAATGTTTGGCAATAGTTTTAATTTCTTTTGACCTCCACAAATTTCCTAATGCTATGAAAGCTCCTTTTGCCTTTTGTATTCGTATTTTAATATCTCTGTCAGTTCTCCCATTTTTTATCTACACTGCTGCCCAAATAGGAGCACAACTCTATGTCTTGGAGTGGGGTACTATTGAGAAAAACCCCATTACTGTTTGGCTGATTTATTCTATAAGAAATATTAAATCCTGAACAACTGCTTGCATCATCAGTTAAAAGACAAGGAAAATGGCAATTTACTGGGCGAATCATGCGCAGAAGCAGACAGAGAATTATCAAACAGAAACTGATATGAGAAACAAATGGATTAAGGAAATAGGGCACCCCAGAGAATCCCTAAAATGACCGTTGCTAAGAGAAGCTGAATTTACTCAACTGGATTCTATCCTTGATAGTGAAACGACTGAACAGGAAAAAAATGGATGGAGGACTAGGCTGTGAGCCCTATGTGATTCATAATGACACAAAAAGTGAGCATCATGATGATGATGATAGTTACCCCCCCCCCCCCCCCCCAAAATAACATATAGAATTCTCAATGTAATAAATCATTACATGTCACTCACAGGTATCTTCTGAGAAAATGTTTCCCAGAACACTCTTGTGACATCTGCAACTTTGTGCTCTGTAGGCAAGTTGATCTTCAGCTGTTCCCAGGCCAGCACCACATTCTCTAGGTGAGACTTCACTTCTGGGTCCTAGCCATCAAATACACGAGCAACAACATTATCAAATTCTTTGCAGCTTTGGAAAGTAAAGGACCCTTTTTAGGTGCATATGATGCTAGAGTCATACTTTTACAGATAAATCAGCGCTTAATGGGTGATGTGGTCAATATAGTTATAGCCACCTTTTGATCCCAGGACACTTCCTGGTATCTATTTTTGGCTGGACTGACCTGGAAGCCAAGGTCAACTCTTAAAAAAAAAATTTTTTTTTTAAATCTGACTCAATGAGGATTTGAACCTAAATACTTTTTGGCTGGCGAATGAATATCTAGCCACTACACTACCTCAGCTCACAGAGTTTTCATAACTACAGATAATTATTGTTATAAACTGTTTTTAAAGTTACCTTTTTACCATTGCCCATGTTAACACTACATTCTGTAGATGGGATTTAAACTCTGATTCTAAAGCTTGAATACAGTTTAATACAATTTTACTAAAGGTTTAGAGTTTTGGCAACTTCTGATAATTACTGTTATTGACCTTTCTTCAATGTTAATGTTTTACCACTGCCCATGTTAACACTACAATCTCTAGATGGAAATTTAACTCTGGTTCTAAAGCTTGAAGACGGTAAATAACATTATTATTAATACATTAAGTCATCAGAGCTCTTGTAACTACAGGTAACTATTGTTACTAATAGATTTAACTCTACTGACAATCCTCGACAAAAAATGATGTGTTTGATACTCAATGTAACTCAGTTTCTTCTATACCAGTGACTCCAAAAGAAAATGAGATGATGGTTGTGGATAGATGTCAGGTGTTATGAAATGAACAGGGGTGCAGAGCTGCTGGACCACACATGGTGAAGCATCAAGAACAGGGTACATTCTGGTTAAGACATATCTACACCTCTCCTTGGTCATCCTAGAAAACAGGTTCCCAATCAGGAGTCTGGCAAATGTAGATAAGATCAAAGTTTCCTTGAAAGTCAGAGTTCATCTGCCCGAAAGGAACCAACAGTCTGCACACGAATAAGCCAGATCAGTAAAATAAATGAATGTGCACATAATACTTAAGTCCTGGAATAAGATCAAAGTCCATAAATAGACAAACAGCCAGGACCTTCCACTAGAGTTTACAGCTGGTGAATGCAAAGAAGAAGGAGAAGAAGAAAAAGATAAAGTAGTAGTATAAGCTGCAGTAGCAGTAGCAGCAGAATGGTGGATAAATCCAACTGAATCACACAAGAAGTTCATTTTGATAGATTCCACAAGGTATATGAGAGATGTAGTGTGGTGGTCAGCAGCTCCAAGGAGAAGGCCAGATTTTAATGTGTGGAGGATTATGAAAACAACTCACTGTGACAACAGCTGATATCTTGCCAATGAACCTACTGTAGTCTGCCAGACGAAAAAAGGGATACCTCATGGCCCTCAAGAACAAACTCTGGGATGCAACTGTCTTGTCTTGCTCCTCAGACAGATCATGAATGGAGTCTTGGATCTTTTCAAAGAATTCACTAGAACAAAAATAAGATAAACAGCATTCATCATCTAAATACATGATGCAGAGAGTATAATGCCCTGAATGGGTTCCAAGGCCACTTTTCGGAGAAGGGGGGGGGGGAGATAATGGGTCTCATTTCCTCTACCAAATATGTCATTAAAAATGACTAATTAAGGATTTGCTGAAATCAGATGTACTTGACCAAAACATGCTGAAATTTCAGCATAGGAGAAAACCAAAATACAACACATGAACCATCCTTTTCAGGGTCAACATTGAAAAAGAATAAAGCATAAGTATGACCCTAATTATAACCCTATCTGAGGTTAAACAGGGCAATCTTTATAGCTGTACATTTAATTTATAACAGGGTACTGCAAACACTTGGTGTCACCAATTGGAAAGCAGGCCAACCAGAGAGATGAATGGAGGCGGGTGATATCTGCAGCAATGAACCTCAAGGGGTTGTAATGCTGAAGAAGAAGTGTAAGGGATCACCTTGAATGCCTGCTCAGATATCTCCAAAAATGTTCCAGTCTACTTCCGAGAATCAGACTAGACCCCAAGGAGATTCATCTGTGTGCATAAAACAATTCTTCTTCTGTTCCTTTATCTTTAGTGGAGCACAGGCCCTCAACTAAATCATGCCGTCATTATTTTAATCAGTCAACAGTAAAAATTTTCTGTACATTAGCTCTCCGTTATCTTCCAAATAACGGTCCCAAATTATCAAGGCAGAAAATATACCCAAACAGGGCCTCAGTCACGTGTCAATTGCGCACTTCTGGCGACTTAAATTGTGCACTTCCGGCAAGTTCCGCCACTGCCGAGAGTATAACCCACGCCGCTCATGCGGCGTGGATTGGGGCTAAACTAGATGGCTGGGACTCATGAGCAGCAGCTACCGCATTTCCTGCAGCTGCCTTCATTTTATTTGCTCGTGAGTCCTAGCCAACTAGTTAAGCCCCAATCCACGCCGCTCACGCGGCGTTTGGGATACTCTTGGCGGTGGCGGTATAGTCCCCGGAAGTGCGCGATTGACACGTGACTGAGGCCCTGTTAGGGTATATTTTCTGCCTCCATAATTTGGGACCGTTATTCGGAAGATCGCCTAGCTTTTTAATTTGGCAATTTAACTTCACCAAAACTGGTTCTTTTTCTTCTTCTTATTCGTGTTCACGAGCTGTAAACTCTGGCGGAAAGTTCTGGTTGTTCGTCCACTTCTGGATTATAGTCCTGTTCCAGAAACTGACTGTTATGTGCACATCTGTTTCACAGGTCTGACTCATTTGCACGCAGACTGATGGTTCCCTGTCTCTCAGGCAAAGGTACTCCGACTTCCGAGGAAGCTCCCAATTAGTTTACTCTTAGACATGCTTTTGGGCAGGCAGTGGGTCTGTTCTTGTTTTCCCCACAGTGGGGCCCAGATAACTGGTTCTATACTGCCTGATCATGTTGCTTATTAATCTCTTGATATTATTAAAAGAATCTGAGGGAAAAAAAAGCAATGACTGATTACTTTGTGTACTCTGTACTTTGTTAACTTAATTTACATTTCATTTTGCAATACTGAATGATTTTTTGTTGTTGTTGATGTTGGAAGTTGGATTTCCTAAGTTGAAAACTGATATAAAAAGTCAAGTTTAAACTCAAGTTTCTGCCAGTGTGTAACTTCAGTTCACTTTTATCATTGTCTTTATTGAGTTAAATACAGGTTTATGTTATACAGGTTCCAAAGAAAACTAGACCCCCCAACAACAACAAAACTTGTGACAAATAAAAGGAAACAACTATTAGCACAATGCCCACCTGCCAGTGCGAGTACAGTAGTCAAAACCTCCGACAGATAAAAAGTCAGAAAATGACTGTGAGTACATGCGGAACGCCTCTATAAACTCATTGTGGCATCCCAACATGTGTGAGGTGCTCAGGGGGGTTGTGTTCTGTATGCACCTTGTTAAATCTGTAATGCCTTCGCCAATCTGAGGTGATAATTAGGATGAAAAATTTTTTTTTTATTGATAATGCAAGTTAAGTATTTTTAATACCAATATACATTATATCACGACTAAGTACAAACACAAAAGCACAGTATAACAAATACACAAAATCATTCATAATATCTGTACACATTTATGTACATAAGTACATATGAAGGCCCACACATGCGTGCACATATATAACAAGAGTGATATAAATGAAAACATAAACAATCAAGCTAACTATAAGTGCAAATTGTTCTTTGGCAAAGGTTGCAAACAAAATCAGAAGATTAAAAACATTTTCCTGAAGTGCATTACTTAAACCAGAAGGGATCATGTGAGAAAAGAAAAGATCCCAAAATGCATTATTTTAAACTAGAAAATACTGTGTGAGAAAAAAAGATATCCCATAATGTGCTATTTAAAACCAGAATAAACCGTGTGAGAAATGAAGATATTAAAGAATTCTTGAAACAATATCCACAGTTAAATTCATTCAGAAACAAAGACTGGAATGGTTTGGCCACCTAGTGACAATTAACATGACAATGCCGACAGCCAGAGAGCATAACATGAAAATGGAAACATCAATGGGCAGAGGAAAACCAAGAAGAAAATGGACTGAGGGAGTCACAACCTAAGACTTCACAACATCAAACCATACAAAGCAACTGAGCGCTCCCTGCCCTGGCTAACTATCATCTGTTAAACTGTGACTCCAGCAACGCAATGCAGATACTAACTGATACTACACTGATAGCAAACCTTTTTTGTGAGGGCTCCAAATGCAGCCACCAAATTCCGAAGTGAGGTCTTGTATGGGTAAACTCCCATTGATGTATAAAAATCTGTAGGAAAATATTAACAGAAGTTATGGCCAAGAAGCCGCAGAAATGTTAATGAAGATGAGTTGTTGTTGTTGTTGTTGTTATCGATCCAGCGGCACATGAGCTTTCACCCTTTGGCCCAATGCCATGTAGTGGAATTTGCATGTTTTCACAAATTTTTTTTCTTGTCCTCCGTATAAGGTGTTCTACTTGTCTGGTCTCGGAGGGAGTAGCATTCTTCTAGTCTCGCTGAGTTCTGGGCACTCAAAGAGATGGTGTTCAACAGTTTCATAGGGGTAGTTACATAGCTGGCACTCTGGGGAGTGTTGTGGCTGTATTCTGTTTAGATGCCCACTGAGTGGAGTATGTTGCGTTCTAAGTCTGAAGATGGTGGCCTGGTCCCTTCTTGTTAGATGGTTAATGCTGTCATTAGGATCAGGGCCAGCCATGTGTCTATAAACCTCTCTTCCAGTGTCTCCCATGGCCCATCTGTTCAACCAAGTCTCTTTGTTTATAGCTCTTATAAGTGTTTTTGCTGTCTGTAGGGTTGTCGCTGTAGGTGGTTGTTCTTGTGTTGCTCCTTTCTTTGCCAATCTGTCAGCTCTGTCATTACCTGGTGTGCCGGAGTGGCCTGGAATCCACTGCATCACTATTCTGATGTTGTATGAGGTAATAAGCTGATCAGCATCCAGGATTATCTTGGCTATGTCAGTTCTGCAGCGTTCACTGCCCTCCAGAGCTTGAAGGGCAGACATTGAATCTGTGAAGATGACAATATTTTGGGCCTTTGAAGGGTAAACATCCATTAAAGTCTTTAGGTGGTATACTGCTGTTTCCAGTACAATTATTTCAACTTCATAATTTGAACAGAATTCCCCGCATGCATCAAAAATCTCTTCAGCAGATCCATCGGGATAACATATGTAGATTCCGTAACCTGCTTTAATGGTAGCTTTAAATGCAGATCCATCAGTATAAAAAACATGTATCCATTCTTGGCGATAAGAATCAATTGTCTTTAGTGATGAGTTCATAAGAGCGATTGGGTCGGACTGTTTGGTTTCCTCAACTACCAATTTAATTAGGATTTCTGGAATTTTAAAGCGAGCATGTGGTGGTAGGTTTCTTGCAACATTCTGAATGCCTTGACATCTTTCTGGGAGGCGGTATCTGTCCTGAATTTCATTAACACAGTGTAAAACCGATTTGTGCTTTATTCTTTGTTTGTATTCCCAGTTTTCTACAAGGTGTCTATTAGGATGGTTACGATTCTTTCTAACGCTTCTTTTATAAATTTCTAAAGTTGCTTTTTCTCTCCGCAACCTTAGGCATTCCACATTTGTATGGATTTCACATGCAGCAGTTGGTGTAGACTGCATAGCTCCGCAGATTAATTGGAGGGCATTATTTTGAACTCTGTCAAGAGTCTCTAGGTAAGTTTTGGAGCAGGTTGTAAGCAGTGAGTTGTTGTACTCTATCACAGAGCGAACATATCCTAGATAAAAGCCCCTCAGAGTTTCCTTGTCTGATCCCCATGATGTACCTGCAAGTCTCTTTAATAACTGTAACCGCCTCAATGCCTTATTCCTGATGTTTTCAATATGATTCTTGAGGCTGAGCTGTTGGTCAAGTGTGACTCCAAGGTATGTAGGATGCTCTTCTTTCATCACTTGGTGTTTGTCTAACCTCAGGTTAATATTCTTCCTTGCTACTTGATGGCTTTTGGTAAAGACAGTGTAGACCGTCTTTGCACAGTTAACCTTGAGTTTCCATCTTTGGCAGTACTCATGCAGTCTTCTAAGGTCTCCATTTAGTCTTTGGGCTCCACTTTCCACATTTTCATGACTCTGCCATATTGCTAGGTCATCAGCGTACAAGGCTTTTTCGGCCTTGATTTGTTCTGGCAGGTCATTGATAAAGATTAGGAACATGAAGATGAGTATAAGGGTTATCAACTTTTGCTGTTCCACGTGTGAACTAGCTCCTGTCTGTGTATGTTAATGTTTAGTGTGTTATAACGTTTAGTTTGAAAAGTATAGATTTAGGTAACAAAAAAAATAAAGGGCCCTTCTGATGAAAATGCTGCAGTTGAATATGATACTAGACTCGTACTTTTGTGAGACCAGTCAGCACTCATTGGGGGATGTTATCAACCTCATGCTGGCTGTCTTTATTTCCCAGAGGGGGCTGTGTGGTCTCCAGGTATGGTATCCATCTCCAGTGCTGGAGGTCGAAGGTTCAAGCCCCGGTGAAGGATGGAATTTCTTCACATGGACTTTTAGTAATTTTCCCTGGTCTCTGGGTAGCAAGACTGGATGCCCATGAGTATTGTTGCGCACGTTAATAAAATCCCTAGGCAGCCGGAAATCGAAAAGAGTAGTCTAACGGCGCTGAATGGGCAAAACTGGAGTTAAAAATCTACCCACAAGTATTTCAGGATCCTCGCCGGTGCAACGAAGTTTGTGCACTGCTCTGAAATTCTTCAGACTCGGGCTTGTGTTAGAAGTAGAACCGAGCATGTATGGGTTACTACCCTTGTGCTATGACATTGATTTGTCGACTAAACCAAACTAAAAACTTCATTTTCCAGGACATAACCTAGTACCCATTAAAGGGTGGGTTGGCCTAGGAGACAAAGTGATTTTCGGTGGAAAAAAAACTTTCTTAATGTCATCCGAACCCATACCATAGGGACGGCTGGTGAGCATCTAGCCACCATGCTCCCATCACATCTTTTACATTTGTCTAAACTCACTAAAGAAATCTGGCTGGGTATTTTAACATGCAAAACACTTTATACACCTATCATTATAATACTCCTTCTTGCAAAACCTTCCTTCTTTTCACGTCGATGTGGTTTCTGATATGAATGTTGCAAATAAAATCCAGAGAATCGACTTCATTGCATCAGGTTATCCCAGGTAGCTCGATGTCTCTCCGCAGAATGATTAGCTACCTGCCAAGACTGTTGCTCAAAGAATGAACTCAGTAGTTCTGACAACGATCTTTATAGATCGTCCACAAAAACTGCATTGAAGGATGCATCCATAAAATCAAACCAAACTTTTAGAGCACGAGGCAAGTTGCTTAATCACTTCGCCATTGAGACCCCGTGTTGCAAATAACTTGGACAGAGAGTAACCAATAATGATTTCCTCGAAAAGACTAATAAAAATAGAAAGTTACAGGCAAATACATGACCTACGTTCAGTGGGAGTTTTTTGGGTCTCTATATGATACAGACAAGCAATGTTCTTGCCCAACATTATCTAAGACTTGCACAAGATGCCTCTTCAAAACCTGACACTAAAAGACAGAACCGGCACTAGAGAAAAGAAGAAATGAAGAAGAACCCATCCTACTTATCTTTAGAACTGAAATGAATAAACTTGTTACCAGATTTCTGTAGAGGTCTCAGTAAGACATTGCTGGTTTTAATAAGCTGGTTGTAGAATGCTCTTTCTGATGCTGCCAGCTTGAATAGAGCTGCAGACTCTGGAGGGGCTGGGTTTAAAACTTTACATGCACATCCTGACCCACCAGCCATAACTTTGGTTATCCAGCCGAGCTAAAAACCAATAAAAACAATTGAAAGTTTGAGGATTATACAGCAACATGCAAATATCATTTCTTTAATTAAATGAATGCAAATACAAACAATACATTGTACAATTTATTGCTTTCGCATATTTTGTTGTATCCTTCAGGAGACAGACCTAGGCTGACAAAAATTTGTTTCATATTTGTTGCGGGCCACTCTGGTGTAAAGGGCAATGAACGATCTGACAGACGATGCAAGTGATGCACACTTGGGAAACAGAAGAGCAATGGATAGGGCTGATATACTGAATGCCTTCAGAGAGGCAGCTCGATTAAACGAATCAAGGAAAGACTGTGAATCTGCAACAGTGACGAGATACATGAACATAATATCAAAAAGCGATGAAGCCAGACAAGAGCGCTACACAAGGGTCCAAAGAAGTATGGTAAACTAATACAGAAGTGGTGTCATAAGCCACTACACGCTGAGGAAGATACTGAAGAGGGGATCTGGGCACTTATGGACTGAATGGTTCGATGTGCGATGATGATAATCTGTCAACTAACTAATTAACTTCAGGTAAATTACTACTAAGTTACAGCAACACATAATTAAGCACAAATTTGAATCCTTTTCACTGTGTCTAGTTACAGGGTACATCTCTGCTGAAAATTTAAGATTGGCAAATGATTTTCATGGCAATTTCAAATTTATTATAGGCTCTTTTTGTTTATGCAAAGAAGGGGTGTTAACTTTTATTGTTATGGCTTCCTCTAGTTTCAGCAAATGCCTATTGAACAATGGGAAAACACTGTGTTGAATTTCCTAAATTACTCAAGTCATTCATATGTGACACAGATATTCACCTTCTTCATCAGCCCTTAATATTTCTTATAAACATTACCCTGAGCGAACTCAAAACATTTCTTCTGATAACACTGATACCGTAAAAAAATTGTTTGAAATTCTACATTGTTATTGATTATCCCAAGACCTCACTTGGTACAAATTTGGGCTAGGTCAACCTAAAAGGTCATTTATGGAAAAATAATCCACCTCAATGTGGGTCTTGACCTTTTGGCCGATAGGCCAGTGTCTAGTGGCTACGACACAGCACCTCCTGAACCACAAAGGTAAAAGATTATAAAATATAATTTACCTATGGACAGTCTTTGCACTGGACAAAGATTGATTCTTACCTGTCTGACATCCTCCAAGGACAAAGGTGAATTGGTCTTTTTCAATGAGCTATGTGCGTCTTTGCTAGAAGAAGACAAAAACCATAAAAACAAACTGTTTTGATGTAGATATAACAATGATATATTATTTACAGCTGTTAATCGTTAGTTCTTCTTCATTTGCATTCTGAGCCCTTGAATTGTATTGCTTCTGGTATTACCCGCCTCCAATTTTTTTTGTGACTGGCCATCTCTTTCCTAGTTCAAAGCTTAGATATGTTTTTTTGTGACGAAATAATGTTTTTATAAAAGTAAGAGGTCTTGAAACCATTCTTCAACTATGGTTTTTCAGCAAGGTGGAGACTTTATGTAATAAAAATTATTTTAAAAAACATATATAATAAGCTTACACAATTACCATTTTGACATATTTTGGTACCCACATTCTCAACTGAGATGGACAAAGATAAAAATAACAAAACAGGCAGTGAAATAGGAAACAAATGAAATGAGGAAGCAAAGACAGCCAAGCAAAATTCTACAATTAGTTTGATGAGAGAAGCCAGATGTGGACTGGATTCCACACACAATATTGTAGAGGACAGAACCGAATGGAGGAAGTGACTGTGAGGCCTAAGAGACATATTAACTCTTTTCAGTCCCAATAATAATATATTTTTACTTTAACACACACACACACACACACACAAAATATTACAGAACTCAATGTAATCTCAAATTACAATTATAATGTTTCCCGTGTGGATTCCGCAGCCCCATTTTGGGGAAAACAAGAATAGACTCACTGCCTCCCCAACAAGCATGACGTAGGAGTCGAGTATTTGGGGCTTCCTTCAAAGTCAGACTGCATCTACCCGAGCGGCAAGAAACAACCAACTGCATAAAAATAAACCAGCAAAACGAATGCACACTCAAACCTCAGGCCCTGGCACAAAGCCAAAGTCTAAATGGATGAACAACCAGGACTTTCTGCCGGAGCTTACAGCCAGTGAATGAAGAAGAAGTAGAAGAATTAGAATGCTCACATCTGTTTAATTTAAGCATTTATATTACTATATTATTTTTTCGGCTCTCCTAGCACATTTGGACGCAAGCGGGACGGCTTCGGCCGGCTTAGTGGGAGTTCTCTCCCTTGGCCGCATTCAAAACAACGAGCGAAAAAAGTCACGAATCAAATGACATACTTACCTATTAACATCCGGGTGCGTGTAGGGTTGCGTACAGTTGCGTGTAGGGTTGCGTAGTCATCATACGGTTGCGTCTAGGGTTACCTGTCATCATACGGTTGCATGTAGGGCTGCGTAGGGTGTCTATCATCATCATAAGGTTGCGTGTAAGGTTGCGTAGGGTGTGGGTTGGGGTTAGGGGTAGGGTTAGGGGTTAGGGTTAGGGTTAGGGGTTAGGGTTAGGGTTAGGGTTAGAGGTAAGGTTAAGGGTAGGGTTAGATGTGAAAATGTGACGTAGAACTTCCAAATACTGGGCGACAATCTGATGCTTGTGGGAGTGGCGCCACTGGAAGTGTGCCAAATATGACGGCAATAGCGTGCGGCTGGTGCCCAATCGGTGGCGAATTGTCCGTGTCAGTAGCATCCACCGTCCGTCGACTGTTTGGGTGTGTATGTGACTGTGCGCGATTATAGGGAACTACGGCGTCAAAATTGTCACATCTAACGCTAAACCTAACCCTACCCCTAACCGTAACCCTAACGCTACCCCTAATCCTAACCCTAACCCTACCCCTAACCCTAAGCCCAATCCTACCGCTAACCCTAACCCTACCCCTAACCACGCAAAATTATCGGTCATTAAAGCATACAGATCTACAAAACACCCACACCAAAAAAAATAGATTTCCCCGCAGCGTCAACAGAAAAACCCAGATCTGGGGGACACAACAAAGCATTGGCAGCCCTGATGTCGACCTCACTGTCTTGTTTGATTCGTGACTTTTTCCGCTACTTGTTTTGAGTGCGGCCAAGGGAGAGAACTCCCACTAAGCCGACCGAAGCCGTCCCGCTTGCGTCCAAATGTGCTAGGAGAGCCATTTTTTCTAATTTATAAATGCTACACTTATTTATGTCTGACTTCTCTTTTGGAATACATATGCTTGACACAAGCTCAAACATACTGAATTTAAAATAGAAATTTTTAAAAAATTAGAAAGAATACAGCAGTCATTAAATTGTTGGTGGCTGAGTTCACATAAGCAGCAAAGACAGATGAAAGAGCCAATTGAACTAAACAGATTAAGGTAAACAGTGGCATATAGGCTGAACTTGATCTTCAACTAGCAACTGTAACCAAACTATACAAAGATTAAGAAACATACAGTATTCATCACAGTGGCCTAACCTTGGATGTTTGCCACAATAGAGAACATCTGAATGCATTTCTGCTGTGTCACCAAGGAAGACAGAGTGAGTTGCCCCTGCTCCTATGTCCCATGCTGTAAATCCTTTTGTGAACTAGAAAGATTTTAAAAAAAACATACAAATGTACAGAGGTTAAACCCGAACTTATAGATGGCCTCCAGATGCTCACCTGCCGGACCAGACTGTAGGTCCTGGATTGAAATTCAATTTAAATCCACATTGGGTGGATATGAAAAATAAATTACCTTGGCTCCAAGGTTGACCCAGACTAACATTGGTACTAGGTAATCTTCTGGGAAGTTAAGGTGGCCAGCATGGTATTGACAACCTCGCTCATTGAGGGCAGATCAGTCTATACAAATATGAAATCATCCTCACATGCCGGATGTGACAATGAGAGGAAAGGGCACTGAACTCTTTTAGGCCTATGAATTCTGACAGGCTTAGCTCACATTATTCTCCCTTTACAAAAATGATAGAAGGGGTGCCGTGGTGTAAAAAAAAAAAAAAAGGAAAATCAGAAAGTAATAGATTTCTAATCCCTATAAAAGTATATATTTTTTAAAAAGAGAAATTCATATTTATTTTGAATTCTGATGATATGTTTTTGTTTCATACTGTTATAGTTAGGAAAAAAAAGAATTCAGTAGGTGTCGTGTTTACAAAGACAAAATTTTACCAACAAAGGCTCCACTTACCAAGATTTTGCAACCACAAGAGCAGATAATATCCAAATTTAAGAATAACCCTTGAGAAGTTATTTCAGTTTAGTCAAAATTCAAAGGTTATGATACGTTTTTGGGTTAGTTTATCACTAGAGGCGCCAATATCTCATAGAGTGCTAAACAAACTTTCAAAGAAACAAATTGCAGAAAACTGGACCTATAGTCCTATACACACAAAATAGTGACTGTGTAGTTATATACAAACTGTAGCTGCAATGATTTCAGTGCAGCTTAACCATAGTATGAGCATGATACTAATGGAACAGTCCTTTTGATGCAAATGTGGGTGATATCACATCCTTCGTAAATCAAATGGGTCCTTCTGTGTTGACCTTATCAGAAATAACAGCTAGCCACTCAGCTGCCATTTGTGCATATTTACTGTCCAAATAACTTTCTGAAAATTTTCAGTGTTTTGTTATTATAAAAGATCTGACTGAAACAATTTCAGAGCTTCAGCCACAAAAAGGCACATTTTTCGGTCTGTGCTTGTGTTCGAAACATTAGTAACCACCGCCACTTAAACAAAAAAATCAGAAAATGCATTGTTTAACTAGCAATGAATCGGATCAGTTTATGCCCACATGTGTAGGATCATAGACTTGTTTACAAAGAAAAATGTTAGAGTAACCATCCCTGAATACTTTAATGGTTCCAAACATTAGAAACAAATATGGAGACGTCTGTGAATCAATATGTTAGAGATGCAGACAGAGTTGTCAGGGGCAAACTGTAACTTCTCAATCAACACACACAGAGTTGTCAGGGGCAAACTGTAACTTCTTAATCAACACACACAGAGTTGTCAGGGGCAAACTGTAACTTCTCAATCAACACACACAGAGTTGTCAGGGGCAAACTGTAACTTCTTAATCAACACACACAGAGTTGTCAGGGGCAAACTGTAACTTCTCAATCAACACACACAGAGTTGCTTGCGCCTCAAAAAGTTGAGTTTTTTTTTTTTTAAACTTCGATATCCTAATGTTATAAAGATGCTGAGGATTTGATACAAACTTAGTATGACTTAGTGCAATGAGGTGACGAGCTCCTTTTTTACTGACTAATTTAGAAAAATAAAACAATAGTATTTTTACATGGTGTTCAAAGGGCGCCTATTTGCCTACTATCTGTATGTTCAAAAAGTAACTAAACACCTACAATCTACATGTTCAAAAAGTAACTAAACACCTACAATCTACATGTTCAATAAGTAACTTCACCTACTGTCTACAGGTTTGAAAAGCAATTATACACCTACCATATACATGTTCAAAAAGTAACTAAACACCTACAATCTACATGTTCAAAAAGTAACTAAACACCTACAATCTACATGTTCAAAAAGTAACTTCACCTACTGTCTACAGGTTTGAAAAGCAATTATACACCTACCATATACATGTTCAAAAAGCATGGCAAGTATCTGGTCAGTTATAGGCTGATCAGCTGCTAAATAAAAAAGTAAACTCATCTTGTATGCTACTCTTTACCTTAATCCGTGCAGGTGCATGGGTCGATTCAGTCTGTCCTAGCTGTCCATATGAATTGAACCCCCAGGAATAAACTTGGGAATTGGCAGTCAAAGCTAAACTGTGTTTCTCTCCCGCTGCTAGCTTTATCACATGCCGACCTCACAGATGCAGAAAATATAAAAAATCTCACTACTAAAAGTATCATGCAGAGGGAAACCAGCAAACATAAGGTAAGCTGGGTGATATTGATGAACAAACAAACTTTACTTTCACATGACAATTGTATACTCAATATCATGCATTTTATGGTCCTGTATCAAAATATTCATGGTATGAAATGTAAATTAAAAATACAAAGGAACGGATGACAATTTCATACTTTCCAATATACATGCAACAGAAAGACAAGAGAGGCAATAGACCAGACTCAAACACACACATATACACATAAAACACTTACTAAACACATGGAGGTGCACACACTCTTTCTTTCTTTCTTTCTTTTCTCCACTACTGGAATGCCTCACGACGTCAGGGGAGGAAGAGATCTCTAGAACGGACCCTTCTGTTCGCTTCATACATAGTACTTTTCAGTGTTTCTGATATTTCTGCGGCAATCTTCTACATGGTCGACTACTAGTTCTGTTACTGCTGTATCTGAATAACAATGCTCTCTGTGGTGCCCTGTCTGATGCCAGTCTTGTTACATTTCCAAACCATTTGATCTGTTGTCTACCTATAAAGTTCAATATTTGTTCTGTGCCGATTCTCTTCTTGATATCATCGTTCCTAAGTCAATCTTTCCTCGTTACACCTAGCACAGTACGCAAACATGTCATTTCTGTCTGGACTATTTTCCTTCTGTCTTCTGAAGACAGTAAACATGTTTGACGTGTTTGATAGAGTGTTGGTTGCACAGACTGGCAACACAAAACATACTGACAGATACATGACACTTGATAAGTAGACTTTAGTCTTCCAGAAGATTTTATTACTTTAAAAGTTAGTTGCGTATCTTTTACAGGACGTTGCAGAGCCAACCCAGCATTTTTTGGCTGTTGTGGTTTTTCTAGACACATTTTTTACGTTCAGTAGTTCGCCATAGCTTTCTTAGTGGTCAGCTCTCCGTACTCCTGCTGAAACCAACTCAAGATGTTTTGCTTCCAAATTGCCCACAGCTGGGATGAAACTAAAGCACCCCGGGATTACAAAAGCAAGTTTGCAACGTCTAAGCCAAGTACTGTTACTTACATTTACTAAACTCTTTCCCAACATGGGACGCACATTTTTTAAAATAAGTTTAAAGCTCCACTCCGGCTGTTTTCGGAACTCTCATATAACCTAATGGTTGAATGGGATTTTGGGACTTGTGTCCGGGGGATTCTCTTCCAAATGGTGGCACTTTGTGTCACCAGGTGTTAGTTGCTCATTGTGCGGTCCTGGTATGTTTGAACATCAGTCAGTCCAGAAGTTTCACAATCAACCATATTTCTTAGAACATAATTACACAGGCTGTTAACACCTATCTATTTCTGGGGGTTAACTACAGTAAGTAGACTGATGGACAGCCCAACTCATCCAGGCACAGTGACTACTGATGGACAGCCCAACTCATCTGGGCACAGTGACTACTGATGGACAGCCCAACTCATCCAGGCACAGTGACTACTGATGGACAGCCCAACTCATCTGGGCACAGTGACTGACTGGGTGCTATGGTAGCTACACACAACCTGGCAGCTCAAAGGTCTTAGCTTAAATCTGCACTGAATCATATTTTGTTTTAAACTAAATTATCTTGACTCAAAGCTCAACCCAGCCTAAAATGGGTACTAGGAAATACCCTAGGCAGTAAAGGTGGCGTATGTGATGTTGATGTGTCTAGCATTATGTGCTAAATGCCCCTATGACTTGAAAAGGGTCCTTTACCTTCAGAGACTGACTACAACGGCAATAACTTTTGTATCCAGAAGCATAATCTGTTCTTCCTCTTAGCGTTAACCAGTTATAAACTCCTGCAGGAAGTTCTGGTTTGATCATGATCCATAAACTAAGTTTAGCGAGTACATCTGATCTACAGATCTGGCTTATTTTAAGCAGACTGCTGGTTCATGGCTTCTCTGGCAGATGTATTCCGACTTGAAGGAAACACCCCTAGCTAGTCGCCATCTATGACATTCCTGTTAGGGGGCAAAGGCTCTACTCTTTGTTCTCCAAAATGGATCCCCAGAACCCACAGGGAAAAAACCTATTATAAAACATTTACATCAAGTTACTAAGTCTCCACTTACCTACAAACAATTTCACGAGTGTAGGCTGTGCTCGATTCAGCTGATCTCCCAACCCCAGCTGACCTTGTTCGTTACATCCCCACACCCACACATCTGTAGCTGTACTGATGTGGCTTTGTACTGGCTGCTGTAGTGACCTATCAGCCACATCTGATGTTAAGATCATCATAAAATTATTGAACGAGTAACCATTTTTGATTTAACTTCAACTATTTTGCCCCAAGAAGGCTAAATCTAATCACTTCCGGTTGTGACACAGCCCCCTAAATGCCAGTTAATGACCATTTCTGCAGTGTTGTATTCTCGAAATGTGTAGTTATTTTCCAGTGGTCCTATGTACGCTAGTGTAGGGTTTAGGAGGCCAGGATGTGAATATATTATTATAGCATTTAGAGACCCATTTAACAGTACCTGCTATATGCCACAAGAACAGTATCTTCTACACTCTAATTTAACAGTACCTGCTACACACCACACTAACAGTAAATACTACACACCCCTGTAACAGTATCTGCTACACACCACAACAATAGTATCTGTTACACACCCCCATAACAGTATCTGCTATACAACACAACAATAGTATCTGCTAAACACTACTGTAACAGTAGCTGCTACACACCACAATAACAGTAAATACTACACACCCCTGTAACAGTATCTGCTACACACCACTGTAACAGTATCTGCTAAACACCACAACAATAGTATCTGTTATACACCCCCATAACAGTATCTGCTATACAACACAACAATAGTATCTGCTAAACACTACTGTAACAGTATCTGCTACACACCACAATAACAGTAAATACTACACACCCCTGTAACAGTATCTGCTACACACCACAATAACAGTAAATACTACACACCCTTGTAACAGTAGCTGCTACACACCACAATAACAGTAAATACTACACACCCTTGTAACAGTAGCTGCTACACACCACAATGACAGTAAATACTACACACCCTTGTAACAGTAGCTGCTACACACCACAATGACAGTAAATACTACAAACCCCGGTAACTGTATCTGCTAAACACCCCTGTAACAGATTCTGCTACACACCGCTGTAACAATTTCTGCTACACACCACTGTAACTGTATCTGCTAAACACCCCTGTAACAGTATCTGCTACACACCCCTGTAACAGTATCTGCTACACACCACTGTAACAGTATCTGCTACACACCACTGTAACAGTATCTGCTACACACCACTGTAACAATATCTGCTACACCACTGTAACAGTATCTGCTACACACCACTGTAACAGTATCTGCTACACACCACTGTAACAGTATCTGCTACACCACTGTAACAGTATCTGCTACACACCACTGTAACAGTATCTGCTACACACCACTGTAACAGTATCTGCTACACACCACTGTAACAGTATCTGCTACACACCACTGTAACAGTATCTGCTACACACCACAACAATAGTATTTGCTACACACCACTGTAACAGTATCTGCTACACACCACTGTAACAGTATCTGCTACACACCACAACAATAGTATTTGCTACACACCACTGTAACAATATTTGCTACACACCACTATAACAGTATCTGCTACACACCCCTGTAACAATATCTGCTACACACCACAACAATAGTATTTGCTACACACTACTGTAACAGTATCTGCAACACACCCCTGTAACAATATCTGCTACACACCACAACAATAGTATTTGCTACACACCACTGTAACAGTATCTGCTACACACCCCTGTAACAATATCTGCTACACACCACAACAATAGTATTTGCTACACACTACTGTAACATAATCCATCATAGAGTTACTTTGGTTTTACCCACAAAGTAGTTATGACTGTCATTGTTTATTCTGTATAATTAATATTATCTAAATGTCACCTTGGCTTTTATCAATTCTCTTTGTTTCTGGGCTTCTTGCTAGGGAAGAAGACACCTTGTTCTTGCAACTGCCACCCTGAGGAAATAAGCAAACAACTGTTTCATCATCGTGTAACAAGTCCTTTGCAGAATGTCGCTCTCATCACGGCCCTGCCTGAAAGAAACTAAGTCTCTCACCAGCTCTCCTGCCTTGTGCATTTTCCTACCCAGGATGTCACTTATATCATGTGCCCATCTTTGTGCTGGTCAGCTCCTGCCCTTCTTTTTTTGGTACCATACCTTCTGCTATTGTTCTTTCCTTGATATGACCAAATTATTTATATAATGCAGAAACAAACAATACATTGCACAATTTACTGCCAGGCATATTTCGCTGTATCTTATCAGGTGCGTTACTAAAGAGTTACATCAACATAAAATAAAGCACAAAACTGAATAAACTTCAGTTTTGTGCTTTATTTATATAATTTTTTTTCAAATCCGTTGTAGCACTTGATATGACCAAAATATTTTAGCTTTCGCGACAGGATGCTGTTTATTAGCCAATCTTCCTTGATGGCTGCCTGGTACACAGCCTAAATTTGGTACATGGTAATGTCAGGGGAAATAAAGGCAGCTCACATAATGTTGACCACAACTCCAGCAGAGTACTGATTTGTCTATAGAAAATAGAGTCTAGCATTGTATGCCCTATGAGCCACTTTACTTCTATACAGTTAATGGAATCATGCGGCTGGTCCAGCAGTTATGTCAGGCTCTTATGCGGGAGACCCGGGTTTGACCCCCAGTAAGGTGATAAAGTTTTTCTGTCGGGGGCAGAATGAAACATACTAACCTGCATAGTCCAAGTTGACAGCACTAGCCATGTGGCCCTTAATCCTCATGCTCATAACTCCCCCCCCCCCTTTCCTGTCTAAACCGCCCTATAAGTGGTAAATGCAGAGAGTAGTGGCAGATTTTTTTAATGTAATCAAGGAAACACCGTGAGCAGATAGATAACTTACTAACCAACACAGTGGTTAAGACAGTTCATATAGTTGGCTGGCAGCTGGTCTAGGAGGGAAGCTCTGATACGCGGACAGACTCAGCGCTGTTCTAAACGATCCAGCAGCTTCTGCGGCGTGCTTTGCTCCAAATGTACTCATGTTACCTCTCCTTTGGAATAAACAAGGCAGGTCGAAGAGGGATCATGATACATGGGCAACACATAGTCTCTATGAAACTGAACAGGTTTTGTGCTATGGAGAGGCAGAACTTTATTCTTTACACTCACCATCACCGTGGGCTATGATTCCCATGCTTCCTTATAGCATTATATAACATTATAGTCTGGGAAGGTAAAGGTAAAGGTGAGAAGATTGACTTTATTGCACTGGATTTTTTCCCAAATAGCTTAGTCTCTCTTTGCAGAACAGCTAGCTGCCTGCCGAGAGTGTCGCACAGAGCAGGACCTCCGCAGCTCCGGTGACGATCCCCAGGGATCTCCATAAAAATTACTCGTGAACTCAACAGAGCCACCGTGAAACAAACCCACAACCTTAAGATGGCAAGGTAAACAGCTTGACCACTTCACCACGGAGACCCCCAGTCTGGAAAGATGAGAAGGGGCCAGCTACAACATAAATGAAAGAAGAGGACAAGGCAAACAGCCAATAAACAAACATGTCACTCACAGATAAAACATTCTCAGTGAGCTGTGCTTCTGTGATAACAGTTGACTTCTTGCCAGATAACTTGCTTATTTCATTGAATGGTTCCTTGGCCTGTTTCATCATCAAACTGACGCTGCAAGTACTCTCTAGCTCCCGACAAATCGAATGACTTGACACTTGTGGTGGAAGGTGATCGTTTCCTGTTACTCATATTTAATGCCCTTAACTCTGTGAATGTGAAAACAAATTACTGACAATGCTACCAGCTAAAAAACAGTCGTCAATTTTAGAACCAATTTATGAGAACATGACCATAGTATTCAGACCAAACCAGTGAAGCAGCTAAAATTACTGAGGACAATAATGCATTGAACTCCTATTTGCAGAATACCAAATGCTAATGGCAACTACAGAGAAAGAACAACAAAGACACCTGTAGAACCTAAACACAGAAGGATAGTTGTTATGGCTGCATTCTTACTAAATGACCAAACCATTTGATCTTCTGTTTCTCAACTAATCTGCTGAATGGTGTTGTTCCCACACTCTGTCTTATAATATTATTTATAAACTCCTAATTTTGTTTCGGATGGTTAAGTGGATGGCAGATTTTCTCAGGCATCTCATTTCGCAGGTTTTAGTTTTACGTAGGTTAGCCTTTGATAGCAGACGCTGTTCCTAACACCAGCGGCACAGCTCCTTGCTCCCTAGAGACTGACAGTTGACCAATATATATTTGGTTTATGAAGTAGGATGCCATGGTTCACATTGCACAGAGGGAGGAAATTAGGAAGGGAACAGAGACCATGGAGAAAAATATTGCAGAAAGGTTAAGTAAGAACTATGTTTATTTGTATGCAAGTTGTACCCCACTAGGACAACACACAAGCAATAAACACCCGGTGACACAAAGTGCCACCAGGTGGACGAGTATCACCCGCTGAGAGGTTCCGGAAATGTCGTTCAGTTGTTAGGCCATATTTCAGGCCTGGCTATATTTAGGGCCCCCTGCAAAATCCAGGGTGGAGCTTCAAAATGGCTACCAAAAAAATTGCATCCCACAAGAGAGGATGACGAGAACCCAAAAAAAAATAGCTGACATAATTTACTGGTGATGTATCACACCAGTCTCATCTAATGTGGTCCTGAGGATGACCTCATCAGCTAAAATGTGTTTCAATTACATCTGAGAATTTTCTTTAAAAATATCTATAAAAGAAAAGAAATGAAGGTGACCTTTTTCTTCTTCGTCTGACCTTGGAATGGCAGTTAACATGTTGTGGTGTGGTTTACAGCTGGGCCTCGAGAGGCAGGGGGTGAGAAGTGTTGGTGTTGTGGTTAGTGGGTTCCCCCCTTACTTCACCCTAGGTCTAGTAAATATCTGTTCACGAAAGGAGCGTCCATTGCGGTGACAGCCTCTTGACCTAGCGAAACCTCTCTTACCTCAAGACCATTGTGCGTGGCAAAGAGTCACAGCCTCCCCGAGGTAGTCCTGGTAACTGGGGGTGCGAATCCCCAGGCAAAAACACAATAGATCTAGGATCAAACCTCGATAATAAACCCGGTGCACCACACCGTACTACCCCCTGTGGGAGGGAAGGAGCCGGAGGTGTGCTGAACAGTCTTAGGAATGGAAACAAGTATGCTAACTCCCCTGAATACCGGAAACTATCGTGAAGGCACAGGGACTCAGGACGTGACGATCCAGTTGCCCCAATTACTCATGCTTAGGCCATGCTTAGAACCATGAAGAGCTCAGCGAAACCAGCAGGCAATCTGGTGGCGGGGAATGAGCACACTGTGAGCCCCACCTTAGCTACGTGTTAAAGGGGAAGGCAGAAACACAACCCATATTTCCTTTAGAACTGGTACAGGGCATTTCTAGCTGCTGCCCAGGGAAGTAGGTAATCCACAGACACCCCAGCATCACAATGCCATGAATATCTAAAAATTTAAGAATACATACGAGATCGGTCGTCGCCTCGTTTATCAAGGCCCGCGCCAGACAGTGGAAAACCAGGCTGTCATGTGCGAAAAGTTGGCTACTGGAAAATTTAAGATGAATAGGAAAATCAAACACCCCAGGAGGAGGCAGAGTGGGAGGGAGATCAAAGAGAACTCAGACCGCACAGCAAAAAATACACAGATGCTCAATGGAATAAGAAATAAGAAACTTGAACTTGCCAGACTACTAAACAACTACAGGGTACATGTGGCTGCCCTACAAGAAACCCTGCATAAAGACTCTGATCTGCATCTCACTGGATATACTAGTTACGCCTGTAAGTGCAATGACTGCCGGGGCATAGTGACCTATATCAGAAATGACATACAAGGAGATGTAACAATGCTATCGACATCTCACCCTACAGATGTGCAAAAAATAACTATCTGGCACAATGGAAGCAAATATACGATATACAACGTGTACAGCCCACCTCAGACAACATGCAACATATCAGAACTATATAAGACACAGTACCATAAAACTCTTCTTGTTGGTGACTTCAACGGACACTCGCCACATTACCCTGACTACAATAGCACAGGGAAATACATCAAAGATACTTGTGAAACAACTAACCTATTAGTGCTGCAGGACACAGAGTCTACCCCTACACTGTTACACAGGGCCCATCTATCTCTCAGCCGACCAGACCTGACCATCTGCTCATCCGACTTAGCAGACGCAACCTATCCCCAAATCCTGGATGACATAGGAAGTGACCACAAACCTATACTCACAACTGTAAGCACCACCGCTAAATTACACTTCAAGCAGAGAACCCGTTGGAATTTCCTAAACCAAACTGGAAACTATTTCAGAAAACATCTGACTGCCTCCTGGGAAGAATTGACAACAGCTGTGTGGAAACGTTTTGTGAAGATATAACAGAATCAATCCTGAATGCAGCGTTGAAAGCCATCCCAAGGGGCAGTCGGAAGGCATATAAATCTTTCTGGAATAAAGAAATTCAAAATACTATATCTGAAAGGAATAAAGCAAGAATATTGCTCGAAACTGCACATACAACAGAAGCAAAGATCCAATACAATAAAGCATGTGCCAGAGTAAAGCTTGTAGTTAATAAGGCTAAAAGAGATAAATGGACAGAAACGTGCTCCAACTTAGACCTTAGACAGAATGGAAATAAAGCGTCTTTGTCGACCTCCAGCAGGCCTTTGACAGAGTATGGAGAAAAGGTCTCTTGATGAAGATGATGAACACAGGAATACATGGCAGATTGTATAACTGGGTGAAATACTTTCTAGAACAATCCAGACTAAGATGCACAACGCAATCTCTTCTAAAGAAGTCTTGGAGGAGGGCTTGCCACACGGCTCATCATTGAGCTGTACACTGTTCCTAATCTTTATCAATGACCTGCCAGAACAAATCAAGGCTGAAAAAGCCTTGTATGCTGATGACCTAGCAATATGGCAGTCATGAAAATGTGGAAAGTGGAGCCCAAAGACTAAATGGAGACCTTAGAAGACTGCATGGGTACTGTCAAAGATGGAAACTCAAGGTTAACTGTGCAAAGACGGTCTACACAGTCTTTACCAAAAGCCATCAAGTAGCAAGGAAGAATATTAACCCGAGGTTAGACAAACACCAAGTGATGAAAGAAGAGCATCCTACATACCTTGGAGTCACACTTGATCGGCAGCTCAGCCTCAAGAATCATATTGAAAACGTAAGAAATAAGGCATTGAGGCGGTTACAGTTATTAAAGAGACTTGCAGGTACATCATGGGGATCAGACAAGGAAACTCTGAGGGGCATATCTAAGATATGTTCGCTCTGTGATAGAGTACAACAACTCACTGCTTACAACCTGCTCCAAAACTAACCTAGAGACTCTTGACAGAGTACAAAATAATGCCCTCCGATTAATCTGCGGAGCTATGCAGTCTACACCAACTGCTGCATGTGAAATCCACACAAATGTGAAACCCTCGGGTTGTGGAGAGAAAAAGCCATTTTAGAAATTTATGAAAGATGCGTTAGAAAGAATCGTAACCATCCTAATAGACACCTTGAAGAAAACTGGGAATACAAACAAAGAATAAAGCACAAATCGGTTTTACACTGTGTTAATGAAATTCAGGACAGATACCACCTCCCAGAAAGTGGTCAAGGCATTCAGAATGTTGCAAGAAACCTACCACCACATGCTCGCTTCAAAGCTCCAGAAGTCCGAATTAAATTGGTAGGCGAGGAAACCAAACAGTCTGACCCAATCGCTCTTATGAACTCATCACTAAAGACCGTTGATTCTTACCCCAAGAATGGATACATGTTTATACTGATGGATGTGCATTTAAAGCTACCATTAAAGCAGGTTACGGAATCTACATTGGTTATCCCGATGGATCTGTTGAAGAGATTTTTGATGCATGCGGGGAATTCTGTTCAAACTATGAAGCTGAAATAATTGCATTGGAAACAGCAGTATACCACATAAAGACTGTAATGGATGTTTACCCTTCAAAGGTCCAAAATATTGTCATCTTCACAGAATCAATGTCTGCCTGTCAAGCTCTGGAGGGCAGTGAACGCTGCAGAATTGACATAGCCAAGATAATCCTGGATGCTGATCAGCTTATTACCTCATACAACATCAGAATAGTGATGCAGTGGATTCCAGGCCACTCCGGCACACCAGGTAATGACAGATTGGCAAAGAAAGGAGCAACACAAGAACAACCACCTACAGCGACAACCCTACAGACAGCAAAAACACTGATAAGAGCTATAAACAAAGAGACTTGGTTGAACAGATGGGCCATGGGAGACACTGGAAGAGAGGTTTATAGACACATGGCTGGCCCTGATCCTAATGACAGCATTAATCATCTAACAAGAAGGGACCAGGCCACCATCTTCAGACTTAGAACGCAGCATACTCCACTCAATGGACACTTAAACAGAATACAGCCACAACACTCCCCAGAGTGCCAGCTATGTAACTACCCCTACGAAACTGTTGAACACCATCTCTTTGAGTGCCCAAAACTCAGTGAGACAAGAAGAACGCTACTCCCTCCGAGACCAGACAAGTGGAACACCTTGTACGGAGGAAAAGAACAGCTTGTGAAAACATGCAAATTCCACTACATGGCATTGGGCCAAAGGGCGAAAGCTCATTCGCCGCTGGATCGATAACAACAACAACAGCTGGGCCGTAATATCTGCACTTTTCGGTCCAACACCTACGATTTCAACAAACTTCTAATTTGTCACCCTTTACGACATGGTTAGTGGGCAGTGATTCTATTATCTTTCTCCCAAAATGGGGCCCCATAACTCACACAGTCAATTTGCCATGAATTAACAGGTGGGGAAATCAATAAGTAAGTCACAAATGGTTATGGGATGGCAGGAAAATGTAGTGGGTGGTTCATAAAGGTGTCATTAAGTGACAGCAACACTGAACTTTATGTCTTCATTCATTAGGTGGTGCTAGGTTTTGCAAGTGTATTCGCAAAACAGAAACAAAATGGAGTCTATACCTACGGAGTGTACCCTCAAAGAACAACGTGCTGTTGTGCATTTTTGTTGTTGTTGACAAAACGGCTGACTGCCCTTCATAAGGAAATGCTTTCTGTTTATGCTAACAAATGTTTATCCGGTAAAGCTTTGCATAGTTGGGTCTTTTAAAAACCACCTTGACAAAAGACACTTAGCGAATCACGCAGAAGTTAGAAGTGAAAATGTGGTTTAGAAAACAAGAGCACACAGTTCTATGCAGCAGGTGATGGGACAAGTGCATAAATGGTGGTGGAAATTATACTGAAAAATAAAGGGACAGTGTGTGTGTAAAAATAAATGGTTTTCAAGTTGTTATCGCCTGTAGCTTTCTTCAAACAACCATTTGTGACTTTATTGACTCCCTCATAGTACTACCCCCCCACCCCCTTTTGTAATCATAATTTTATTTTACCGTGTTAGTATTCTCAAACACATACCTTCATCTATACATTCTGCATCAGAGAACCTTCTAAGCAATACATCGTCCATTTCAACCGAATGAAGCTGCTCTCCTGTTGAATCATCATTTGTTTGCTTGTCCTCTATTTCCTGCTCCTGCTTCAGCCTAGTCTCATCACTGTCAATGATGTTCTCCTGTAGCAGCGGTCTCTTCTCTGAAAAAGGTTTAGTCTGTTCTATGCTAACAGACTCATTTGTAAAGGAGCATTCGTTCTCTTCTTTCTTGCTCAATGAGGACTCAGAACTGTTTTCAGATGTTGTATTTTCTGACTGTGTTGGTAAATCCTTTATCTGCAGTGCTGCCTCATTTTGCGTATCAGGAATTCCATCTGTTTTATAATCTGAACCACCATCTTCAAAAGGATTCTCTGTTGGAATAACAAGAACACTAGTTTCAAAGCCAGAAGTTTCTAGAAAGCTGGAGTTATCAAGCAAACTGCTCTGGTTACCACTATCATCTGCCTCATTTCTTCTGCATTCAAGAAGGTTCTCTGCTTCATGATCAGTCTGGGATCCAGGTACCATTCTTTCTTCTGGAGACGCTGTTGCTGACCTTTTCAAAGCTTCACTGGAGCTAGATGATGAAACATCTTCGATGATTGTCGAGTCTACGCTGTGAACACTGTCATTCAGGGTACAATCATGTAGTGTGTCAATCACACACATGTCACTTGTGTCTGTGTATGTGTAGATCTCCTTGTTGCATATACTACATCTAGATGGGTAGAGTTCATTCACTAAAACAGTCTTTGCTTCTGTTTTTCCTTTGATGGCTTTCAAAGGTGATGCTGACCTTGAAGGTCTGTTCTCCTCCTTGAGAACAAGAGCCATGCTGTGCTGGTCTCCACAACAAACTGCCACAACAGGATGTCCCTGAAGAGCATCAATTTTCCTGGGGATGGGTGCATGTTTCAGATCACCTAACCCGAGCTGTGGCACATAACCCCATGACCAAACTTCACCATCTGAAAGAAGAAATCATGTTTAAATAACAATCAATGTAGAAACCAGAGACATCTGACAAAGGTCAACATTTAAACTCACGTCAAGACAGGATATAAATGATATTTTACAAAATTTTGCTAGAATTATACAAGTAAAGGAAAACTGAGAGGTGCGGTGAAATTAAAATATGCATATTATTGCATCATGAATGGAATCAAAAATGGAATTGCTTCGTGACCCCATTCTTCATTATGTGGCCAGAACTGTTAAATCAGAGTCAGATCAGGAATTGTGAATTTTCTTCCTCAGAACATTCCTTGTGTATGGGATAATGAGCCAGCTTAGAGACTGTCTGCTGCCGCTCCCCTGGGCAGTGAGCTACTTTATGATAAAGTGAACGTGATGAAGGCTCAGTAGGGTCAAGTTAACAGTGTAATGGAACAACTGAGTATCCATACCTCGAAAGATTTATTCCCTGAGGAGCAGGCAGAGGGTTTGGACAGTTTTTATTGCCAAGGGAAAAAAGCCAGGCAGACTTGTAATCAGGTGGCAACTGGCACCATTAATATAAAAACTCTTCATTGTCTAATGAGGTAGGGAACAGAGCATAAGTGGGAATGCCCCTGAGTGCAGTGATGTCATTCCTGATACTGCTAGAAATGGCAGTTATGGAGAAGTATGATTAGGCATGCCACTTGTAAAGCAAAGGACCCTTTTCCAGGCCTTTAGGTGTAGAGGGCATATAGAACTTGAACTTGAACTTTGTGGAAAACAAAAATGACAAAACTCCTTGACTCTTTCAGTCTGCTCCTGATTGAGCGGTGACTATATCAAGTCCTTGTTTGTGTGCTGACTCTAGGTCGTTTTGTTTTTTAGAGGCGTTTGGTTGTGCCTTGTTTACCAATCTTTCTATTTGCCTTTCCTTTTTGCCTGTGTGAGTTTTTTTTTTAGTCAGCATCACGCCAGCCGCCTCTACTTCCCGGGACTGCACCCGGTACCCACTCGAGGCTGGGTCGACCTGGGAGCCAAGGTTATTTTTTTTTAAAGTCCAGCTCCACCAGGGAGCGAACCAACGACCTTCTGATCCACGGCGAGCATCTAGCCGCTCCGCCACAGGTACTCCCTAGGCATGCCACTTGAGCAGTTTATAATGATACAACCAACATGGACATATCATTCATTATCATCACTATTGTCCTGTTTTGCCACTGTATGTCACACAGGACTCACAGTCTATTCCCCCCTTCCATTCAATATCATAAACTGAATCCAGTCCAGCACCTTTGGCCTCTTTCATCAAAGTTTGTTTTAGGGCTTCTTTTAGATGCCCCCACTTCATCAGGCACATCATTTCCTATTTTAGTGTCTGTTGGATGATTCTCTACTTGTGTCATTTCAGGATGTGTCCATCTTATTTGTCTTATAACTGTTGTTACGACTGGTTGTCCAGACATTTCTCTTTTTTCTCCACTCCTTTTGAATTCATCCCATTTTATGTTCAACATTTTCACATGGAGGTATACTGAAGATAAACTGATTCTACCTGGGAAGAAGATTTATGAAGAAGCAAGACTGTTCATGTCACTTAGCGCCAGATTGATAACAACAATGAAGAAACTACAACTTTACTTCTTTTTTCTCCATTTCCCTCATCAAAATGTTGTTGGGGCGGGGAGTGGGGGCTGTAAAGCTCTTCTGTGTGCTCTAAAGTTGTGTTTTTCAAGCAGCTAAAACTTGTAATGATGTGACATCAAATTTTACAAATACGCTGCTATATTCATTTGATTTTGTTTCTGTGTTTGGTTACCTGTTAAGTGGGCCATGAAACAATGTCCCCTGTTTTGGTGGGCCGTGGGTGGAAACAGGTTGGAGAACACTGCTCTAAAGGACACCCTGACTGATTGATAGGTAGATGGAAAACTGTGATACCGATGACATCACCCATTAAATTCTCACTGGTCTATAAAATAAACTAGAACCATTTACTTGGGAGCCCCCATGGCGAAGCGGTTAGACGCTCGCCTGCAGATCCGAAAGTAGTGGGTTTGGGTCCTGACAATGCTGGACTTTTTTTTTTTTTTTTTTAAATCAGCTTAGCTCCCAGGTCGACCCAGTCTTGAGTTGGTATCAGAAAGAGACATGGGAAGTAAAGGTGGCCAGCATGACTTGGATATCACCCACCTTGTGTCAGCTGGTCCGTAAAATATAACCCTAAATGCCCCATAACTAAACATCAAGGAGAGACCAAAATGTTTTATCTGTTTATTATCTTACACTTTATCTCCTCGCAAAACATAGGTAACATAAGAAATAACTTACACACTCACAAAACATAGACAACACAGGAAGTAACTTATTCACTCACAAAACATATATAACAAAGGAAATAACATACACTCATAAAACATAGACAACATAGGAAATAACATACACTCAAAAAACATAGACAACATAGGAAATAACATACACTCACAAAACACAGACAACAAAGGAAATAACTTACACACTCACACAACATAGAAAATAAAGGAAATACACCCTCACAAAACATAGACAATAAAGGACACAGTTTATACTCTCACAAAAACATAGACAATAAAGGACACAGTTTATACTCTCACAAAACAGACAATAAAGGACACAGTTTTTACTCTCACAAAAACATAGACAATAAAGGACACAGTTTATAATCTTACAAAACATAGACAATAAAGGACACAGTTTATAATCTTACAAAACATAGACAATAAAGGACACAGTTTATAATCTTACAAAACATAGACAATAAAGGACACAGTTTATACTCTTACAAAACATAGACAATAAAGGACACAGTTTATACTCTTACAAAACATAGACAATAAAGAACACAGTTTATAATCTTACAAAACATAGACATTAAAGGACACAGTTTATACTCTTACAAAACATAGACAATAAAAAAACACAGTCTATAATCTTACAAAACATAGACAATAAAAGACACAGTTTATAATCTTACAAAACATAAGACAATAAAGGACACAGTTTATAATCTTACAAAACATAGACAATAAAAGACACAGTTTATAATCTTACAAAACATAGACAATAAAGGACACAGTTTATACTCTCACAAAACATAGGCAATAAAGGACACAGTTTATAATCTTACAAAACATAGGCAATAAAGGACACAGTTTATAATCTTACAAAACATAGACAATAATGGACACAGTTTATAATCTTACAAAACATAGACAATAAAGGACACAGTTTATAATCTTACAAAACATAGGCAATAATGGACACAGTTTATAATCTTACAAAACATAGACAATAAAGGACACAGTTTATAATACTTACACAAAAAGACAATGAAGACAGTTTTTATCAAAAAAAACAACTAGAAAATAAAGGACACAGTTTATAATCTTACAAAACATAGGCAATAAAGGATACAGTTTTTATAATCTTACAAAACATAGGACAATCAAAAGAAACAGTATATATCTCTACAAAAACAGACAATAAAGGATACAGTTTATAATCTTACAAAACATAGACAATAATGGACACAGTTTATATCTTACAAAACATAGGCAATAAAGGACACAGTTTATACTCTCACAAAAACATAGACAATAAAGGACACAGTTTATACTCTCACAAAACATAGACAATAAAGGACACAGTTTATACTCTTACAAAACATAGACAATAGAGGACACAGTTTATACTCTCACAAAACATAGACAATAAAGGACACAGTTTATACTCTCACAAAACATAGACAATAAAGGACACAGTTTATAATCTTCACAAAAATAGGCATAAAGGACACAGTTTTTATTATAGACAAATCTTACAAAACATAGGCAATAAGGACACAGTTTATAATCTTACAAAACATAGACCAATAAAGGACACAGTTTATAATCTTACAAAACATAGACAATAAAGGACACAGTTTATAATCTTACAAAACATAGACAATAAAGGACACAGTTTATAATCTTACAAAACATAGACAATAAAGGACACAGTTTATAATCTTACAAAAACATAGACAATAAAGGACACAGTTTATAATCTTACAAAACATAGACAATAAAGGACACAGTTTATAATCTCACAAAACATAGACAATAGAGGACACAGTTTATAATCTTACAAAACATAGACAATAATGGACACAGTTTATACTCTCACAAAACATAGACAATAAAGAACACAGTTTATAATCTTACAAAACATAGGCAATAAAGAACACAGTTTATAATCTTACAAAACACAGACAATTATGAACACAGTTTATAATCTTACAAAACATAGACAATAAAGAACACAGTTTATAATCTTACAAAACATAGACAATAAAGGACACAGTTTATAATCTTACAAAACATAGACAATAATGGACACAGTTTATACTCTCACAAAACATAGACAATAGAGGACACAGTTTTTACTCTCACAAAACTTAGACAATATAGGAAATAGTTTATACTTATACTCTTATAATCTTACAGAACAATACAATAAGGACAAGTTTTTACTCTCACAAAACATAGACAATATAGGAAACAGTTTATACTCTTATAAAACATAGCACAATAAAGGAAAGAACATACACTCATAAACAGTGGCAATATGGAAAAAAACATACACTTACAAAACATAGACAATAAAGAAAAAAAGTTTATATTCACCAAACCTAGACAATAAAATGAAATAACATACACTCACAAAATACAGGCAATAAATGAAACAACAAATATACTCACAGAATATAGAAAACAAATCAAATTACTAAAATAAAATACAAATTTTTTTTATATAGCAAAGGTTAAATAACGCAAACATAGATAAACTAGGAAATGACTAATATACATAAAGAATATAGAAAACAACTTGAACGACCCCCCCCCCCCCCCCCCCCCCCCCAAAAAAAACCAAACAAAAATAACTCAGAGCAACAGAGATAAACTAAAACAATGGCAAAACATTGACAAGAAAGGAAATGACATGCAATCACAGAACACATTCCTTACCATCTGACAGGGCCAAAGTATGACTGCTCCCACAAGCAACACTGCTGATAGGAACAGCCAGAGCTGGCTTGGGTATTCCATGCTGACAGAAACCTTTGTTAATCTCCACAACAACCTGAGTAGGAGCCAGAACTAAGTCGAGACTCCCTGTCCCACACTGACCATTTCTGGACAATCCCCAACAGAAAACTTGGCCTGCTGTGGTGACAACAGCATTGTGGTGTTTGCCGCACGCAACTTGGATCACTGGGTCTGAAATGTTAATGTGTTAATAATAGAGCCTCTATAGCAATTAATTCGCTCGCTCAGAGGATTTTATCATTTACACAGACGGTTTCAGTGTCAAGAGGCAAAAGAAGTCCTTGGGGTTTCTTAGCAAAAGTTAATGGTCAATATTTGGTGCAGGAGAGCCTAGCATATGATACCACAACATCCAGCTTAAAAATGGAGGTGGAGGCGTCACTGCAGCTTTCCGCTGGTTAGAGACATGACACACACACACACACACAACGTGATTGTAACAGACTCAGAAAGCATGCTAAGGAAGATCAGGACAGGCATGCTCCTTTGAGGAGGACACGGGTGAGGGAGTATTGTCTGGATTTTTTCACCGGGGCACGCCAGCGTGTTGGGAAATGAACAGGCGGACAGACTGGCTGGCTCTGCACAACTTGGTGGAATACTGATACACGATAAGGCAGACGGGTTGGTGCCTTGAGGGAGAGAGTGTACAGTTCAGGGAAGCAGATGGATCACCACAATCTGGTGAGACTGATGCAGAGGGGAGTGACGAGAGGTTTTGGCAAATGCTCAAGGCTCAGAGGAAAGGCAAAACGGACGTTTAATCAGAATGCTACTGGCACCATTAGTATTGAAACTCTTTGCTGGCTGCTGAAGATGGGGACGGGGCGCTTATGGGAATGCCCCTGACTGCTATGATATCAGCTCTTGATCAAATCAATTCAATTAATAGCCTCTATACCAAACATACTGCTGTGCATTTGTCCATTACAGGGTTTCCTCAATTCACATTCAAGTTCAGTTCCGACCAAACAGTTTTTTTTTTCTTCCTTTATTCCTATACCCCTGTGGGTTTCAGTTCTCGTTATATTGCTTTTAGGTTTTCTCATGTGTGTCCTATAAGGCAGAGGAGTTCACTGACATAAATATAACAATAAAATATAAAAAAAGTATTAAGAAATGAATACTAAAGTTAATCTTAAAGGCGCTTGTGAGTTTCCAGCTTGATAGCAAAGAAGCACAGTAGCAAAGTAATGGACCCTTTTTTGATGTCATGGGACACAAGGTATATGGTGCTATAACCTTATTTTGTTACTGTCTGGCCCTTGATAAGTGCTACTGGCCACATCCACTGACTGGAGTGTCCAAAGGACAGATGCATATTGTTCCAATTAAAGACGAAAAATGCATTTAATCAACATGTGAAATAAAACGTTGAAATCATAAGAAATGATAACGTGAAAAATAACCAAAAAAGAGAGCAAAAACAAAACCATGTTTGAGAGATAAAGATGTAGAACTACAAAGCAGTAATCTAACACGAATGCCTTTGAATCACCAGCCAAATAATTAAATAATTTACACAATGGGGTATGAATAAAATTAGGACCAAAAAAAATTAATGGATGGACAGAATTATGAATATGCAACTAAATCATTGACACATATATCAACATATGAATAGAAAGCTGAAATTAAACATATTTTTCTTTTTCAAATATATCCATCCAATACCATTTTAGTCCAATTTAAGCCTGGAAAGTTCTTGAACAGTGCGGACAACAGATGGAAGCGGCAGTAAGTGTGGGATTAGCAACACACTTTCTACTCTACTCTGCCTGTGCAACCTCCATGCTTGGCAGGCTGGTGCACCATGCCTGAGGGATGTAGGCCATCCAGAATGGTCCTGGGCAGCAGCCTCCTATCTTGCTGTTCTGATGCTAAAAGAATTGAGAGCATTTTGAGAGTGTCCTTATAATGCTTTTTCTGTCCTCCCTGTGATTTCTTTCCTTGCTGGAGCTCACCATAAAATACTCTTTGGGAGGTGATAATATGGCATGCGGGCTAGGTGACCAGCCGAACGCAGCTAACAATTCTTTAGTATCGTGTGAATTCTAGGCAGGTTTGTCTTGTGTAAGAACCACAATATTTGAGATCCTATCTTGCTATTAGATTTAGAGCAGCTTTCTGAGACAAAATGAAACTGATTCAACTTTTTAGCATGGCGCTGATACACAGTCCACGTTTTGCAAGCATAGAGCGGTACTGGAAGAATTTCAGCTCTGTAAATCTTGACCTTGGTTAGAAGGCAGATATATATGGAGGCAGTAGATGGCGATGGTCAGTGTCAACAGCAAGACCACTGACTTTTTTTTTTAAAAGTCTTCCCAAATTAAGACAGGATTTCAGGACCATTGTTACAATCTCATTCATTTAACATGTTTCTTCTCAGAGGCTGAGCATTTAACCTGTCTACAATGGTATTCTCCTCTGTCCCTATTTTTTTCTTAATTTCTTCTTCCATGCAACACCACAGACCCCTTAAAAAAGGTAAAAGAATGATTAAATGATTGACAACTAGAGAATAATGCAAATACCTGAAAGCCCATTCACTTTTAAAGGCTCCTCTACAAGTTTCACCTCCAGGGAACCAACCCCTAGCTGTCCCACGTCATTGAATCCATTGACAAAAACATCTCCGCTGCCACTGAGAAACAAACTGTGCTGGTCTCCTAAGGCAATATCTGTGATGTTGACTTTGGTAAACAAGTTACAGGTTGTAAGCTGAAGATCACCATAAAATCCATGCCAGAGATAAGCAGAGGAACTCTCATGCTTGCTTCTGAGAAACAAATTTGTTATATATAAATAGTTGGCTATCCTCCGAATATACCCTAAAATGGCCTCAGTCACATGTCAATTACGCACTTCTTGCGACTTAAATTGCTCACTACTGGCGACTTCCACCACCGCCAGGAGTATCTCCCACGCCGCTACGTGGGGCATGGATTTGGGCTAAACTAGATGCCTGGGACTCACGAGCAGCAGCTACCACATCTCCTGCAGCTTCCTTCATTTTATTTGCTTGTGAGTCCCAGCCATCTAGTTTAGTCCCAATCCACACCGCGTGTAGCGGTGTGGGAGATACTCTCGGCGGTGGCGGTATAGTCCCCAGAAGTTCGCAATTCGGCAGTGGCGGTATAGTCCCAGGAAGTCTGCAATAGACAAGTGACTGAGGCCCTGTTAGGGTATATTTTCGGCCTCGATAATTTGGGACCGTTATTCTGAGGATAACCAAATAGTCATAGTACATCAAAAAATGCATATAGATAGAAATACATCTAAAAAATATAGGCCAACCTGAGATCAGCTTATTAAGTGGGAGAAGCACAAAAAACATTTTTTTTCAAAAGGCAGGACAATCTGAGACAGACAGTGAGCTATAATAATCAAGGTTAATGATGGATGATGATGAGGAAAAGGAATCACGATGTCAAAAAGTGTAAAGATAGAATGACAACAAAAACAAAGAATATATATGGTGCAACCTTCAACAGAGCTTCATTTTTTATTGCTTTAACCCTCTGGTGATGAGTGGACCAATCTGTCGGCCCAACAGCAAAATATCAAAAAAAGACAGCTGGGCGGATTTGTCAACCTGGTAATATAAGCGTTGAGACTGGATGGCTGGTTTTCATACCAGCTAGTAAGATTGCTTCTCGTATTTTTTGCATATGTGAGCTGTTCAATGATGGCTTTTGTGAAAGTTTGTTGTGTTCTGTAATTTTACATCAATTCCTTTTTTTCTTTTTAGGTGTTACCTGTGCCCAACAATGGTGAAAAGGACTGTTGCATCATAGCAACCAAAACATTGCATGAGACAGGAAAAGAAGTAGAACCATGTGCCTGGGGTCTCTCAAATGTCTCCAGGGGCCTTGTTTCCCAAAACAAAAGGGTCAGGACTTATTCAGGCTTCATTCACACGAACATTTAACCAAATTGTTATATTTAGTCACGTTTATCCTTTAAAAAAAAAACTGCATAAATACGCACATCAACATGGGTAATTTGAATAAATATTGAGATGTCGCTGAATGTCAGCGTGATTCATAAAGACACTGTTTGCTCATTCACTTTCCTATAAGAATATCTATAGTTTTATATGTTATCTTATAATTTTTGTGTGTGTGTGCAAATTAAGAGAATCCCTTCCTGAAGGCACTTAACTCAAAATAAGGAATCATCTTTGAAGTGTTAAAACATGGACCACTAGCAAAATGACGAATAAATGAATTAATCAATCAATAAATCAATCAAGAATTGATATCACTGCACAAGGAGTATTACTACACATGCTCTGTCCCCTTCTTCAGCAGCTAAAAGATTTGATATGCTAACAGTAAAAAATGATGAGAAATGCATTAAATAAATTATTTTATATATGATGCTACCGCACATCAGAATGAGAAGAATAAACTAAACTGGGCTCTCTTCCGAACGGCGTCATAATATTATGGCGGCCATAAAATATCCACAAATATCCTTACGGAGCTCAGTTCTATTAAAACTATGCCGGCTCAGTATAACGAAACAAATGCTCTAACAGGGTCTCAGCGATATGTTATTTGCGGACCTGTTTCTGTGCCTCACTGCTGACCGTATCCCCCGCGCCGCGCATAGCGGCGCGGATGGGGGCTAAACTAGATGGCTGGGACTCACGTGCAGCAGCTACCGCATCTCCTGCAACTTCCTCCAATTAATTTGCTCATGAGTCCCAGACACCTTGTTTAGCCCCCCATCCGCGCCGCTATGCGCGGAGTGGGGGATACACTCGGCGGTAAGTTTAATCGTGTTTTGCGCATGCCAAAAAGTGTGTGGATACAGGTAGGCAGGTCTGACATCTACGCCTGCTAAATCCTTCTTAGGAGTATTGCAACAGTATTGCTAATCTGCATCGGAGCGCGTGGTCTACCCGCCATATCACTTTCATTGTCAGTAATGTCTCGACATTGTCAATAGTCGCTTTTATCGTCTGCTACTATCATCTGCAATGTTGCGTCTCTTGAAATTGTAAAGTAATCCTAGTTTTGCCGCAATATGTTCCTTAGCAGACAGTCCGCATTTTACATATGCCTGAGCCCGGTAAGGATATTTGTGGATATTTTATGGCTGTCATAATATTATGACGCCGTTCGGAGGAGAGACCTAAACTGAATTGGGACTTTCTCCCTCTCTCCTATTTCTATCTCTCTCTCTTCTCTCTGTGTGTGTGTGTGTGTGTGAGAGAAACTCTCTTTCTCACACACATATTATTACACGGTCTATACAGTAGAGACTGTTGAAGATTCACTTCTGCATCTGAGTAATACATTTAATACTTACTACTTTAACTTTAGTTTTACTACGGTTACAGTTTCTCAACTCAAATGACAAGTAATTACTACAAGATATTCTTAAAAACTAAACAGCAAGTACGACTACATACTTATTCAAACTTACACACACACACACTACACAAAATGTCCTTACTTACTTAAAACTTTTCTTTGTCATATGGCATATGATATATCTGAATCTGTATTACTATTAATTAATAAGTATTTTAGTATTATACACAGGAAAATAGCAGCACTACACCACATACAAATAATTTCAGATATACTAAAGATATAGAAGAAATTCTTACGTTTTTTCCTGTGCGATTCTGGAGGATTTCGTTGTACTGTCAACTTCAATTTCCATGATTAGCAAGATCTGTCGCTCATTAAAAGATCCAAACACAATCAGGGTCGTCGTCTACTTTTTAGGGGCAACAGCTGCCATTATTTACAAAGTTGCAAAGTACTTCCGGCGAAAACAAAGTACATTATATTGTGGTCCAAGTAGGTGATCGTTAGTCGAAATTCCAACTTCAGTGTACACAGAATGTCCAATAACTTCTCAGTTCCTGTGACCCTGGAAATCACTTGGGGGGCGGGGGGTGGGGGGGGCTCACTGTCTCATTTAAAAATTAATGAAACACTTGTCAGTCACAGCTAAATTTTGAAGCAAACACACGCAGGGAAAATGCACAAGGCAGACTTCAGATGTGCCAACACTAACGGTCCCACACAAGAATTGCAGCTCCCCGTTGATGAAAGCAATCAAGTACAAAAACCGTAATCGTACACGCAAAACTGCATAAGTACATGCCATGACGAACGTAATCAGCTAACCGCCATTTTTAGTGCAGCTAACAACATTAAACTGTCATGGGCAGGCGCACACTCACTAACACGCATACACATACATCAGTCAACATGAAATCCATAGCTCACAGTGTCGCACCAAGCACTCAGCTTAGTAGCTGGGCAACGAAACCTTTGCTCCAGTTAATATCAAATCAATATGTGGCCGTTAGCTACGGCTGGTAGCTGATATAGAAAGAATTCTTCGACAAGCGGACAGATATAGCACAGCTTCTTAGTTTGTTTGTTTTTTCACTACATTTCGGGGCCTACGAGATTTGGATGGGAAATCCCCAGCACGTAATATAGTATACTTGTGTTAGGGCACGGCCTTCTCCATTTATATATATATATATATATATATATATATATATATATATATATATATATATATATATATATATATATATATATATACAGAAGGACGTGGTTAGGGTTAGGGTTAGTGTTAAATATATAACGACTTCTACTAAGCCTAATCCTAGCGCCCCCCCCCCCCTTTTTTTCCGTACTATGCGACGTTCTGTGGATTTTCCCTACCTAATCTCGTCGGCCCCGATCTGATGAAATAACAGAAAAGAACCAGCTTCAGCGGCATGATTATTTCCAAACGTATTATTATTACCTTTTCTTTAGATAAAGGGATCATATATACCATACTATATATATATATATATATATATATATATTTTTATATATTTTGTTTAATTCCGTATGTCCTCTATCGTCTCGTTGTTCACTCCTTTAATCTCAGACTCTGAATTCTTCCAAGTACAACTTCTTGGGGTTGTTAGCTGTTAATAAATTATTGAAAGAATTAATTGGTCTAGGACTTTTCCTAACGTGAGCGAGACTTGCTAGTCACACTCGCCATCGCCGTAGGCTGTTATTCCCATGCCCCCATAATGCGCAGTAGCGGCGTCTGAGGCGAGTCCGACTCGTAATTCCAACGTACCGCGATCGAAACCAACAGCTGGCTGCGTGAATTTGTATCATGGTATTGGGGCGTCGTAGGTCGACCCAGCCTAAAACAGTAACAGGATATATATCATGGGAAAGTAAATACGGCCGGCATAATGCTGACCACATTACCCACCTAGTCCCGATGGTCTGTAAAAAATTGGGTGATATTCCCATATGCCCGATGTGAATAAGGCATGGCAAGGAATCTTCTTATTCTTCTTGATAATGCACAGTACACATCCAACACCTGAAAAGACAATAAGATGTCAAAGAGGTATATATCGTATCAAATTTTCTGATATGCTGACGTATAATGAGCACACAACAGCTAAAGATCTGGGGGTACCATTACTTTGGTGAGAGAATATGCGCCTCTAGAGAATTAGAGGCAGAAGAGTATCTATAATTCACAGACGTCACTTGCCGAAAGATTTTTTTTTTTTTTCTGTAAAACTTTCCTCGTTTAATATGAAATGTTCACATTGACAAATCTTTCGGGAGACAAGCCACCTAAAATTACCTCAAAGAAGCGATATATCTTGCAATAAAAAAAAAAAATTTCAGACTAAAGAAACAGTTACCTATAAATTAGAATGAGTGTTACATCCAGTACTGATTTTTTAAAGGTATATTTGTGTGTGTGTGCGTTTGTGTTTTTTGTGTGTGTGGATCCAGAAGCCATGAGCTGTAACCCGTTGGCTCGGTGCTGTGGATATCGTAACCCTCCGGCCTTGATTCCATGATAGATACCGTAAATCTGGAAATATTTGGCTTTTCTGCCAACCCCCGGGCGTGAACTCGAACCACAAGGAGTTTGTCACCCGGTCGCCACGCAGCTGGTTTAACCAACATAGCTAGCGCGGCAAGCTTAGGGTATATTAAATGCGTTTCAAATCAGAAAGGGACAGGGTAAGCTATCAATCAGTCCCAGGCGGAGGAGGAGCAACAACAGCAGAAGCAGGAGAAGAAGAAGAAAAGGAAGAAGAAAAAGGAGAAGGAAAAAAAAGGAAGGGAGGGAGAAAGGAAGGAAGGAAGGAAGGAAGGCAGGCAGGCAGTCAGGCAAGCAGGCAGGCAGGCAGGCAGGCAGGCTAGAAGGCAGGCAGGCAGGCAGGAAGGAAGGAAGGAAGGAAGGAAGGAAGGAAGGAAGGAAGGAAGGAAGGAAGGAAGGAAGGAAGGAAGGAAGGAAGGAAGGAAGGAAGGAAGGAAGGAAGGAAGGAAGGAAGGAAGGAAGGAAGGAAGGAAGGAAGGAAGGAAGGAAGGAAGGCAGGAAGGCAGGCAGGCAGGCAGGCAGGAAGGCAGGCAGGCAGGCAGGCAGGCAGGCAGGCAGGCAGGCAGGAAGGAAGGAAGGAAGGAAGGAAGGAAGGAAGGAAGGAAGGAAGGAAGGAAGGAAGGAAGGAAGGAAGGAAGGAAGGAAGGAAGGAAGGAAGGAAGGAAGGAAGGAAGGAAGGAAGGAAGGAAGACAAAGAATTATCTTTTATCCTTTGTTGTCAGTCTCCTTTTATTATTTCTGAAACAGGAATTGAATATTTTCCTCCTGTACCGGTAAGACATTGCACTACACATATGGCCACCATTGCGTGTTGTATTTTCTAACACGCCCACATTGAACTGCACATCCTGGTTAGTTTGCTTGGGTTCGTATCACTAATTACCATCTACTGATAATGTAGAATTAGGCTACAGTAAACTCCTTGATTGGCGTGCTAAAGTGGACTACCATATGTGATTAGTAAAACACTATGTGCTAGCTGATAACATTGAGAGGATGAAAGTCTGTTAAACAGTTAATAGTGCTGGGCTTTTTGCCGGATCTGTTCTCGTGTAGCCCGCTTGGCATCCAACTGTCTCTTGAGTGGCAAATCAGACGACAAGCCAACATGGATTACCTTTGTGGTTTTTGCTAGTTATTCGTTTTGTTTGCTCTGGAGTCGACACCACATTTTAATATTATCCACACACAAAAGATCAAGAAGCTAGGTAGGACTTTCTAGGTCATATATTTGTTAGGTTGCAGTCGGCCTGTTGTCATGTATTCGAATTCACATCCAGACAGGAAGTACTTACGGAACATGTATTTCGCTACTTAACAGAGTTCAGCTTAGTCGAATTAAAAATCCCCATCACAGCACTAGGGACTTTCTCATAAGCGCACTATCCACATTCTCAAGTATCTTTTATTCTGATGGTAGAAGAAGTAGTCAAAGGGGGTGGGGGGGGGGACTGGGGGGTGGCGGGGTGTGTGTGTGTGGTCAAATAAGGTTTCTCGTTATAATAACCAAACAAAAACAGCAAAACAAAACAAGCACACCACCCCCCCCCCCCACCCCCCACCCCCTCCAAAATGAAATTTCGGTGCTTTTGTAATAAGTCACCACAAACAGACAGTCTAATATTTAAGGGGGTGGTAGATAGGCTGCATGCAGTCGTGGGACCTAGGCTGCATGCAGTCGTGGAACCTAGGCAGCACTCTCTCGTGGGACGTAGATGGGTTTGGGTTAGATCCAGTTCTAGACGTTTTCGGCCAATTAAAAGCACCACACAGCCAGGAAACCCGGTCTTACCACCCTATAAAATACTGGACTGTCATCGTGTCGTCATCTGGGGTGACTTAATACGGAAAAACCTAAATTTATAATATGTGTTTAGGACTAAGACCCCGCCCATATACACACTAGCTTACTTCTGATTGGTAGTTCATGAGCCCCGAAACCTTCGCACAAGGTTGCGGGTGTGTTCCGCAATGCTGTTGATATCGCGTGTTGTATATTTCAGCACCCCAGCGCTTTTAACACTCTAAAAACATGGAAACACCGGGGCTAACACAACCCTCCTAAAGAGTGCTGCAACCTATGTCACAGGCATTCTCTTTCTCGGAATAAAAAACGTAAATGCAAGACATAACAGAAAGCAAACAACAGAGTTGGACACACCAGTAACCTTCAGTAAGTCGACCAGCCCAACAAACTTGTGAATGAAAAGTGACCTACTCTATTTGGGGAGACTAACGTGGAAGAAACCCACTTTTTATTCAGAAAAGATAATATGTTAACGGCACTTAGCACACACAAATGTGCTGTAGTTCCCAGTATAAATATTATGGAGTCTGGTCCTGTCGGGTCTATTAAGTGTACTTGTGTTTCTTTGCTTGTTTCTTTTCCTTGGTTTTCAGCTCTAGGTCCCCTCTTCTACTTCAGCATTTCCACAGCGGACTCCAGTTCGAATTCGGTATGGCTGTCATGGTTCTCTTCTCTCTACTGTCTTTTTCGTGTTGTCAGTTTTTTTTTCCCCCAATGATGGTCTGAAAGGTGGTATTTATATGTTTTTGTGTGGGTGTGTGTGTGGGGGGGGGCGCACTTATTACATATAAAATAATAACCATAATTAAATTATTATTCCAAACTGACTGTTACTTTTGTTAACAATTATATTTGAAAAAATTGACCGCATGCGCCTACTTAATGTCAATAAATCTTTGATTTATTTGACTGCCAATATATTTAAATATCATCTAGTTCTTGAATAATTTGGTTAAATGAAAGAACTGCCGGAACTTCTCACACACTTGGCCGACGGTGAGAGTTCTTTCACCTCCCATTCATGCCGTGGTCAGTCGCATGGCCTGTCCTGTGTTTTGTGGGGGGTGATTATGGTTATTTTTACTATTTTTGGGCTTCGTTCGGTATTCGCTCGCCGTATATAATGTTTGTGGGAGATTGCGTTGTCGTGAGTCTCTTTGAGGCGCTGCAGGCGCCTGTATGCAAGTAACAAGTACTGCAGGAGGGAGGATAGCCGCGTAGCCGCGACTGTTTATCAGTACTGAAACTGTGATGTTTTTTTGCATTTCTACGTTCCTTGGCGCCCACCTCTTCCCCGAAAAAGAAGCCACTCTAAGAAACGTAGAAATACAAACAAAAATAGCAGTTTCGATACGCAAGAACCGTCGAGCAAGTAGCACAACGTGGAAATAATCACCCAAGTGAGCGGTGACAACACGAGAAAAGAGACAACGGTTAAATCGTTGAAAATATGACACACCTACCACTTAATACAGGGCGTGTGACCCGCCGCAGCATGATTGGGAGAGAAGGGAACTCTCGCCGTGCGGGCAGAATCGTGATAAGTACCGAACCGCCAATCCATTTCACAACTTAAAATGCCAATACTCCTAATCAAACACAGTTATTACACCCTGTAGCAAGAATGCTGCCTTAACATATTAAACTGTAATCAAGTATCTTTATCTAACTCTTAACACAGACGATCATGTGTAAATTTAATCCAATAGTCAATTATTGGCCCCTCTGTTATAGACTGCATACTTTTTCCCTTACAACGACCAATTAGTTATATCTTTAACCCAAGATAAATCTGTTAAAAAGAGATAGCATCTGAGATAGGGATGGCGACATTTATCAGTCGATGTGAACTTTACATTGCAGTCTGGATATCCGGTTTTTGGCTTAAATAAACAGAGCACTGCGTGTAGACACAATTCATAGTTTAGTTTATAAATTAACCGCTTGCTTCGCGCAGTCCTGCATTTACGATTGATGAAAGTATATCCTGTAATTAAGTGTGACCTGCAATGCATTTCTATCAATAGTTTTAAACTTTAATGAGCAGAAACAATGGAATACCGAATATCAGTTTTGGGGAAAGGCAGGATTAACTTAGAAGCCATTGTATGTTAATGAACACATTTAGTGATTATTTGTAAATTCAACAGGTAAGTAAAGCTTAGTAGTGCTATATAACTACTACTACTGCTGCTCCTGCCGCCGCTACAACTACTGTTGCTACAATTACTGTTGCTTGCTGCTACACTACTACTACTATAACTACTAATAACACCATTAGTACTACTAATTGCTGCTGCTATTTCTGCTGCTGCCGCTACAACTACTGTTGCTGCAGCTACTATTACTACTTTACTAATAATAATATTTACAACACTACTGCCGCTTTTGCTACAACAACTGCTGCTGCTGCTGTTGCTACTACTACTACTACTACTACTACTACTACTACTACTACTACTACTACTACTACTACTACTATTACTTCTACTACTACTATTACTACTACTACTACTACTACTACTACTACTACTACTACTACTACTACTACTACTACTACTACTACTACTACTACTACTACGACGACGACGACGAACTACTACTGGTGGTGCTGCTACTGCTGCTCCTGCTACTACTATTTATACTACTACTACGACGACGACGCAACTACTGCTACTGCTGCTGCTGCTGCTGCTACTACTACTACGATGATGACAAAGACGACGAACTGTTTTTCCAACAAGGGGTCATTGAATCCACACCAGGAAAGGTGTGTTGAAAAAATGTTTCAGCACAACCTCAAGATCTCACTGAAAACATTTGGAGATAATCATAATACCTGGGTAGTCGCTACACCTGACTAGTCATTCTAGTGCTTAATCTTTCGCTATGGAGCTGGAGAATGTGAGACAGCCAGAACAGCAACAAAGTTTAACAAAGACAAACCGGACAAGATTGTGAACTGAATTCCTCCTGCAGTCAAATAAAACAAGTGACCCTTTTTTACGCAGTGGCGCAAGGACATAAGATGCTGGACTTCAAATGTATAGACCAATCAATTTTTGCTGCGTGAGGTAATCAGGAAGTGCCAGCGCCATTACTTCCCAAGACTGTCTGTTACCAATTTTAGGCTGGGTCGATTTGAGAGCCATGTCAATTCTTTTATTTTCTTTACAAATCTGTTTTTTTTTTTTAATTTTTTTTTTTTTTTAAATTTGTAATAAGCTCAAGAATAGAACACACACTTATATTTATGTCTGTAGACTTTATTAGATTTCAGTTTAAGATACTTCCAAAGTATGAAATGTGTTGACGGGAATTTTTTTGTCTTGTCTTGTCTTGTCCACAATTGCCTCACAGCGTAGTGGGGAGTCACAGTTTTCTATCCTGGGCCAGGTGTGTTGCACGTGTTGTTGTTAGTCCGTGTTGCCTCAGGATCTCTGATATATTGTCTATCCATCGTACTCTCGGTCTGCCTCTTGCTCTAGGGCAGTAGTGCTGTTCGTTGTATGCTTGTAGAGGCAGTTGGTCGGTTTGCATTCGCATCAAGTGGCCAAACCACTCTATTTGTTGCTTCTTTATGTATTGCAGGCATGGTGTGGTTCCTACAATTGATCTAATGTTCTCGTTTCGAACTCTCTCCTTGTGACATTGGCAGCCTTACGTAAGCATCTCATTTCGCACGTCGTGATCTTTTTCTCCTGTGCTCTTGTTAGGGACCAGGTTTGGCATTGGTAGCAGAGGGTTGGTATAAACATGCAATGTATCAGTTGTCGTTTTAGTGCCATAGTGATGCTTGGGTGTTTTAGCAGTGGGGAGAGTTGGTAAGTTACTGCGTTCGCCTTTTGACATCTTGCCTCAAGTTCCCTATCAATTCTTCCATCATCTTGTGAAGATGCTCCCCAAGTATTTAAATTGCTGCACTTGTTTGAGTTGTTCGTTGTTAACTTGAATAGTTAGTATATTAGGTGTTCTACTTATTTTCAGAATTTCTGTTTTGGTGATGCTGATCTTCCTGTTATATTCGTTGCAGACTGTGTGTAGCGCATTTACGTGGATTTGAAGTTCTTTTTCGTTTTCATGTATTATGCTTTGGTCGTCTGCGAAAAGTATTTCGTTCAGTTGTGGATGTACTTCTTCAGGATCGGCGTGTATGTTTTCATTATAATGATCTCTTTCAACTAACTCTGTCTCACTGCTTGGTGTAGTTAACAGTTCGCTTATCATTACATGGTTTGCTGCTGTTGTTATTCTGTCCATGTATATATTGAAAACAAATTTTTTTGTAGCATGTTTTTTAGTTCTTAAATGCAATATTATTTTGTTTATTTCTGGACGACAATGGTTCGTCTTTCAATACTATCGCCGAGCGTGTAATCAGCCCTTTAACGCGGGTGACCTAGAAAAGGCAAGTAAAGTAAAAGTAAAGATCCTTTTTTACGCCTTAGGCGCATCGGGCACTATTTGCATGGAGGTGTTCAACAGAGTCATTTACTTCACTTTACTCACCCGACAATAAAATTTTATGCACTCAAAAATCTTACTTGAAACTACAATACTTTAAAAACTACAAGACTGCTATTTCCTAAGTTATACTCTTCCTGTTAACTGTCCACAGGAAATGTCGGAGAGTCAGAGCCAGACTACGGATTTCATCAATCGCTCGACGTTCCGAGTCGTCCTCTTGGGAGATCAAGGCGTCGGGAAATCCAGCATTGCTTTAAGGTTTCTTAGGGATGAATATCACGACCATCAGCCGCCTACTATTGGAGGTAGCTCAGTCATTCTCTTCTTTCTTTTTTTTTTTTTTTTTTTGTCGTCTCACTGATACTAGGCTGTAGCCCAATGTCTTGGTTTTGTATTCAATATTTCTTTTGTAGTAGCATCAATTACACCACTGCCGCCTTGCTAGGCTCGTCGCGTGACGGGACAGTAACAAATCTAATCTGGCGATTGCCCGTTTCCTTCCAGGCTTAAATTTCATTTTTCACCTCTCGAAGAGAAGCTAGCTAACCTTAACACTGCTGGCTACAGTTCCAAGCGCTCAGTCATTTCTGTTAAAAAATAATTGCCCATGTCTCCCACAAACTGTTTGGTCCAGAGATCAGAGGCGTAACTAGATTTGGTATAGGCTTACTCACTTTGATACTTTTCCGACCAATGTCTCTCGTTCGTATTTGTATCTGTGCGCACGCGAGTGTGACATAAAAACTAAGTTAAGAATTATAAGCTAGAAACCTACATCTAGCACGCGGAACATTCCCTTAAGCGCTCCGTCCCCATCTTCAACAGCAGGCGCAGAATTCCAACCTCGATGGTACGGATCGTGTCTGTTTGTCCTTCTCACCCCTCCCCTGAGTGTTAAATGTCGGCCAGATCCCAGGTCACTTCTCGTAGCTCAATTATCTTTAGACCCTGGCGATCTATACATACCTCTCTGCACTGTTTACTCAGGAAAGTAGGTAAGTTATACCCCACCAGGACATCACATAAACGATAAACACCAGGTGACACAAAGTACCACCATGCAGATGATGATACCCCGTTCAGCCGTTAGGCCATATTTAAGGTCCGGTTATATTTAGGGCCCCTGTCTAAAGCCCGGGTAAGTAAAGGTCTTTTTTCCACGCGTTTAGGCGTATATGGCACATAGGGCGAGACCTATATTTTTATAGACCAATCGGCACAAGATGGGTGATGTGGTCAGCATCACGCCGGCTGCCTTTACTTTCCGAGACTGCACCCGTTACCCACTCAAGGCTGGGTCGATCTGAGAGTCAAGGTCATTTTGTTTAAAAAAAAACCGCCAAGGAGCAAACCCACGACCTTCCGATCCGCACGAGAGCGTTTAGCCGCTACGCCACGGCGACTACCTAAAGCTAGGGTGGGGCTTCAAAATAACAAAAAAAAATTGCATCCCACAAGGGGACGAAAGATTGAGTTTACTCTCTTCTAATGACAAATCGAATAGAATTGAACAAGTAAATGTTCTAAGCCTCACGATTATTAACAGTAACATCAAAAGAGAAATAAAACTGAGATACCTGGATATCACTTTCGATAAAATCTGTTTTAAAGGGATCACATGGAGGCAATTCCGGTGAAATGCCAAAATATGGCAGCAATGGACAGGGAACAAAGAATGCTCTTTACAATGTTCCAGCGTGTGATCCTGTCGGTGATAGATTATAGACTTGGAATGCTTACCATATCAAAAAGCCAGCTGATAAAACTCAAACGTTTACAGAATGAAGCCATGCGGGTAATTCTGGGTTGTACAAGAGATACCCCGATAGTATGTATGCGATTTATACTTGCACTGCATACTATTGCACATAGGCTCAAAGTTCTGCAGGCAAAGTCATATCTCAGAGCAGCTGCAGACACCTCCATCATGAAGCCCTGTGTAGAGCTAGCTAATTGTCACCGACTGAAAAGAGGAAGGTCTTGGATGGCGCAAGCTGAAGACACAATTGGACATGTGTGCAGGCTTGATTACTTTTGAGCGAGGAGAGAAATGTGTCCGAACAAGTTTCAGACTTGTGAAGGGTTCTACTCTCTTCAGGTCGTGAGTGCAGGGACTGACCAGCTGGTGCTGCAGAATCCGAAGTTCAACAAATGAGTCATGACAATTCCCGCCCAAGTGATGTGATTATCTATACAGATGGCTCTGTGTTGAGAGCCGGACGAATTGCATGGGAGTTCATAGCAAAAGTGAATGGACATCGCTTAGGGCAGCAAAGCCTTGCAGATGATATCACAATGTCTAGTTTGAGAATAGAATTGGAGGCAGTCTCTGCTGCCTTTCGGTGGCTTGAGAATCATCTGTACACATGTGCTGTGATTGAGAATCATCTGTACTCATGTGCTGTGATTGAGAATCATCTGTACTCATGTGCTGTGATTGAGAATCATCTGTACACATGTGCTGTGATTGTAACTGACTCACAGAGCATGTTGAGACAGGTTAAGACTCGCATGCTTCGTGTAGAGTGGCAAGCATCACTTCAGAGATCCCGGGTAGTTAGAATCCTTTGAATAGGTCATGTCGGTGTGTTGGGAAGCGAGCAGGCAGATAGATTGGCCGGCTCTGCACCACCTGGTGGTAAATTGATGTATGACACGCTAGATATTGTGACGGCCCTTTGGGAACGAGTGAACATCGCGGAGCCGCAGATAGATCATTACGGTCTGAAGAGAATGGCGCTGCGAGGAGTTACAAGAGGATCTGGCTGACGCTCAACACTTAGGGAAAGGATGAGACGGATATACAATCAGACGGTTACTGGTGCCATCGGAATTGGATCTGCAGATGTGGACGGAGCACTTATTGGGGTATCCGAGTGCTGTGATGTCCATTCTTAATTCAGCATTCAACAATAACATTCAACATTAATGTCAATTCGGTACTGCTGTATGGAGCGGGAAAATGGAGAACAACCAAGGCAGTTACTAATAAATTACAAACATTAGTTAACTGGGGCCTGCGAAAAATATAGGAAATTAAATGGTATGATAGAATCACTAAAGTAGATCCTATGGGGAGAATTACAGTTCTAGTTGACCAATAGGGGAAGAAAAGACGCTGGCATAGGACAGGACACACGCTGAGAAAAACCTGAAAACATTATTACTAGGATATCTTTTCACAGGAACTTGAAGGGGAATCAAAATAAAGAAATATTTATATATTTATATAATAAAAATATAATATATATATGGAGACGGGAGCTAGAGAGCGAAATTAAAAAGATGGGGAGGACATGGAGAGAGCTACATGCAAGCGAAGTATAGAACGACTAGGCATGATTTGACTGAGGGCCTTTTGCCCTATTGGGGGATAAAAGGCAGAAGAAGAAGAAGACTGTTTACTCGCTCCCAAAAGGCCTTTACAACATCTAACTTACCATGCATAAATTTACCATCAAGTGGTGCAGAAACAGCCAATCTGTTTGGCTGTTCATTTCCCACCACGCCGGCATTACCAGAAGAAAATATTCAAAGTATATATTCATTTATTACCATGAAAAAATACTGCAAGATAAGAAACAATAAATACAAATAAATTTCCACAATACATATTGGCTGTATTCCACAAAAACATTACGCGGCGAGGTTTCTGTCTCTTCCTACTGTGTGATCCTGGTGACGACTATCAACAAGTCACAGGAAAGGTTATTTTTAAACTTCAGGCGTTGGAAATGAAACCCTAGTGTGTCGAGGAGTTTGTAACATGTGTTTGTGTATGTGCGTGTATGTAGCTCCCCTGCTACCACGTGTATGTCTGTATCTCTCTCTCTCTCTCTCTCTCTCTCTCTCTCTCTCTCTCTCTCTCGATTGTGTGTGTGTTTGCGTGTCTCCGAGTGTAACTGTGTTTGTTTGTGTCTGCGTGTGTTTGTGCATATGTGTCTACGTGTGTGTGTATTCCGGTGTGTGTTTGTATCTGCGTGTGATTGGGTATGTGCGTGTATGTCTGTGTGTGTGTGTCTGGATTCGTTTATATGGGTGTGTCTGTGTGCGTATATCTGTATGTTTGTATATGTGTGGAATGTGCGTGTCTGTGTGGGTATGTAGGTATGTATGTGTGTGAATGGGGTGTGTTTATGTGTGTGTGAATGTATGTGGGTGTGTTTAAGTGAGTGGGTGGGTGTGTATGTGTGCATGCACTTTACCACCCATGCTTTTGTGCTTTTCTTTTTTTTTTTTTTCTTCTCTTTTTTGATATTTATAATATGCATATTTTCATATGAATATAACATGCTTATTGATAAACTACAGCTGCAGTGTAAAAGACAGGTGTTTGAAGGGGCCGAATGTTAACGGGCCTGCGTGCCCAATTTGTGACCCTTTGAAAATAAAGTTCATTCATTCGTTCGTTCATTCTCTCTCTCTCTCTCTCTCTCTCTCTCTTTCTCTCTCTCTCTCTCTCTCTCTCTCTCTCTCTCTCTCTCTCTCTCTCCCCCCCCCCTTTCTCTCTTACGGGCTTGTGTGCCCAATTTTTAACCCTTTGAAAATAAAGTTTGTTCCTTCGTTCTCCCTCTCTCTCTCTCTCTCTCTCTCTCTCTCTCTCTCTCTCTCTCACTCTCTGGCGCTCTCTCTATCTCTCCATCTCTCCTATCTTTATTTCCTGAGCAAGTTAGTTGAAAGATGAAAATACTGTAAGAGAGATGGATCTTTTATCTTTGGATGTACCTTTTGAGCCTTTGGCATTCTGGTTAAGAGTATCGATGTATTTGCTTATGAAACTAAAGATAAATCTAAAAAGATAAAACGCTGATAAACAAAGTAATTAACACATAATCTCATAGAACAATAGCAGTATATGAGAGAAAATCGGCCACTAAAGATTAATATAAGATGGCCTTATAAATCTGTTTCAAGTTTCACCATCTCTTTGCAGATTTTTCGAATGTGTGTGTGAATCTTTTCGAGAAATTTTGTAAGGAAGAAAGTCGGGGAGGGGTGAGGGGTGGTGGAGCGGCGCTCAAGAGACCTGACCTTTGGTTAATTGTACAGTAATAATTAGGGCTGTACCGAATATTCGCTTCGTATTCGCTTCGGGACCGAATAGCGGACCTAATAACTATTCGGTATTCGGCCGATTACTTGCGGTCGGGCTGAATTCGAATAGTGGTAACCATACACCTTACACCCGTTTCTGCATACACTGCGATAGTTGCTGTTGCCTAAGTCGCTTTCGTGCGTTAACTAAGCTGTCAGTGCCAATTTACAAGTTGAGTTACTTGTTATAAAACTAAGAATACTTTCATTCCTAGGTATTAGTTACCACAGACTGACTAACTGAAGGATGCCTAACATAAAATGATTTTAAATGTTTACTGTTCTGTACTACATTTTGTGAAGTATAATTTCAGCGCACATTTGAGATTATGAATGTTTGTTTTAGATCTATTTTATACACTATACACTATTCGAAATTTGAAGAATGTGCCTCAGTTTGAATAGTGGGAAGACAGAAGTAATGGTGGTATCAAAGAAAATAATTATTTCTAAATTTGTAATAAAAGTCAATGGTGTTATTTTGGACAAGTACATAAATTTAAGTATCTGGGCACATGGATAACATCAGATGGAAGATGCATTACTGAAATAAGAAACAGAATAGGACAGGCAAAAACTGCTTTTTATAAAATGAAGAACATCTTATGCAATATATCTTTGTCATCGAAGGTTAGAAAAAGAATTCTTACTTGCTACATACATCCAGTTTTAACATATGGCTGTGAGCCCAGGCCAATCATAGGCAGGCCACACAATTTCTTGAGGCCTCAGAGATGTGGTTTTACAGATTTGAAAGAGGCGGGAGCCCGAAGACAACTAATCACAGACATCAAAAGGAGACAGTCGTCATTTTTCGGCCATGTTATGAGAAGAGGGAAAATGGAACACGTGGTGACCCCTGGAAAGATCTGTGGAAGGAGGGATAGAGGAAGACAACGAGAGAAGATTCTTGATAGTCTTGTTGCATGGCATGGAGGCGTGACAGCACACGAACTAATACATGCTGCAGGAGATCGCAGATTGTGGCGAGGCATAATCGCCCACCCAGTCGGCAAGGCACCTGATGATGATGATTCACTACTCGTATTCGTATTCGGCTGAATAGTTGGTCCCGCTATTCGTATTCGGTCAAATAGAGAACATCGCTATTCGGTACAGCCCTAGTAATAATAGCTTGTCATTATTCATATTATTATCATCATAATTATTATTAGGCGATGAGAAGCACACACAAAAAACGATAGTGAGGGGGTGGAGAGCTAAAGGTGCCTAATGGCGCCCCCCCCCCTACCCCAAGTATATTATTATATTCATGTGTTTTTCAACAAATGATAATAATAATTATTATATTGGATGGCAAATAAACTTATTATATATTTAAAGAAAAAAAAATGGGGCTCATAAACAATACTTTACCACATAAATTCTATAAATTGTTAACGGGTGCCTCTTACTCCCCTTACAACACTTTTGGTTACGGCGCCTCTGCATGATATTTTAACGAAGAAATCGCTTCAATAACTGCAACACTATTTTCCTTTTAATTCTGGCCAGCGGCGTATGTAACACAAACGTTGAAGGTGGGTAATCAAAGCGTCAAGCTGGATATATGGGATACTGCCGGACAAGAGAGGTTCGCTACCCTAGCACCCATGTACTACAGGACGGCTCAGAGCGCCGTTGTAGTCTATGATATATGTAGTAAGGTGAGTGTCTCTTGTATGTAATCAATTGTATAAAAATAACTTACTTTTATTTTAATAGCAAACGCAGAAGAGGAATAAGGGGTGGGGGGGGGGAAGTAGTAGTGGTGGTGGCGATAGTAGTGGTGGTTTGTTGGTTGTTTCAGCAGCAGCAGCAGCAGCAGCAGCAGTAGTAGTAGTAGTAGTAGTAGTGTAGTAGTAGTAGTAGTAGTAGTAGTAGTAGTAGTAGTAGTAGTAGTAGTAGTAGTAGTAGTAGTAAAAAGAAGAAGAAGAAGACGTAGAAGAAGAAGAAGAAGATGATGATGATGATGATAATTTCCAGTATATATAAGATTACATGCGGGGGATGCGGGCTGGATAACCGAATAAGTACAATCTAATACATTTACGCGCAAATGTGATATTCCAGAACTTGTCGTGCACTCATTTATCTTTCTCCAAAAAGCTGTTGCCTTTATTGCTAACACAGATTCATTTCTTTCATAACAACTGCAGTCCTCGTTTAACCGAGGCATGGTCTGGATAAAAGAACTCAAAGAACAGGCACCGGTGAACACTATTATCGTTCTTTGTGGCAACAAGGTGGACCTTGCAATAGAAGCAAGGGCTGTGAAAGCCGAGGTAACTGCCTGTGTGTGTGTGTTCTGTGTGTGTGTGTGAGAGAGATCGTGTGTGTGTTTTGTATGTGTGTTTTATGCGTGTTTTGTGTGTGTGTGTGTTGTTGTGTGTGTTTTGTGTGTGCGTTTTGTATGTGCTTAAACTCATGGTGATATCATCAAAGACTGCTTTTTCAGCCACTTCACCTCAAAGACGGTAAGGAAGTTCATAATTGACAAAGTCCTAATGATTTTATTAGGCATAGTGCAGACGCACTAGTGCTCTGCTCTCCCCCCCCCCCCTCTCTCTCTCTCTCTCTCTCTCTCTCTCTCTCTCTCTCTCTCTCTCTCTGATTAGACCTGTAAACAAAACGTTGACTACAAGTATTAAATATAACAGATGATAAGCATTAAGCATCCTACAGAAGCTCAAGGTGGGGTACATATGCAAACAGTGGCTTTATCTGAAAAAGTGCGCAGTTTCGCAAAATCACTTTCATTTTTGTCCCGCGTCATTCTGGTCTGAAAGGCAATGAGAGAGCAGACGCTATGACTTTCTGTGCGACCAAATAGAATGCACTCTATATGGACAGAATAGACACCATCAATGCCATACGAGAGACCAAACGCTGTGAGGCTTTCAGTTTCGTGGAATATACTAATTACCCTGGATGTTCCAATGGAAGCCACAAGACAGGAAAACTAAGCGGAACCACCCGTCGTTACGTCAGCAAAAACCGAATGGGAATTGTCAGTCTTAAAACACTTGGAGATATACTCAGGAAGAGATCGAAGCACTGATGGTCACGTCCGATGATATCTAAAATGAACAATGAATAATGGAGCATTAAATACAACACATAAGTTTATAGAATCATCATCATGTAGCAGGTCCTTTGCAGAACGTCGCTCTCATCACAGTCTCCCTGAAAGAAACTCGGTCTCTCGCCAGTTCTCCTGCCTCATATACTTTCATACTCAAGGAGTCACTTATATTCTGTGCCCATCTTCGTGGCGGTCGGCCCCTGCCCCTCCTTCCTGGTACCATCCCTTCTGCAATAGTTTTTTCCAATCCGTTGTGGCGCTTGATATGACCAAAATATTTCAGCTTCCGAGAAAGATGCTGTTTATTAGCCAATCTTCCTTGATGTTCAGATCTTTTAAGATTTCAATATGGCTCCTCTTCTTAGTCCAATATATTCTGTTTATAGAATTCAAATATTAAATACAGTACGTGCTATAAACACTATCAAAAAAATAGGGGGGGGGGGAAGGTGAGGAGGGCTTCGTAGTTTTCAAATTTAAAGCGCACACAGAGTTTGTTAATTTAACATGTTGCGTATTAAGTTAAATTCTTTTCATTGTAGGATGCGGAAAACATTGCACGCGAGGAAGGGCTGCTGTTCACTGAAGTGTCAGCAAAATCTGGCCAGGGTGTGAAGGCAATGTTTCAAACAATAGGTATTGTAGTACCCTTTTATTATCTGTGTGCGTATCGGTGCAGTAAGTGGATGCATTGCTTTCCGTTTGTCTGAAACCATTGTGATATTAAATGCGACTGGGGAAGAAGGGGGGGGGGGGGGGGGGAGGTAGTGATGGCAAGGCAGATAGGATAGGAATAGCTTCAATCGGGTTTGACATTCAGTGGACCCCTTGACGATTTGGACTTCGCTGATGACGATTCTCATCTACATCACTGACGGAATAAGAAACAACAAGATAAATAAAATATGTTTGATCGGAAATCACAACAATTAGGTCGAAACATCCACAGGAAACAAAAAAGATAATGAGAATAAACAAATCAAATTATTATAAATAAAAGTAAAATTCGTTTGGTGATATCCTACTCTAAGATGTGGAGTCATATACCTAGTAAGATAGTAACGTAGGTAAAGATGGGGAAGGGGAGAGGAGCTGT